CGATCGGTGCCGATGGCCACTCGCTTGCGTTGGATAGGACGAACGAGAGGCGTGTAGAACCTAGCGGGGTTCTTGGGGTGTGCTACTGCACTATCACCATCTTGGGTACGACGGTGCTATTCGATGAAGGCTTCACTGAGCAAAGCGCCCCATCTGGGTGGGAACGGATGACCACGGGCTTGACGATCGTCTGTCCTACTCTCATCTCATTGGGGAAGAGAACCTCCAACTCGAGGTTCCCATCGACGATGTGAGAGGCTCTTGCATCTGTGCACAGGAGGTCGTCTGGGCGAAGGAGACCGTATGTGACGAAGGGCCAACACAGCTTTTTGGTGAGGCTGGGCAAAGGCATGGTTGTGTTAGGACCAAGGGTTCGGCAGTCCTCCTGAATCCTTTGTTGACCCATGTCGAACCCGTCAGGTCCCTCCATGCCTTTTGAAATTGGTAATATGGCCTCCCACTGTACAATACAGAGACGAGATCGAGACAAGAAAAGATGGGTGGAGGAGGAAAGAAATGCTATGGGGATATGGTAAGGTAGGAATGTATGCCTCGATATCTTCTTTCTAGATCGATGACGGTGAGATCTTGGACGCGGTTCGCGTGAGATGGAAGGAAAGACACGAACGAACACGACGCGACGTGTCTCAGATCCTTTGAAACATTTTGATATGCAGCAAATAAGCGTAAAGATCATGATTGTTGATCTAAACATTACGTCGGTGTGTCTGTTAAAGCTCGACGCATTCTTTTTTTTTTATAATGTGACCCTCGGTTCGCTCATTCTTTCGTTTTCCTTTTCCTTTTTCTTTTTCATTGTTCTCTTTCCTTTATCTAACACCCCCTACTGTTAAACAACTACAACCAAGAAGCAAATATCATCAAGGCAACATGTCAGAACAACAACCCCCCGCGTACGACGAGACTGCAGACAACACGCCCGCAGCCATGATCCAAGTCGTCCTCACCATCCCCAACACAACTATCACCCAGCTCTCCAGCGCAACTGCCAAGGAGAAACTCATTGGAACGGGAGAACTCAAAGTCTACTCCACATCTACCGTCCCCTCCGAAGGTCCTTCTTCCCCCTCAGCATCGGCAGAAACAGAGGCGATAAAGGGTCATCAACACACGACATTCATGACGCTGGAGACCAATGACACTCCGACCGGATCTTACAAGAGTCTGGTTACTCACCCTTTAATGCCTAGCTCCAGTGCTCAAAAGACTGGGGACTATACTTGGAGATTTTCTGTCCCCGGAAGTGGCTACTTGGAGGTTCATATTCCCGAGTAAGTTTTTTTTTCCCTCGATAAACTAGGAGTGGAGAAGAACGGCATGATGACGATCGGTGATGAGCGAATCGAGAACATACCGTATGTCATCATCATTTGACGCAATTGTTTTCCCTGTCACTTACCAACCAATTACGAAAACACCAATAGGACCTCACAAGCGTCAGACATTGCGGCATTTGAGAACTTGCTCACAGACAGAATTGTCTACACGAACCAGTACAAGCTCCGCCACCAATTGGCCCTCGTCGACGATGTGGGCCAGATCTATGGTGTGCTGGACAAGGACGATGTCGAAGTCGAGGACGACGATAATGTTTCCTTGTCAGAGAATGCCAAGTCTCCTGTTGTTGTCGAGGCTATTGAGGAGCCTGATGAATCTGTAAGTTATTTTCTTTGGCTGTGGGAATGTTGTGTGTATGTTGTGCATGAGCGCGTGTTGGTGTTATTCTTATTATTTTTTTGTCGAGGTGAGGCCGAAACCTATCTTGGCAAAAAAAAGGGGGACCGTTTGCTGATGCCTATTCCAAACATCACCTTCAATAGGACGACAAACCATTGCGACTCAAGATCTCGGTTCCCTCAGCTGACGACATGGCCGACTACCTCACAAGTGCATCCCAGTACTTTGGCGAAAGCATGATCAAGGGTGCCACTGTTGTCGCCGGAGGCATCACCACGTACGTTCCCTGCCTAGTTGTTGCTTCACACTTTTTGGTCTCATATTATGATTCGCACTAAGAAACCAACTGGAGCTGACGAACATGATGCTCCATCTCTCCGTTCCTTCTAGGTCGAGCACATACCTGAACTCAAAGATCCCAGAGAGACAAATCCCACTCAGGATCTCACCCTTCATTAAGAACCGCATCCGCAACCTAACCTCCGTTAGCAGGGTAACCTTCGGCGTCACCAGCAAGCTCAAATCCGCCGTTATCCAGGGCGCCCTCAGCTCTGGCTACCGTATCATCAAATACTGGACGGCTAAGGATGACCCCGAATCCTACTCGACCATGCAGAATATGGCCTATTCCATCCTCAACTCGGCCGGTGTCTTAATTCAAGCCGCGGAGGAATCCATTGGTATCCTCACCGCCCCTGCTATCTCGGCAACTCAGGATCTGGCTGGACGTGCATTGGGACCCGACGCCCGGGAATTGGTAACCGAGGCCTTGGAGGGATTGAAGAATTTCACGCTGGTGTATTTTGATGGCGCGGGGGTGTCTAGGAGAGCATTCTTGCATACTTCGAGGGTTGCGGCCCTGCAGACGGCGCAGGAGGTGAAGGAAGGAAAGCTCAAGATGAAGGAGCGCAAGAAGCATGCAGAGGAGCATGCTCAAAAGTCGCTTAATATCTCTGTCCCTGCCTCTGCCCAAGCGGCTGCTGCTTCTGCACAGGCTGCTGCTGCCTCTGCGGGTGCGGCTGCGACTCACGCCAAGGAGTTGATCTTTAGTTATTTTGGTCGTGGTGAAGATGCCCATGGGTCTACCTCTAGCGCTGTAGCAAAGGACAAGTTGAAGGTCGATTAATTGTATGTTGCGGTTCTCTTTTTGTCTTTTTTGTACAGTTTCTATTACGTTAGTCGATAAACCAGTCTGTTTTTCATTGCCAATACTTTATGCTTTTTATTCATGGATATGAGAATTTGCGGTGTAGTTGAAGTGGACTCAAGGGAGACATGATACTTTGAAGATTATGCTGTATGCCATAGGGTAGACACGATGACACCATACCCCCTTCCAATGTGACGAGTCAAAAAAATATGTTTGACTAAGTGGGCGCAAAAGGTCCAGGCTCGTCTGCCACAGTGAAAAGCAAAGTCCAAAGGGGGTGGGTAAAACTAGAGCAGACAACAGCGAGAGCGAGCAAGGCAAGGATGAAGGAGGAGGATGTGTGTGCGTGTGTAAAAAAGAGGAAAGGGACTTGACCTGTATGGCACACCCTACCCTTTTTTTGCCATAACACAGAAGTGTCCTATCATTTGGAGGGCTGAAAAAAAAACGCAAAAAAAAGTATAAAAAAACGGCGGGGAAGAAGGCCTTTTTGTACTCGTTTGAAAGCCAGGAGGAAGGAGGTTATGGTGACGTTGATAAGATCATCAACGGTCGTTTGTCGGGCGTTTGCTGTCCCTGAGAAACAAGAGCATCAACGGTGAACGATGCTTGGGTATTCACTTTGTGTTTTCCGGGGGGAAGGGAGGCGGATGAGTAGGAGGAAACGGTATTATTTTCTTTGTTGACAGCTGATGCATAACATGCGCACTGCCCCCTTTTTGTAAGACTTTTTTTTTTTTTCTTTTTCCTTCCTTTTGCATTGCAGCAGGGTGACATGCCCCTGACTTTTTTTCTTTCCTTTTCTTTTGAGTGAATCCCGTGCACAATCACACACACAGAGAGAGAGAGAATGGCGAGGAAAGAGCAGGAAAAGAAAAAAACTACCGCGCAATTTAAGGTCAAGTAAACCAATGATATACCATGGTTTTCCACTGCGCCATTGCCATTGCCATACAAATACCCCATGGACGCATGGGTCGAATGGATGAGATCTTGTTTGCGCCTTCCACCTTTGCCGCATAAATTGACACTAGCTCTTCTTCCCTTCCCTTCTTTCTTTTTTTTTTTCTTGTTTTTTTTCCCCCTTTCCGTCCTTTCATCCTTTCTCACATATACCACTCACGCAAACACCCTCCCTCATCCTGTACCCTCCCTTCCCCTTTTTTGTTTGTTTTGGAGGTCCGTTCTTCGATTTTATCCGTGTGTATGTGTGTGAATAGACTCCAGTTTTTGTTTTTCTTTTGGCAGTAGAGAGCGGTGCCACCAATTATCGATTAATGAGTCCCTTTCTTCGCCCATTCTACCAGCAGCATAGACAACAAGAATAAACGAGTGGCTTTGCAGCAGCCACCATCCAGCCTCTGCCTTCATTCTCGGCTCGACGCGTCTTTTTTCCCTATATAAGCTTCCTTCTTCCCTTTCTTTCGTCTTTTCCACTTCTTTTTTTTCTCCTCTTTTCTTTTCTTTTCTTTTCTTTCTCCTCTTTTCTTTTCTTTCTTCATCCTTATACCCTCCTTCCCATCCTATATTTAAAACAACCCATCACCCATTATCCCTATCTACACATATACCCCGCAAGCATAGCGATCAATGACCGCCATCAAACCCATGGCATCATCAACGGATACACCCCGAAAATCCCGTGCCCATCCTCCTCTGCACTCTTCACCCGCTCTCATCAACCAACAACAACATCTCCCTTCCTCTGCTTCTCCTTCCCCACCCATCTCCTCTTTCTCTCCTCCTCCCTCACCTTCAACTACCCCTCTCACTCTCACTCTCACTCACCCTCGCGACACTACTGCTACGTCCACAAATAACAACGCCACTACAGCAACAACAACAATAACAAGCCACTCCCCCAACAACACGCGCACTAGAAGTAACGACAAAGATACACATCCCCTCCCACACCAAGCAACCAAACAAGACCATCGAACCAGATCATCCAAAAACAACAACAACCATATTCATACCCATCACCACGGCCACCATCACCACGGCCACCATCGACACAACCAACATCTCCACAATAGCCCTACCAACAGCAGCAACAGCAGCATCTACAGTCGCAGAATCCACGTCCGCCGCCACAGCGCATCGGCTTACTACACTGGCCCAGTCGATCACGACAGAGCCATCCATACCGCAAATGCCCATGCCCAAGCCGCTGCCTCTGGAATTCTCTCTCCTCGTTTACGCAATTCTCGATTACTACCTTCGCCCAAGGGACCACAACCTCAACGTCATTTACTTCGACAACAACGGCAACAACAGCAGCAACTTCGACGACATCAGCAACAGCAACTATTACAGTCATTTACCTTTGACCTCCCTCATCAGTTCCATCGTCAGCAACAACAACAAGAGCAAGTACAAGTGCAAGAACAGCAACCGGAAGAGCAACAGCATCACACAAATCGCCGAGGATCTTGGTGTTCGATCCAATTACCATCCATCTCCCCTTCCTCATCAGTCTCTGTCGTCTCGCCTCTTGCCCTCCATCGAGCATCATCCATGCCCCTCGTTCATACCCGACCCTTCGAGAAGCAAGATCAGGAAGAAACCGTCCCATCAGCACTTCAACAGTCCCAGCCACTGCCTCCACAACCTTCCTTCTACCGATTACTCCAACGACCACCACAGTTGCGGCAACAACAGCAACAGCGTAAACAGGCTCTAGCGTTGGGATCGGACGATCAGGACAAACCCATTGACGAGCCTCCACCAGATCCACGTCTGATCAGTCAGAGACTCCTGCAGTGGCAGGAACAACAACAGCACAGGGAGCGGCAGGAAGAACAGAGGCAGATGCAGGCCTTTCGGATTAAAAAGTTCTCGGACTCTAATACCGATCTTGATTATCGGCCGGTGGCAACGACGATAACGGTGTTGAAGGAGGGATTTCAGGAACATTGGGGCGGCCCTATGGCGGAGCATCAGCAGGAGGAGCTGGAGGACGGACAACAACACTCGAGACGCAGTAGTATTCAGCACGACGATCGTGACGTTGATTTGGTAGGGTCAAACGATGAGCACGGTGACAACAACCTCTGGGAAGAACGGCGGCGGCGGCAACGACAACTGGCGCAAGAGCATGAAATGATGGAGACCGACAGTGTCATGGAGACTGACAGGACTGGGGATGGGGATGGGGATGAAGAGATGAGCCCACGGACAAAACTGCAGCGTGCTCGTAAAGCCAAGGAGGACGCCATGAAGGAGTATCAAGAGGCAGGACGAAATTTACAGCGTGCCCAAGAACGGGAAGAAGCGATTTTGTTCGAGAACGAGATGATCGAGGTCGAGGTTGGGTCTAGTGTCAGTCAGCAGCTTCATCGTTGTCAGGGAGGACATACACATGGAAATGAACAGCATCGCCGGCTTCTTTCTTCGCCGCCCGTTCAACCGCCACAGCGGCAACAGCAGCTAGAAGAGCGAGGGAGACACTCGTCGCCTATAGCCGCCGCCGCAGCAGCAGCAACAGAAGCAGCGGTCACCTGCCTGACTCAGGACGACAACAACATTGAGACCATGATGAGCTCACAGATTGTCCCGCAGGTCAACGACACACCTTCTATCATGAGCGAGACACCACATGCAGTCATGGCACCGACACCATTGCTACCGGTATCGGCGCCTTCTGGATCTGTCCCAAGACGAGCTCTGACACCTATGAAGAATATAACTACAACAACTACAGGGAACCAGGTCCCGAATCAGACGAGGAGCGGGAGTCAGGCCTGGCGTCGTAGCCTGAGCGTGACCAACAATGAGATTCAATCGGCACCCACTTCTCCTCAGACTCGACATCACTCCAACTCACCTCGTATCAGGATCAAGTCTGAGGAGTTGGACGCACCGCTCTTCAAGACGCATGTCCTTAGTGGTGATGGTGCCGCAGGACCAGATGGTGATAGCAAGACATGGCGGGGACCCAAATACAAGGATTACGATGTCTCGATCGTGATACCGAGCTCTGTTGGATCCTCTGATGTAGGTATGAGTGGACATCCCGAGTCGAGCAACGCGCAGGAACGACGAGAACAAGCAAGAAAGTCGGAACGTCGCCTTCCTGACAAATGGCGATCCCCTACACCAATGCCAGGTTCCATGCATGCGAAGCGCGAAGCAACAACAAGTCGTCAACAAGGAATATTTTGGGAGTCGACGCGTCCACCTCTTAGATTCGGACCAGGAGTAGCAAAGGTGGCGCCAGTCGATCTCTTTGGAGCACGAAGCGGGTACTCTCAACAACGACACCAACACCGGCAGCATGGACCGTCTTCTTCTCGTCCTGCACTGTTGTCGCCCAGATCGTCTGTTCCTAGGCCGAGACCGTACCCGCCACCAGCCATCTCACCAACACGACGGGCTTCTGAGGCTCAGACTCATGCGCCAATAGGAGGAGGACTGCCTCCGAATTTTTTTGCGCGCAGGATGCCCATACGACCACTTCCACCACGCCCATCATCATCATCATCATCATTTCAACAGCGACGAAATCAGGGTCAAGGGCAAAGTCGATCTTCGCCTATGATGGCACCACCCGCCAATCAGTCAGCATCCGCAGCATCCGCATCGGCATCCGCAACTGCACCCGCGTTTACTGGCCCAGAACAAGCAGCGCCCACACCACGCTACTTTAATCCTCCTCCATATTCACACCCACAGGGACAACCCGCCTGGAGACTCCCAGAATTCATGGACGAGAACGGACACCCACACCCTCCAGTCGTCTTTTACACCCATATTGATCGTGTCGACAACTTTTATCATCAGCATTATCCTGCTTCGACGGCTTCACGGTCACGGGATGTTTCGTTGTCTCCCAGGTCTGCGAGGAATTCACCGAATTTCTTTGCGAGGCGCTCTGAAGGTGAGAGGATGGAGGACGTTAGTGGAGGTGAGGGGCATGAGGATATGGCGATGGAGGGGGAGTCCCATCACCACCAGCGACAGGGTCGGAGTCGGACGACTAGTCGTCAAGCGGATCGTGATGAGCGAAGAGAGGAAGATAGACGCGAGCGTAGACCCCTCGCCAAGAGCGAATCGCCTCAGCTCTAACTCCACAAAATAAAACAAGAAAAAAAAAATACACCCTCTCTCTCACATATCCATTATGCAAACGCAAACAATGCCAAAGAGTTTTACATCGAGATTGCAAATGCAAATATGTACAAGTGTTTTTTATGTCTCCTTCGCTAGTTCTTAAAAACAGAAGAGCGATAATACTTCAACTCTCCAATGGATTCCTTAATATCATCCAACGCCCTATGAGCTTCCTTCTTCCTCGGGACGTTCTCAAACTCCGTTGGGAACCACCTCCTCGCAAGCTCCTTCACCGTCGAGACATCCACAATCCGGTAATGCAAATGTTCAATAATGGGGGACATCTCGCGTTCGAGAAAGACTTTGTCGGCGTGGACAGAGTTTCCGGCTAGGATTCCGTGTCTGGCTGTGGGGATGTGGGACTTGATGAATTGGAGGACCTGGGTGCAGGCTTCTGAGGTTGAGATCTTTGAAGCCAGGACTGAGGCTGTCAGACCGGACTAGTGTTTGGTATGGAGAAGAGATAGAGGAGAGGTAGATGTATGAGTGGAGGGGAAGGTTGAGTAGACGTGCGTGTTGGGTGCGAAAATGAACGCGTTAGAGGCGTGTAGGATAGACATACGGCGCCGTGGTGGTCGATACACCATTGGTTCATGTTGTCCATGACCTCCTTGGGCTGGTGGATAATCAGATTAGGCCCTTCGGCGACGATGTTGAGGTCGTCGTCGGTGATGATGACTGCAATTTCGATCAGTTTGTCGGTTGACGCGAGACCTGTCATCTCGCAGTCGATCCAGACCAATGAGGGTTGCTGCTTCTGCTGTTGTGCCATGATTGTTGTGCTTGGTTGTGTGGTACTGGTATATGCCCTGCTAATCCAGCTTGCCCTGGGAGTTGTGAGAAGAAGGTTTGGTAAAAGAACGCGGCGAAGCATATGGAGTGGGATAAAGCACACAAATAAAAGAAAGTCTCATGCCACTTCAAGAGATATGCATTATTTCCATTCTCCTCAATCCGCCATTTCCTCCGCACAGTAAAACAAAGAGTTGTCACGGAAGGGAGTCAAATCGCATGTTTAAGAAACGTTGTTTTGGACCTCCGACGTCTTTTTTTTCTGTTATGGGCAAAAGTTGAAAAAGTTGAAAATTTTTCTTTTCGTCCCTTCTCTCCCTCCCTCCACACTCAATCCCACAACTCTCATCAACCATGCTTATTTACCAGGATATCATCACCGGGTAGGTCATCAGCCTGTTGTTGCTGCGTCTCATCTCATCTCACTGACGCAGTTTGTTCCAAAAAAAGACAGAAGTCGAGAAAGAAGGATAACAAGAATGAGCATAAAAAAGCAATGGAGAAAAAGGGGAGGGGTGATGTTGATGACAACGATGCAGCAGGCAGTAAGAGCAATAGTAGAAACAAGGAATGCACCACCTTTTTCACCGTGAAGCACTGTTACCGCAGTCCGCGCATATTGAACGACAATGTTTGATGTGCGTATGTGTTGTCTCGGTATGACCCAGACGGGACCACGAAGACAAGGAAGGACAACACCGGACAGCACCGGATACGATAGCGCCATACGATATCACCTTCTCAACCATGCACTCCTTAGACTCTACCCACCCCTTTGCTCAACAGTAACACGTTTTCCTTTCCTCAAGAACTATGCGATCCCCCCACACATCCTCCATCATACCCCGAAATTCTCGTGATTCAATAGTACCCTGTTTTCTAATACCTTCATCTTTAAACCTGAAATCGTCTTATAGCGACGAGCTCTTCTCTGATGCTTTCGATATCAAGGAGGTTGACGGTACCTACCAGATTGAGTGCGCCATGATCCAGGTCAAGGAGGGCGCCGATGTCGATATCGGAGCCAACGCCTCTGCTGAGGAGGCCGCTGAGGACCTTGAGGACGGTGTCACCGTCGTCAACAACGTTGTCTACTCTTTCCGTCTCCAGTCCACCCAGTTCGACAAGAAGGGTTACACCACCTACATCAAGGGTTACCTTAAGCAGCTCAAGGCTGCCAAGAACCTCACTGAGGAGGCTGATATCAAGGCTTACGAGAAGGATATGACCGCTGAGGTCAAGAAGGTCCTCGGTTCCTTCAAGGACTTCGAGGTATGATGACGGCGATGACATGAGGATCATGCGTTGTTTGAGTATGCACGAACTTCATAGCCCTGATGTGAATCTCGTTTTGACCCTCTTTTTTTCTAACGCTCATGTCTCCCAATTGCCTTGTTTTTCCGACTTTATAGTTCTACGTTGGAGAGTCCATGAACCCCGATGGCGCTGTCATGCTCCTCAACTACCGTGAGGATGGTGTCACCCCCTTCTTCACCGTCTACAAGCACGCCGTCAAGTCCGTGAAGGTCTAAATTGGATGCTGTTCTCTGTTCGGTGTCCTCATTGTTTTCTTTTTCGTCAGCTAGATAATAAACTTCATTGCATTGGAAATCCTCTTTTCTGATAACCGACCTCTCCTTGTTTCGGGCTTCTTTTCGTCATATCGTTATTGTTTTCTTTTTCCTTCGTGCGTCTAACAACATTTGGGAGTGGTACTTTTTTTGTCACTGGCAATAAGGGAGCGGATTAAGCATGGTGAAAGAGTGCGACAGGAATAGACAAAATTGTCGGACAAAGGCAAAGTGCGCAAGTGCAGAAGACAACAGCGATCCCCATTCATTCCAAAGTCCGCACCTGGTGAGAGAAGGTTCTTTTCTTTTCCGAGAGTTGTGTCGTGAAAAGCTGGAGTGGAGGAGACGGCGGTAATAGGCATGAAAGATTGGAGACGGGGGACGTTTAGAGCTATGCCCTCCTATTTTTTCATAGTCCTCAATATGGGATAGGGGGGGGGGTTTTGGTGCTTGAGAGTCAATGCTATGCGTAGATGAGCCAACCAATGGTCCCTTCCTTCTTACCTGACAAAAAAAAAATAAATAACAATAACTGGCCGGGCGCATCGTCGTGTTTTCCCTTGTTCAGTTTTCCTTCCTCTTAACAACATCATCGTATGATATGCGCAAAGTAGAAATGAATGGCTTTAATTGTTGTTGTTGTTTTTTGGCTAGGGAGTGAACTCTTCTTTTTTTTTTCTACCCACAGCACAAAAAAAGACTTGACGAAAACGGCCTTTTTTTTTTTTTCCTGCTCGCGTGTATCAAAAAGAAAGAGTGGATACAGTGCATCCTACCCCTTTGTTCCATGAAACAGCAGAAAAAGAGAGGGTGTCCTGCCCAGAGTCATCTCTCTCCATCATCCACAACAAAAATCCAACAGAGAAAAAAAGCTGTCGGGTGTGTTGGATATGGTGGGAAGAAAGATACCTCTCTACATCTCTCCTCTCCCGGCCTCCCGTCTCACAAGCAGCCTCTCGATTGGGGTGGTGGTGTTGGTGGTGGTGTCATTGTTATCGTTGCATTGATGTGTGTGCCCAAGGGATGCAACCGCCAAGGAAAAAGGCAGAGGAGGTGAAAATCGACAACAGGAATCCAAAAACCTCCCGTTGCCAGAACACCCTTCTAATACTGGGTAAAGTTCTGGGACTGGAAGCCGTTGGGTGCAAACGAATCCTGGCTGAGGTAGTCGTCCTGCTGAGACTTGTAGTCGTCCAAGTAGCCCATGCTCTCCTGACTCATCAACGAGCTCATACCGTGACCCATTCCATGAAGGCTGGCCGAAGTGTGGATCCTGTCCGACTGTGACACGTTGATCGAAGCCTGGGTTGAGTACGTGTTCTGGGTCAACGGGCGCTGGCTGCCATTGTTGTTACTATTGGACTTGCCCTTGCGCCCACCGCTGTACGAAGCCTGCGAGAGATCCTGAGTAAAGGGTGCCTGAGATCCCAATCCCAATTGCGTGTTGTTGTTGTAGCGAGACGAGCTGCTCGAGTAATCAGGGGTGTACTGGTTGTTCATCCTGCGAGCTATGGTATTAAAAACAAAATAACTTAAATATCAGCACCCATTCAAAACTCGTACATATACACACTACAATATAAACAGTGCTTAGTAAAACTTACCAGCGCTGGCCAAGGGTGGGCGGGCAAACATCTCGCGGGCATCAACAGCATGGGCTTGACCGTTCAGGAAGCGCTCGTCGGGGTTGTATGCCTTGCGGGGCTTGCTGAACTGGATCATACTAATCTTCAAGTTGTTCAAGGGTCCCTCGACCAAACAGTCGTGCTCCTTGTAGTGAACCAGCAAGTGATGCCACAAAGGATGCTGTAAACGTCAATAGATTGGGAATTGAAAGTTAGAGATGAGATTTCGAGCAATACACCAAATCACAGTCCATGCAATAATATCAAATGATATGATAGAAAGACATACCTTGCTGAGAACCTTGGGGTTGCCGAGGATGACAAGTCCATATTTGGCACGGGTCAAGGCGACGTTCAGACGACGAGGGTCGTTCAAGAATCCAATGCCCTGGTGCTCGTTACTGCGGACACAGCTGACAATGATATAGTCCTTCTCACGACCTTGGAAGGCGTCAACACTGGCGACCTCAATTTCCTTGTAGAGCTCCTTGCGCATTGTGCCGCTGAAGCCCATGTAGTTGACCAAGTAAGAGCGCTGACCTTCGTAGGGTGTGATGATTCCAATCTGCTGAGGCAAGACTCCCGACTTCAAGAACTTGGTGACGACCTTCTCACAGTTGGATGCCTCCGTGCGGTTCAGGTACGATGTTCCCGAAGTCGAAATCTCCTCCTGACCAAGACAAGAATAAAAGAACATGGGCGTTTCGGCAACGGGCCAGGGAAAGTCGACGTGTTTCCTCAGACGCTCGGCCGTGGTGACACCGTTCTGAAGAGATCCTTCATAGAACATGTTACTGGGATACTCTGACAGACAAGGGTGCATACGGTACTGGACCTGAAGACGAATAGGGTGAAGACCCAAAATGATCAAACGCTCAAACAACGATTGGCACAATCCGGCCCTTGCGGCCTTCTTGTTCATAATGACGGGTCCGAGCTGTTGGTGATCTCCGACAAGAACGGCCTGCTTGGCACCAAGAACCAAGGGGATCATGCACTCGGGCTCCGTCGCCTGGGTCGCCTCGTCGATCAACACAGTCCTGAACTTCAACTTTGACAATCGGGGGTCGCCAGCACCGACGCACGTACACAAGATAACATCCGCGTTCTAATCAATGCAATATAAAAATAATAAAAAAAATTGATAACGAGTTAATTCAAACACCAACTTGAACATGTCACTTCTGCTCTCCAAGACAAATTGAAAACCAAAGATGGCTTACGTTGAGAATCTCGCGCTCGCACTGCTTCTTCAAGGATTTGTACTTCTTCTCGTCGCTGCTGCTCAGTTCTCCCTGCTCGTTCTTGAGTTGAATCAGCTTTTGAAGCTCAGGGTTGGTGTCGTTGTTGATGACCTGCTCATGAAGGGTGAGTGCCTTGACGGGGGAGTCAAGAGCCTCACGCGACTTGGCGGTCATACGGACAACCTTGAGGCGGGTGGCGTTGATCTTTTCAGTCAACTGATCGACAGCGACGTTACTGGGCGCACAGACCAAAACCTGGCCCATGTTCATCTTGGCAAGATGGTAGACCAACGAAGCAGACGTCACCGTCTTTCCTGTTCCTGGGGGGCCCTGAATCAAACTAAGAGGTTTCTGCAGGACACTCTTGACAGCAAAGACCTGCGAGTGGTTGAGCTCGGGAAGGTTGGGAGCCGAAAAGCGCTTGGGCATCTGGGTTTTGAGGATCTGTGACTCGATCTCGTGTCCAAGGAGTCGGTGGTAGATGTAACCACTAACCGATGACTCATCCACAGCAAACGTCTTCATCGCCAACTGCATGCGGTCGAAACTGGTCGATTTCCAGACAAAGTCGATCGAGAAATTGTGGTTGATCTCGATAGGCGTGTCGTCGCTGCGACGAAGCTCCAATCCCACGTCGTCATTAACGTCTATAAACATTATAAGTTGTGTTGTTAGTTTCGCCTTGCTAAAGTACTCGTCGCATATGTTAGCCGAAAATGAGGACACGTACTGTTGGGCAGCTTAATGACATGACCGGTGCACTCCCAGGGCTTGCGCAATTCGCCGTTGTATCTGATCCTGAGCTCATCTCCAACAGCGAGGCGCAACTCTTCCAGTTTGGCGAACGAGAACCAGGCAACGCGCTTCTGGTTCAATCCCATGTCCCAGGTAACACTTATGCCCTCCTGAGTCTGTGATTCTTTCAGACGTTTGTCGTAATCAGCCTCCATCTTGACAAGTGGTCCAAAGATGTTCTGATACTGGTACGCGTCCTCGTATCTACATTCCATTTGACAAGCAAGAAAAGGCTAGTTTTAGCATTGACGTGATCTCTGGTCTGTAAAAAATCAACAGAAAAACAGCTTTGACATGACACAAGTTGTAGACAATCAAAAAGATTGACATGATATCCCAAAGTGACTATTACCTGGTGAGAACTGACTGCGGCTCATCATCTGCTCCGGGACGCTCAAGGTCATCCAGGGTAGCATTGGCGTTCTCCCTCCAGAGATCCTCAAGTTTGGTGATTTGCATGGCGGTGATTTGGCGAGCACGGAGCTGCTCCTGCTCGGGAGGAATCTTGACCAACCAAGGCAAGAAGCATCTGTCGTCGATCAAAGGAAGCCACTGCGAAGTATCCCAATTCATGTCCTTGCTACTGGGCATTGAGGCGCATGGTTGACTAATAGTTGGACAGAGTATTGTTGGTTCGCTGTGTTAGATATCAAGAACGGGAGAAAACATCTAAGATCATGTGTCGTGCTGCGATGAGATAAGAAAAACATACCGGCACAGCAAGACAACGACGGTGTCGCTCTTGGCGGGGATGAAACCGAGTAAGAAGACGTTCTTGCATCCACAGTTATAGCACTCGAGCGTTGTTTCTCCGAGAGGCGAGAGGGCGTGGAGGACGACCTCCTTGTGCTTGGCACGGACCAGATGGTTGATGATGTGTGAACCCGAGGTGTTTCCACGCGAGTTGCAGAACCACTTTTTGCAAGTCTCGCACTTGACCACCGATGCTGGCGAGTGAATACCGCAGTACCTATGAGAATTGTTTTTCTTAGTATGTGTGCTTTCTATTTGCTCTCCTTGTCATTTTCTCTTCTTCCTTTTCTATCTCTTGTTCTTCGAGCTGCCCTCTCTTTTTTTTTTCTTTTTCTTTTTTTCTTTGTACGTTTGTTATACTTTCAGGCAAGAACCCAAAAGAAAGAAAAGTGAGACTTACTTGCAGGCATGAGGCGGCAACTCGGTCAAAGCAAGAGGCTGATCATTAGGATCGTGCTCGTCCGTCTCTTCAAAACCTCGCTGATCTCCATTTCCCGAAGGATGACCACCTTGGTGATTATGATGTTGGTGGTGGTGATAGTGGTCGTTCTGTCCGAGGTCAGACTGAGACTGCGGACCATTCAAAGACAAGTTCATGAAGTTGAGGTCATCCTGATCCTGGGTAGAGTTGTTGTTGTTGGTATGGTGGTGCTGCTGGGAGTGCTGCTGGGAGTGAGAGTGAAAGTCAGAGTATTCGTATTGGGAGTCCTGGGTGCCGTGGGCTTCGAATTCGAGGTAGCCAAAGTCAGCGCCGTCGTCGTCGCCGCCCTGCGACATTGCGTACTCAGGGTAGGCCATTGTTTTCCGTTTGTGTTTGTGTATGTGCGGAGTGAGGGGAGGGGGTGGATCTGTGAGGGTTGATTGTGTGGGCTGTGTGTGTGGGATTGTGTGCGCAAGGCAAGGGGTGAGGGGTGAGGGGAATAAGGAAGATCCAAGTCTTGAGAGGGTCCAAGAAGTAGAAGAGGAGAGACAGAAGGAGAGGAAAAGAAGAGAAGAGAACAAACAAGAAAAAGAAAGGAAGGCTGAGGCCTGTCAGCCAAGACTCGAACTAACAAGGGCTCGGTCGTCATAGTCATAGCAAGACGACCAATGTGACTGTCTCTTCCATGAAAGGAACGAACGTCCAAAACACTCAAACCCATCGAACCCAAAACGACATTCATGGACCACCACCCGCAGCAACTCTTCTTTCCATTCTCTTCTTTCCATTCTTGAACCATCGGAGGCGTTTTTCTTTTCTCTCTTTTTTTTTTTCTTTTCCCTTTTTATCCTCTTTCCTCTTCACTCCCTCCTCCTCCCTCCACTCACCCTCCCATTCATAAACAAAACAAAAACAATGTTCAAGAAACCTCTCGCGTCCATAAAGTCCTTCTCGTCCCTGAGGTCCAGCGACAAGCGGAGACTGCGGGACGAGATCCTCGCTAGCTTCCCTGCCCTCAAAGATATGGAGCCCATCAACGACACCCCCATCAACGCCATTATCACCCCCGATGGCTTACAGGCTGCCAAATTCACTTCTTACATCGAAGAGCCAGGCACCCTCTACACTGACGCCGACGGCACCCCTCTCTGGTTCAAGATCAGCTCCAGCAAAAACCACTCTCTCATCGTCCCCTCTGGTAACTTTCGTCTTCTTTGTCACAGCTAGAGGATATGATGCGCGGATGAAATTAATTATTTACCATCGACCAAATACCTTCAATGCAACAATAATAGTCTACACCTTGTGGAAGTTCCCGGATTTGATTCCAGGACTGACGACATGGAACCCTGTAGTCGACAAACTTCGAAACGGCGCAGACCTCATGATCCCAGGAGTCATCACCGCCAACAACACCTTCGTTCCAGAGATCGACGAGGGTTCACTCGTCGTTATTCGCGCTCGCGGCAACAAGTACCCTCTCGCCATCGGAACCATGGCCATCTCGGGACAGGTCCTTGCTTCTTCGAGAGGAAGCCTGCCACCCAAAGGCAAAGCCGTTCACATTCTGCATGTGCACCTGGATCAGCTCTGGGCAATGGGCACGAAACCGGAATTCCCTGCTGATTGGGCGCAAGGGCCCAAGGCTCCTCTGGATGACGAATACGCGTCCTCGGACGAGGAGACTGATGGTGAGGACGATAACGAGACAACGGACGACTTGACCAAGGTTCTGCAGGATGTGTCTGTCAGCGATACCAAAGGAAAGACAGTGGTCAGGGATGATCTCCCCAGCAGCAACGAAATCGAGAGCAGCTCTACAGCAGACGGCCAGCAACCAGAAGAGGCAAAGGAGGAGGTCGAGGCGATTGTTCTTTCGACAGAGGAGGTGGACAAGGCGCTTCAGGACGCCCTTCTTCAGGTGCTCAAATTCAAGATCACGGAGGATGTCTCCAAGGAGCTCCTGCCCATGAACTCGTCGACACTCTACTCGTCCTATGTTCTCCCCAACCGTGCACGCGGACGTGCTGCCGAGGCAGATATCAAAAAGTCAAGCTGGAAAAAGTTGGCAAAGTGGCTCAAGGCGGTTGAAAAGTCGGACCTGATCAAATGCAAGGAAATCAAAGGCGAGCTCTTCCTCCTCGGGGTCACCTGGAACCACCCTCAGTACGTTTGCCGTATCATTCATTCGGTTTCTTTTTTGGCGCATCTGTCACTTCTGGAATGGCTCAGCACTAACTCGATAATAAACGCGTCATTTTTTTTTACATTAGGTTGAAGGGATTCACAGGGCACAAGACGGTGGAGCAGCAGGCGGCGCGACAGGCCAAGGTGGAAGCACAGGTCTCACAGGCAAACTCAGATGTGAAGGTTCTGGAGGTTCTGGAGGTATACCGACCCAACAGCGCGTCGGGAGACTTTTTTGAAGTCGCAGGCAAGTCCAAGGATGGATTCTACACCCTGCAGGAGGTGCGCGCAACCTTGGCCCAGTACATCAAGGACAAGCAGCTGTCGGACCCCAAGAACCAACGCATCATTCGTCTTGACGAGGTTCTTCATCCAGCCCTGGCCAAGAAGGGCGAGCAGATCGACCGCGTTCCTCGCGATCATACCAGTGACAGGTATATCTCTTGGCGATTTTTGGTATTTTGAAGTTCAGAGTGTGACTTGTTATGATCCTAATGCGCTTGATTTTTTTTTGGACGTTTAGACTGGTGGCGAATATGGTGATCCACCATTACATTGGCTACAAGGGCCAACAGCCGCGGTTTGTGAAGGGAGCCGTGAAATCAATCCAGATCACACAAGAGATCCGTACTGGACGCAAGACCGTGACCAAGATCTCTGGTCTCGAGCACTTTATGCTCGACGTCGATGCCTTTGGACAAGAGATCCAAGTCCTCTGCGCCAGCAGTGTCGCCAGTAAGTTTTTTTCCCTTGTTTTTCTTTTAGTGTACGTTTCATTTTTGTTCGCAAGGAAGAGGTTGACGTTTTACTGATCTACGACATCATTCATTCGCCATGGTGATCGTGCGCGTTATGTGTCCATTGTTGATAGTCACTCCGCTGGTTGGCGCTTCACCAAAGCTGAACTTGCGCGAACTGATGGTCCAGGGTCCACAGGTCAAGAACGTGACGGCTGTCCTCCAGGAACGCGGTGTGCCCAAGAAGTACATTGAGTTCCTTGACAAGACCAACAAGAAGAAGTAATCGCATAGCTCTTTTCTTTTTTTTCCCCTTCACTTCCAACTCCACTCCAGTATCCCACCACTGGAAAAATGACAAAGTCCTCTTCCCTCCTATTGCGCATTCTTGGCCAATCGTTGTTGCTGCTGTTGTTGTCCTGTTACCTTTCTTTCTTTCTTTTCTTTGCATCTCTTCCAAGCACCAGAAGATCCATGAGCGTGTGTAAAAAGACCGTAAGGGATGCTTAGTTTATTTTTTTCGCTCGGTGTTGATTTGTATTCCGAGGCCCAACTCCATGCAAGGTATTTGTTGTAGAAAAAAAAAGGGGGTGAGTGAGGTGAGAGGTGAGAGGTGTTACAAATGGGGTGATTTAATGTCGGATGTATTCGCGTTATTTATGCGGTCTCCGAGAGGTGGATCAAGACCTTCTCCAAGTCGAAGTTAGGGCTCTCGGGGTCAGTAACAACACCTACACAAGTCGATATTAGAACAAAAGGAGGTTCATTATTAGTACACCATAGATCATGACACTTCCTGGGCCCCTTCCAACGATCAATGCGAGTCCCGAAAGAACGCCGTAAAAATGAATAGAGTGGTTTACCTCCAGTGGGAGTGTTAATCTTGGTCCACTCAACCTTGGCCTGGGCAATCAAGTGATCGCGGTGCTCGATCTTCTTCTGCTCGGCACGGTTGTGCTCCAAGGTGGTCAAGGTGTTGTGGTGAACATAACCGTAGACGAGACCAGCAGCCAAGGCAGACCAGCGAGCGACCTATCATACATCACATGTAAAATGAGTAAGGTTAGATCGCTAGTCTTATCGCCGGGGGTTTGTAGTTCAATTGACGAAGATTTCCTCTGTCGACGGTGGGCTTGATGAAGAATTGCTCCTGAGGGTTGTGTTTCTTGCAGAAAAGTAGTTGTGGCAAAAGTGAAAAAAAAAAAAAAAAGGTGATCGCCTCACACTCCTGATCAGCACACCGCTGTTCCATCTTGGTGTGATGTCGAACGTCGGAGTACAGGAGGAAAGAGTCCAGCCAAGCTGCTGCGGGACCTGGGCACAACAGGGTATCATGGAAACTGATTCCTCGGTTGCTGTTTTCCTGCAGTGTCGTTAATGCAATCGGAGAAGCAGCGGCGGCCTGTTTTTGCTTGAGTGTTGTGCAGGAGCACCGAGGACAGTTGTAACCATTCGTCGTTTGTTATATATTTTTTTTGTCCCTGAAATCTCTTGTTCCTTTTTTTTCCGATCGGTTGTTGATTCGACAGTGAGGCACATCACTGTTGAAGTGAGGATGAGCAATGTCCTCCTCGTTGACGAGTGACAACTGTGGTCTACAAACGTACGTTGCGGATGGGGTTGACGGCGGCGGCGGCGGGGGCAGACATGGTTATTATATGTTGAGTAGGGAGAGGAGAGAAGGAGGGATAGATCAATCAAAGCGGTCGAACCCATCTCCTCGACACTCTCTCTACTTGCTTGTTCCTGCCCTCTCGGAGACAGGAACAAAGATGGTCACCGGATGAAAATTAAATCGCACTTTCTGCAACCGTCTTCTCTTCCATCTCTTATTCCCAGTCTCACATGACACTGGGGATAACTTTATTTTCCGATCTGATCAGAGTGTTCAACTGTTCAACAGGAAGAACATGATGATTAAGCGCGCTTGATATACTTGCCGGTCTCGGTGTCGACAATGACCTTATCACCAACATTGACAAAGTCTGGCACTTGCACCTTGATCCCGTTCTGCAAGTCTGCGTTCTTGTAGATCGTACCCTTGTTGGCCTGCTGTGCCGAGGGGTGCGTCTCCGTGATTTCGTAGACAGCCTGAGAGGGCAGCTTGATCGAAATGGGCTTCCCAGGGACTTCTGGGTCAGGCTGGAACATGGACAACGATACTGGCATATCAGGCAACAGCAATTGGATCTGCTTCTCTATTCTCCGCATAGACGGTATACAATCACGCGTCAGCTGTGGGGTCCTGGGTATCCCTGGCAACATCAAGAAAAAGTAGATCAATTGGCAAAAGAATTTACCTTCGAGCACAGATTCTGGGACCTCGTACATTTCAAAGGTATCGGGATCCATGAGATGGAGCTGGCCCTCACCCTTGTAGAGGAACTGACACTTGTGCTCTTCCAACTCTGTCACCTCAACCATGTCTCCCGATCTGTACCGCTCCGTGTGCTTGGTTCCTGTCAACAAGTCCTGAAGATCGAGCTGCGAGGAGGATGAGTGTGCATAAAAAAGAATCCTTCAGTTTTTTCTTTTCTCCATGTTTTGCTTGTTTTCCAGTCAGTGAAATCTATCCAGAGATGCTTGTTGTCGTTCGATTGCTCACCTTGACTGTTGACGTTCCACGACCCATCTAATCAAATGTACAACATCATCTTTCTGTTAGTCAAATAAGATCTCATACCGCTAAAAAAAATTCCTCCACAATTGACCGAGTGATGGATACTAACCACTGAGGACTCGCGCTTGAGGACGACAGCGAGGACGTTGTTGATCTCGACAACGTATCCCTTACGGACCTGAAGGACGTTGGTCTTGAATCCGCGCTCTTGATCCCACTGCAACGCCCTGTACGCTGCCACTGCAGGTCTCTATCATTGGACACCGAATTGAGTCGAAATTGAGAGTGAGTTTTGTGTCAGGGTCTCCTGCGACTATTCCCGAAGCAGCGAAGCAGGGGTTGAGCGTGTCGGAAGTGTGTTCAGGGTCGGACAAGGAGGTTCAAGCGAGGTTGGGTCGGTCCACGTACTTGAGGGGCGAGAGGCGAGCGGCTGAGACAGACCCTGGCGAGAGGGGTTGTGTTTGTGAGGATCCTTGATCGGAGCATGGCTGACTTGATTGTGAATGAATGGTCGTTGGAGACAAGTTGTCGGGCACGCTACTGTCAAAAGTCAACTCTGGGATAATTGAGACTGCGTTTTCGGGCAGGTAAAGCCAGTCTGTCCATTCAATTGCACAGGAGCTTAATTATCCTTTTGACTCTTTTGCCCTATGTGCCTAAGGACCGACATGGACCAACATATACCAACAACGACCGGCATGGACCAAGTAGCAGCACCGTCCAATCCCGCCAGCATTCACGAGAGCGCAATAGGAGTCATCTTCTGATACCGAGACAGAAGCATGGGGAACGAATGTTTGCCCAGTGGATGGATGATCCTCACCCTCGCTCTCTCCCTGAAACAGAGAACACGCATGCTCCCTCTCACTTTTCGCCTCCTTCACCCTGTCATTGACGAAAAATAACCCGTCATTCAGGTCGGGCAAGAATCATCTTTGATCCGCAACGCCAACAACTTCGGACAGTCGATTGGGTATGGAGTGAACCTGCAACCATGTCTCGTTCATCCCCAACAAAATCAGCCTGCCAGAAGGTGTCAAGCCTCTCAACGCACGAGCAATCGGCTCTGCAGTAGCAATCCACCACGCACGTCTGTTTGGACGATGTGGACGTTACCATCATCACAGGAGCTTTTGGATGTCAAAAATTAAGTTGCAAGTTGTACTCTCCATTGCAGCACTTTGCTGAGGGAGCTATTTTAATGCAATATGGTGCAGAGAGCAAGTGTGCTACTTAATGCACGTAGTTTTGGTGTGTAAAAGGTTGCTGATTTAGAGCGGGTGGTGGGGTGAAGGTCCGGGCCCACAGAGGTGGTTACTTCGGCTGCAGAATGCTCGCCTGCACCTTGCTGGCTGTGCCAAGCACATGCCCTTATACAAGTCGAACACAAAGTAAAATAGAAATATTAGTTGTGCGTCACCAACGAGGGCAAGGACCAGGCTAGGGTCAGGAAGAGAACCTACGCGGAGCCGGAGGGTAGCAGACAGTGAACGCCCATCCATGAAGATCTTGAGCTGAGCGAGCGTCGCCGGAAGGATAATCTCACTTGCCATTGTGCCACAGATAAACACGGACTCGTGGTGTCGAAGCCGCATCACTCAAGCAGTGAAGCCTGTTGAATCGGAGTCAATAAACGAGTGTTGGTATATGCTGAACATTATGTCTCAAGAGTGCCATACTTCATACTATTTACAATGGTGCCTTTTATGACCAGAAAAATAATTTCGTCGAGAATGGGCAGCCGCGTAAAAATTGCATGATTGTGACGAATTGACTTGCGAAGCTGCACGGCAACATTTTCGTCAGACGCCATTGGCTCCTTATGTTCGTAGTCTGCAATCTCGATGTGGACCAGCTTGCCCTGGTGCTCCACAGACGTGAGCAAGAGAAAGTCCACTTTTCGTGGAGTCGCTGACGTCTCGACTCCTCCATGAGCTTGTTCATTTGCTGTCCGCTCCTCGCGGCTGGCAACCAGTCATGTTTCGCCCCTAAACGAGGCAGACAGAGTGTTTCGATTACTGCCATTCTAACGTACATGAAGCATTATTCCACTGCCAGTACTTTTGACACTACATCATCACAGACGCCCCTGAGCCTTCGAAGAGAATATCAAATACATCCTGCCAGACACGCACCGTCATAGATTATGTCTCCTTCGCGATATCAGCAAACGGCGTCTGAGATCTCTTGGCCCTTTAATTACAGAACAGAAGAGAAACAAAAGGTGAGCGGGATATGCCTTGGCATGTTCTTGGCCATGTAACATCATCGACCCCCCCCCCCCCCCCCCCCCCCCCAGTCTTACATCAGTCGTAATATCTCTAGAATGCACATTTTGTGCTCGTCGACCTTAACGTTCTTCAGTCCGTCGTCTGCCGCTTGGCCGAGCTCCTTTGTCGCACGTTTGCGCTTGGGGTCAATCTTTTTGTTGCCCATCATGGCCACCGTCTCCATATTGTTCAGAATCGCCTTCATCTCGTCAACAATTAACGGACCCAGCTTATCAAGCATGTCCTTTCCAAAATCAACCTCCGCTTCTTCGTGCTGAAGGTGAGCGATCATTGACGGTGCGACGCTATATGGGAAAGGGAAATACGAAATGTTGTCAGGCCAAATTCAAAAAGGCTGTCGGAATGTTCTCTTTCTCAGCAGAAACATACTAGATGTCCTTCTTTTAGACTATTGTAGGACAAAACCTATTCTCGCGTCACCGGGGCAACTTGGGGCCTGGCATCCTTGGGGAAAAACGTGGCAATACCACCCTCAATCAGATGGACAAACGGAATGTGCGAACAGGACACTGGAGGAAATGTTACGCCCTTACATCTCCTATCACCATCGCGACTGGGATAAATATCTTCCAATGATGGAATTTTCTAACAACAATTCTGTCAACCCTTTCACTGGATATTCACCATTTTTCATTTTTTCTTAACCAAGGATATCACCCATTTGTCCCTTCCAACCTTTTCAAAACCACAGACACTCCCATTCCAGCGGCCTCAGATTTTGTTCAACAACAGTCCTCTACTCTCGCTCTCGCCCAGGATGCTATTGCCCATGCCCAACTACGACAACAACAGAATGAGGACCGTAATCGACGCCCACCCCCTTTGCTGTTGGCGACAAGGTCCTCTTGAGCACTGAACACATTTCTGCTGCTGCCCTTGCCAATCGTCCATCCAAGAAACTGGAACCCAACTTCATAGGACCCTTCACCATTACTGAGGCTATCAACGACAACGCCTTCAAGTTGGAGTTACCGCCAAGTATGATCCACCCCGTTTTCAATGCCGACCTCCTCAAGGCGTACCACCCCTCGCCCGCTACTTTTCCTGGACGTACCCCCTCGTCCCCCTCCTATTCTTGTTGAGGGCACGGAAGAGTATGAAGTCGAGTCGATCTTGGACTACAGGGTCAAAGGACGGAGACCCGAATGGCTCATCAAATGGAAAGGCTATCCTCTCGACGAAGCCTCATGGGAACCAAAGGACTCTCTTGCCAACGCCACCGACATCCTCTCCTCATTCGAATCCAGAAGAACCAAAGAACTCGAATAGTTTATTATTTTTAGAGGAAAGGATGCAATAGTTACTATATAAATAGTCAATGTCTTCTTAATAAAGTAACTCTTTACCTTCCTCTTCCCCTTACACATCCCCACACCATCATCTTCCCTCCACCAGCTTGTGCGTCGAATGAACTTGGTGAGGTAGCAATCGCCTGTGCCCGCGATCACTATAAAAGTAGTTCCTGCCAAATGACCCCACGCGACTGATGGTGCTCTCATCGGAGAACATTACGCGTTTTCAATCGTCCACTGCAACAGGCGGAGACTGGGACAGAGAAGTATAGAACGGGGACGAGGGTTGAAGCAGTGATGATTTTACTATGATACAACTAACAAAGTCGCCAACTAGGTTTCTAGGTATAGTGTCAGCGATGATAGAGAGTGACAAGGAATGACTAACTAGAGAGCAATGATGAACCTAATATGTTGCATCCACCGTCCATTCGATGTGCTCCCTTGCAAATGCAAGCCGTTCCTGCATGTGATTCCGTCTCAGATCATGCCTCTTCTGTTGAACATCGGCCCGGATCTTTTGCTGTCGTAGATTCTGCCGGACTCTCTCCACATGCACATGCACGCCATCTCTCTCTCTCTCTCTCCTAAATGAATCGCTGGGCATCCCGAAGTGATGTAAGTTGACCAGTATTAATTTGGCGACCAAGAACCCCTCTGGTCTTTAAGGAGATCCTATTTGGTCTATCCATTTTTTGGAGGCGGTATGTTTTCCTCGTTGTCTTTCCTGATCCTGATTGCTGTTGCGATGCCGATCCCGAATGAGTCCGCAACCTCTCGAACCGATTGTCCTTGAATGAACAGCTGAATCGCAGTGGCTCTGTCTGAAGGCGAGATCCTCTTTCCTTTTTTGTCGATTTGTTTTCTGTTTGTTGCATGATGTTTAGTAGTGAGAGGATTTGATGTTAGAATAGAAGATGATGAAGTGGTAATTAAAGAAAGATCGAAGAAAAAAGAAGTAGATTAGGAGGAGGCAAAAGTGAATCAAGTGATCCATGTCGCAATCAGGTTTTAAGAATTTATTTCATGATAACGTCATCACCGACATGGGTATAGCTCCGACAGAAGCATGACCACAAGGCCAAGAAATCAGCGAGAGGCATCCCAGGTCTGATTGCAAAGAAGGATGATGAACATTTCAAAAAAAAAAAAAAAGGATGAATTCAGAGCGCACTTTATAAAGTTTGTTTGAGCGTGAATATTTTTTTAATCATAGGGAAGATGTACCAATATTCTTGAAAAGTTTCTCCCTGACTTCCTCGAAGGAGATATGTCGAACATCTGGATACTTCTTGACCAAACCGCGATGCGAAGGTTTGCCAAGAGAGCCACGAATGTAGACTATGCGAAACTCAGGCACACGAACACCATTCCGCGTGATAACAAACCTGTTGTCCACAATTTCGGCGTGGTGATCGGAACCATAAAGATCGTTTAGGTAACGTTCAATCTGATTCTTGTTGTTGGCATCCCTGACGTTGAAAGCCTTGCTGATGTCTGCCGAGCCCGCATTGTGACTTTCAAAATCGCTGATGGATGCCTGAATGAACAGCAGTCCAAGCATGAAGTCAAACCGAGGATATCGTTCATAGCCGCGGGTCAAAGCTTTTTTGTGGCCGGATCCAAGGGAAGTACTTCCCTTGTCGGTTTGGAGAGTGTCACAGTGGGAAAAATCCAATGTAATGGTAGTCGAGTTCTTGCCGTTGAGATCTGTTGCATTAAGCACAATTGGTTTGGTGGTGCATATGAGCTGATGACACAGTGCCGTCTCAAAGTCGGCCCCGCTGAGGCTGCCGTCACAAATTCGACTTCTGGTATTCGCAGCTAGCGGAAGCGTCTTGAACAGCTCTAGAAGAGCCCACTGGGCGGGACGGCATAAAATGTGGTGTTGTGTTCCGATCTGAGTGACGTCCTTGCCCCGATAAATGAGTCCTAGATCCAAGAAGTCCCATTCGAAATCGATTGTGCTAGTGCTGCCGAGGAACGTTTGCTGGAGGGCCTTGTAGAATTGCTCTTTGCTATAAGCGTCAAGGCTCTTGTAGTACACCGTAACGATAGCTAGGAAATCCTTGGTTCGGTCTTTCGTCCATTTGTGAAGGTCGTCTAGGGAGATCGGTTCCGGGCGATCCTTGACGGCGGCTGACAGATACACAAGCTCTCGCGCCACACAGTTTGTGATTGCTGTGACCTCATCTCTGATGGCTGGTGCTGCCAGGCGACGGTGCGTGTCCAGCAGCTTGGAGAATACATGCCTTGATAGCGGGCCGACAAAAACCACCGACGTGAACCTATAGCTCATCTCCAGGATCTCCATCTCGTACTTGGCGTGCGCGGTGCCTGTGAAAACCACCCGAGACCCCTTGGCGTCTTCTCCCCACCAGTGGTATGACTTCAGAGGAACCAGAGACTTGAACTTGTCCGGCACGTAAGGCTTTCGTTGGAACAATTTCCCATGCTCGTCAACAAGCAACAGCGTCTTCCGATCCCGCGACATGAGTAGCGTCCCGAAGATTACTGACATAGCATTCCTTGATATGTTGCGTGTGCCGTCGTAGTCGTTCAAAAGCATCGCCAACTCGGCGCCGGTCAAAATATCTTTGTTGAGTGCCAGGAATCGCTTCACCACCTGCAATGCTGACTCGTCCTGCTTGTTCTTGTCCAACACTGCGGCGTCCGAAATGTAGAGGACAAGCCACCCTTCAACATACGCCCTTGCTGCGAGGAAATAGGACAGATACGACTTACCAACACCCATCGGACCGGACAGGACTCGTCTGTACGTACGCTCTTGGTCCCGATGCATGTCATCCCAAAGTTCCAGCATTTGCTCGGTAACGAAAAGCCTGCGACCTTGGCCGTAACATCCGAAGTCCTTGGGGTCTTGACCCATGTTCGGCATAATGATTGCGTCGCCAGCTTGGACGTTGCCTTTGAGGTGAGCGAATGCTGCTCGCGGCTCGGGTACAAATTCGGTGCTCGCAAGTATGTCGATCCAAGAAGGAGGCAAATCCACCCGGATTCCGTCAGATGCCGTAAATGGCTTCCAACCTTCCTCAATACGAATCCTCTTCTTCTGAGGTAAATACTGAGGATCTATTATTTGGTGGAAAAACTGGAGAATAAGACGTTTGTAATATAGGGATGTTCATACAGGGAGATGTGTCAAACCAGCGTTTACCTTGCTCAAGCAGTCTCTTCATTGTCACAGCTAATGCATGCAACGCAGACCATGATGAATTACATGCAATAAAGTCAGTAAAATGAACCAGTTTATGCTACATGATAAGGCTTGGTTAGAGAAAGCAAGGATACTGTACCTGGTGGGGGTCGCTGGACAATAACGTGAATCGTGTCCTCTGGATAAGCGGCGTCAAAGACCATCGAAAGCTCGTTCGTCACCCTCAGTTTTTTTTTCCTTGTCAGGCCGTCAAGCAAGACAGGGGTCTCGTCGTCGTCTGCATCTGGGATCGAGACGCGCCAGAGAGTAAGGGAATTGGCATCGACATCTGTAAACTCGACAGCATTCTTGTCCTTGATGAAGTTCTTGAGGTCGCCAATGGTCTTGGTTGACTCGATCTCGACAGGGAACGCGTTGGTGGTGGCCTCTCCATCGACAAGACAGAACAGCTTCAGAAGGTTGTTGGACATGGTGTTGTGAAGAATGAAAGGAAAGTAAGTGGAAGGGGAAAGGTGAGGGTTGTAAACGGAGTGAGGGTTGTGGAAAAGGTGCTGGGTGCAGTGGGGGTGAGGGGTGAATGAAAAAAAAAAAAAAAAAAAAAAAGAGAAGGCGTGGGGTTAAAAGGAAAAGTAAGAAGGGATGAAAAACTATGGCAATAGGTGTGGAAATAGCAATAAGGGCGGTGAGAAACAAACTGACAGTAAAGTCGAGCAGAGGAAAAGATGGGGAAGAGACAAGATGAGGAAGAGTGAGGAAAGGAATCGAGTGATGGTAAAGGCGGTGAAGAAAGCGCGTGGTGGAAAGGTAAGGACGTTGGAAGTGTGGGAATGGTGAAGAAAGGCAACAAATGGTGGCGTAAGGGAGCAGGGCGCGAGAATTACGTCACCGAAGTGAGTATATCATTTACTTTTGCTCTATTTTTTTAAATTGGTGAGTAGGCATACCTGAGCACGATGACTCCAGCTGAACAAGGTCCACGACCAACGATGTGCATCTCGGCTGGCTCTTGATGTTCCGCTTGCTAAATATGTACGAGGCGCAACATTTTACAAGCCCTCCTTTTCGCAATACCATAGTTAACAATCGTCTGATCCTTTTCTGTCTTATTGATGGAGGAGGTAACATCTCAAGCCATCTCTGTCGAAATCGACCAGGCGAAGGTAATGGGTAATCTTAAGTGGCTTATCAATTCCTGAATTCGAAGACTTTGCTCCGGACAAGCTCACCCTCTGGTGTCAGACACAGAGGACATGGATCTCACCCGTTTAAGCAGCGGAAACACTTTGAACAAGCAGTCAACGGCTGTTTTGGCCCACACAAGACCAACAGGCACCGTACCAAGGCGGCGATGCCTGCCCAACAGCTCTAACACCCCCCCGAGCCGAGATCCACCCCCTCCCCCATCCTTACCTTCGCCCTGTACTATAACTTCCAACTTGGATCCTCCCTCCCTCTTTTTCCTACTGTCCCCTCCCTACATTTTTTTACACCTTAAATCCTAGAGTAGCATTTTTTTATCAGCCCTTTTTTGGTGGCGTCGCAAAAATTAGGTAGCGGGAACCAGACGGAGGAGTTCTGAATGACCCGAAATTAAACATACCCGAGGTGTAACAACCGTCGGGGATCTAGCTCACCCTCTGGTGCTTCTCCATCCAAGTTGTCTCGGCCAACAAGCACAAGCCGATCGTCTTGATTGAGATTGATTCCCCGACCGAGCTTGACCTGGCCGAGCTTGACCCGACCGGACGACCTCTCTGATGTCTTTTCGGGCCAACCACCAAAAAAACAATTGTCATCGTCGTTCAGCGACCCCCTCCAGGTAATGCAGACACGCGCTGCTCTCATTCACACGTCGCACATGCGCTCTGTCCATTGCGCCTGCGCTAACCCATCGCACTCATTTAATTGCACTTTCACAGTGTCACATAGAAAATTTAATGACGTTTCTTTAATAGTTCGCCTCCCTTGCCCCTGTCTTCGTTATACCCTTTTGCATGCGGTGTATGATGTAAACTGACGCTCCCTATCGTATTTGGCCTCCTTTTTTAAATCTCGCATCAATTCACGCACCTACAAAGCACATCAAGTGTCATCGCAACATCGACTGAAATATCACGGGCAACGTGTTGCATCAGCAGATCTGTAAGTGATCAGCAAGGACAATTGTTCTTGTCATCGATTATTTTTTTTCGTTTGTCTTCTTTGGTCAGTTGGGGCGCTAGGTTGACCACCATGTCTTCTTGTCATCAAAACACTGGTGACATTTGATGTTTCTCTTAACGGCAGCGTTGGAGTGCTTCCTTGCGGAGCTCTTGAGGGGATAACTCTGCATTGCAGTTTTTCTCTGACAGATTCCAACACTGCGCAGATTCCTCGTTCTGGCTAGAGATTCTGCGCAGCATGTGCGTTGGCAGTACATGACATTCCAACATTCTTGAGCAAAGGTTGTTGGATAGTGTTCAAGTCACTTTGCTTACACTCTTGGCCATGTGCTCAGTTATCCTGACTGCATGCTTTAAAGACAAGTTGTATTGTGTCTTTCGACGGCAGCGTTGGAGCGCTTTCCTTGCAAAGCTCCAGAAGGTATAACTCCGCTTTGCGGTTTTTCTCTGATGGATTCCAACACTGTACATGGTACTCGTTTTTGCTAGAGTTCATTACAGGATGCTTGTCGAAGGTTCCTGGCAATCTGACATCACGTCGAGCTTGACTTTGTCAGATGTTGAGACTTTCCACTTCTTTTTTTTTTTTTTTTTGTTATTGTTTAAGAGGTATGTCCTATTACTTTGCCAGAACTACTTAAAGCCCTTTATATGCAAATAGGAATATGTCCTCTTCCATGAAGAAGTCGAGGGAGTCTTGGCGCGACGCCTTTGGAAACTTGGTCTCGAAGGCTTACTGAGTCATACGAGCATCCACACAGCTTCAACTATCGAGATTTTTTGGCCTGGTCGAAAGGACGTTTGACCGGTAAAGCAAGAGTGCGGCAAGAATGGGGCAATGCAAGAGCGCTTCTTCGCAAGAGTCGGCATCAGTCGTTACGAGAGGTTGCTGTTAAGCTTGATAAGGCTTGGGAATCATGCATGGATGAAGAGTATGAAACAGACTTTTTCCGACAACAACAGGATCTACGCAGACTTCTGAATGGCCGGCGCCCGGTGCATGCGGCAGCCGACAAAGTAATTAACAAACGGCAACGCATTGAGTTAGAGGAAGAGGGGAGATCTTTGGATGAGGAACTCCGCTCAGGTACGTGTTAAGTGGCCGTTGTCACTGCTCTATATCCAGTACATGAATCTTTCTCTAACTTTGCAGTGGTATTGTATGCTGATAGGTGGCTCTGTGGACGGGGACTTGCCAGCAGGACGGAAGACTACAGCCAAGCAGATGCAAGATATCACGAGCAGTGACGACGAAGGGGAGGATTTGGCAGCAGGACAAAAAACACCGCCCAAGCAGGTGCAAGGAAATTTCGATGAGGTTCCTCCGGTCAAAGAGTATGATGAGCACTATGTAGTGACACTTTATGACTTTTGATGGTGTTCGATTGCTAACACTCTCATTTGTATTCTATAGATTAGAAGCGTCCTTCCATCACGATACACAGGGCTGAGCAAGTTTACATTGAGCGACAAGGATCAAGATTTGTACAACGAGGCTGCTAAGTGGTTCAGATCAAAGATGGGGCGAGATACGGAATCTGTTATTCAAAATCTTCGCGATGACCGGTTCTGGGAGCCTTGGGTGCATGATTTACTTTACGACCGGTGAGTTTATTATATTGTTATTAAGACTGATGTCTGTTTCACTTTCAAGACTAACATATGTTTTTTTTTTTTTTTTTTTTTTGTATGATAGACTCAAGCTCCTCCGTACTGGCCTTAACCCTCAATCTGACGAGAACACCTACACATCATTCTGGATCGTGCCAGACTTCGTGGCATTGCAGACAGGGATTCCAGGCCTGATTTCCAAAGGCTTCGCAAACGAAAACCACTTTACCCCATCCGCTTGGCGTCGTGCACTTTCTAGGGGGAAAACTCATGCCAAAGGCTCAAATGTCGACGCCTATTATGTTGCCCGAGACAACTATGTCGATATTCTCTTTGAGAACGTTGGGTCGCCCACATGCGCAGATCACTCAAAACATGTCGAGGACAAGGAGAAATCGTACAGGAATGCCGCGGATGCACTGCTCGAGCGTTTTTACAACTCCTCAGGGTCGTTCGAAATTGCTAAGGGCTACAGTGTCATAATCGTCATCGTCTTTGGTATGTTACATGTTTTTGCTTGCGTTATGTAGGTAATTCTTGCGTTTGAGCTCATTTACTAAGTCATCATTCCCGTTTGTAGGCCACGATCTGTCGATTTACACTACCAACATCAAGGATGTCAACGAGTTCTCCGTGTCAAAAGTATTTGAAGGAAAATACCACTTTTCGAAGGATGTTTATCTCACAAACATTCTGCTCCATTTGAAGTTTTGTCTGACGATAAAGGTATGTTCCGGTAGCCGTTGCCTCGCCTGCCCCTGTTTATCGCTTGTACCTGACGCTTTTGTTTCCTATTCTTTAGACAATCATGGAGAGGAACATTGACGTGTTAATCGATTTTGGAAACTCAATCGAGTCATTGCCAATTGAAGAACAAGCTCGCTTCAACCTGCGACTTCATACAACACCTACGATAGAACGGAAGCGCAGACGGAGTTCCATTGGTGGCTCCCAGAAGGTGTAGGTGCTAGTTGTACAATAGCCTTTTGATATTAGCAACAAAGCAGTATATGTACCATGGGACTGAGAGACTAAGAAGGCAACAAGATGGGAGTGTGTGATCTTGAGGGGTAAAGTAAGTGGCGTGATCAGCGCGAAAAATATAATTGCTGATGGGAGGAAAAATGTCGCGCGAAATGGACAAATGCCCATGGTCACCCACGTACCATTAGAACAGAATTTGATATGAACAGCCGGGGTCTTTATTGAGCCCTATGAGAATATATAGATGGACTGATGACTACTGCCCTCAGTAGAGAATGAGGAGTGAGTGGACATACACTGAGGTGCAACAGCTCTCCTCCCCCTGTGAGAACGAGGCACGAGTTCGTGGACAAAGAAAAGCAGTGAAGTGGATAGATAACGAATGACATTATTTAAGACGGTCACCAGTCTTGTCCTCTTCTAAGGTATAAAAGCTAGCTCAGCGCAAGGAATAAAATCATCTTTCTTTCTCGTTACACTTTCACCGATCCACCTCAAACGACCAGTGCAAAACGCACGGTTTTCCCCAACCCTGCGATCGCCGCATCCGTGAGCACAGAGTCCATCGTCGAACCCTACAACCCTCACCCAGGACCCCTCCGAGGCTGACGATCTGTCGGAAGAAGAGATGTTTGATGACGACTCCGATACGACGACTTGCTATTCGCAAGCTCCGCTGTGCCCGAGCTTTGAACAACCCTCCTCGCCTGCGTCGGCCGCCCCAACCACGTCCGACATGCCTACGGTCCCTGAGGCTTGGGTGAACCCCTCCCAACAAGGGCTGGAGGCTATCTACGCCCAGCAAACAACAAGAGCTGTTTGCGCAGTTCAAAAGGGTGGAGGAGAAACTCCTCATCCGCACCTCCTTGCAAGAGTACGACCAACAATATAAGTTACATCAAGGTCTCTGACGACATGAGCAAGAGCTTAGGTATATGTCGAAGGCTCGAAAAGCCTGGGACACGGTTGTTAATACTTACAAACACCATATGACCGAACTGGCATATATGTCCAGACAACAATATCATCAATAATTAGCTTGATATTACTAGAAAAATAAATTATCATCATTTTAATGAACTGTTGACTATATCTTCATGAGTTTGTACACATGGCATGTTCTCAGCAGGGGTAGTGCGACGATCTGGCAGGACTCGGAAAGAATATGAGGACTACTTCTACCCTTAATAGAGAATGAAGATAGATTGAACAGTACAGTAACACTAACACGCGACGCAAGGTGGAGAGGCCACAGGACCTTGAAATTTCTAACTTCACTTTGAGATAATCTATTCTAAAACCCATGGCGCGTATGATACTCCTTAAAACAGTTTCGATCATTCTTGGTGCAAAGAGGAACCTTGAAGAGAGAGCTGATTTGCTGGGTGGGTTGAGGATATGCTTTTGTTATGTCTTCTCGTTTCTTGTATCTGCACAGGATGCAGTAGGGGCGGTCCTTGGCTCGGACGGGGAAATGATCGTTCATCGTTTGGTCCCTTGAATTTTTTCGAGACATAAAGGGGTTTTTGGGTAGGGGTGTCGCGAGTGTTGGTGTTTCTCGTCTCTCGGCTGTCACATTTGGCGGACTCTAGCCAGGGGCTGTCGGAACTCCCTGTGATGCATGGAAGAGCCGAAGATTCTGTTGATAAGGTACGCGTTAATGATTGTTGTATCCAGTAACCAGAAGAAGATCGGAACCCATGCGCGATAAGTCCTGAGCTGAGTCGAATAGTAGCTGCGTAACTGGTCGGCGATGTCGACTCCGTTCATGTGGTGGTTATAGTCATCGATGATTTTTTGGATGGGGAGTAACGCCCTGGATTGTCCTTTATAAGCAGCCCGCACTGGCTTTGCGTTGGCGCTTGTCTCTCGAGGGCGTCTGCGATCTCGGACAACGGACCAGTCGTCGTCGCCGAGGCTGAGGGCATGGACGGTGAAGAGCATGGAGACAGGTCTATTGTCCATCCAGAACACAGTAAGAACCTGAGGTGGATCGGGCGAGGTGTAACGAGAATGAAAGATGACTTTATTCCCACTTTGTCCGCTGCTAGCTTTTATATACTAACAGAGGGCAAGAGTGGTGGCTGTCTTCGTTAAATAAAAAGAAAAAAACGCGAACTCATAGAAGGAAACGGACCTGTCCATCACAGGCTCAACCTTTGAGAACCAATGTTGCTCAGGCTCGTTGGGGTGGAAGACATGAAGATAACGCTTTAGTTGCTGGAAGCGAAAGAGGGTCATAAAGTGAGTAATAGAGTACTGAGGATACTCGGGACTGGTTGACCAGTATTCGTCGACACTGCCTGTCTGAACACGCCCATGTAAATGGTGATGCCGGTGACTATGCCAAGCTCGGCGGGTGTTGTCTCGTCCCATCGTCGCGATCCTTCGTCGAGGCCGGCTTCTTTCGATGCTGCATAAGCGTTGGTGAAGGTGGATAAATCCGAAAATACTTTGTCGCTGGAGAATAGAGTGAATATGTTTATTGGTGCCAGTTCTTGGTCGAGTTGATGAGCACGGGGAAGGTTGGACTGTGCTGGGTGTCGATCCTTGTAATGGCGAAAGATGTTTTCAAAATCTGGTACAGGCGGGAGCTCTCTAGTCTCACGAGCGGGCTTCTTAGCAGCCTTCTTCTTTGTCGGTGGAGTTGGGGCATCTATCACCCCTTCATCTCCTGCCTTCTTCTCCTTCTCCTCATCGTCGCCAGAGCTATCTGCACGAGGCGTTGGTCGAGTACGACAAAGGTCCGAAAACAACAACTCCTCCTGTGCCTCGTCCTCCTCTTCCGCAGATGCTACTACGGTGCCTTGAGAGTCAGAAACGTCAAAAGAACCGAGGAACTAGAGATTGTGGTCCATGAGTGAATTGGGCGAAGTCGATGTGTGAGAACAAAAGGGTAATGGGTTGTGGGATGATGATGGGAGATACAAAAGAGCTGAATTTAAGAGTGATGATGGTAATGAGACCAAACCGACAAGTTGTCTGTCTCTTAACCCGTTTAATTAGAAACCTGGATAAATCGAATTATTTGAAGTGACGTGGTTTTCATTGGTCCAAAATCAGACCAAAAGAACAAAAGGAGGTGTTGTTTTGGGTGTGTTTGAATCCACGCCTCTTCTTCTTTTTCTAATTTACATCCATCACACCCACACCTATCCTATCTAAGAACAGCAGAACAACAGTACAGACACAAGGAGAACAATGGAAGACATCGAACAGACCCACAATGCCCTCAAGCGACATGTCGACGATAGTGACAACGATAACAATGATAACAACGATAACGCACACGACTCACCCTCACCCAGCAGCAACACCAGTAACAGCAACAACGAGAGCTCATCCAAAAAAGCACGCGTAGATCACACCGAGGACCACTCTGCTGACGAAGAAGGCGACAACGCCAACACCGACAAGGACAGCCCGACAGAAGGCACTTCACGGAACGGTACGTCTCTTACATTTCTTCTGAGAAGCAACCGACGGCGGTCAGTGTTCGGATGAGATTGCAATTGGCACACCCAGTCATGAACAGACCTTCTCACTCCATCACACTTCTTGTTGTTTTCGACAATAGAATCAGCAGAGCCTGTGTCGGAAGCAAGAGACCCTCAGACAGGACTGACAGAATCGCAAACAAAGGCACTGGAACGGGCAAAGCAGTACGCAAGGGAAGTCCAGGAGGAGGTAATATACCCGTTCACTATGTTCAATCATTTGATACGCCTCGCTACAAACCAACGCTTCACCACACGAAAGCTAACTTCATCCCTTTGCATTCTGTAGCTTGTCAAAGCAGGAGCACTCACGTCTGTGACCGAACCAGAGCCTTCCCTCGCCATCGCCAACATCTCAGAGCAGCGCAAATCACTCTGCAGGATCTATGTCGGATCAATCTCCTTCGAAGCAACCGAGGACGATGTCCGTCAGAAACTCAGTCGATTCGGAGCCATCAAGGAACTGGCACTCAAGGTCGATACAGCAACAGGAAAACATCGCGGATTTTGCTTTGTCGAGTACGAAATACCTGAGGCCGCCATCCTGGCCGTCCAGGCGACGGACACGATCGACATTGGAGGGCGCCATCTCAAGATAGGTCGGCCCAAGAACTACGACGCTGCAGGATTGGATGAGCTGCCCCCAGCACCTGAAGATCGCATCTACGTAGCGAACATTGGCTCGCTCGTATCAGAGTCGGATCTCGCCGGCATCTTTTCTGCGTTCGGGGCTGTCGAGAAATGTGTCCTCACAGTAAGTGCAGCTGCTTGACTGGAGAATCGCTGTCATCAATTCGTATCGCGTATGATCGCCCAACTAATTTGTTTGCATTGCGTTATGTGTCGCTAGCCCGATCTCCTTACACGGAAACACCGCGGATACGGGTAAGCATCGAGTACAATTTGCACTAATAGCTGTGGCTACATTGCACCTCCTTTTCAGATCGCGACCCAACATGCTGGCAGACTATGTGATTCCTTTCGACTTGCTGAGTTCTTGGTTAATTTGTCACTCAACACGCCAAAAGAGGAATGCTTGTTTGACGACCCGGCATGATGCTCACCCGCTTTATCGCCTTATTATCTCCTCTTGTGGCCACTCTTTGTTTTTCTTCTTCTTCCTCTTCTTCGCTGTTTCTTTTGTCTTCTCTCTTACCCACTGATCCATCCGCCTCATACTCGCGACTCTTTCGACAACCGCACGGACCATTCGCCGCATAATTGGGCATTCATGGTTTTGGGACACTTCCCGTGGACAGCAGGACAAAAAGACGTTTGGGCCCTGGCGACTTTCAAGAGGATATGGATGCGCGGCGAAGGAGTCGGGAGCCTGTTCGCTGCCATTTTTCATTTTGGACCACAGACGCGTACCAGGCATTACCTTCGAGATCGCAAGCAGCAGGGGGTCCACTGCCATTCCGCCGTTGTTTGCCTGAATTTGTCGACCTTACCTCTCTACATTCCTCACTCTCTTTTTTTGGCCATGAAAATGCTAACCTTCATCATATGCCATGATCATGGGTTGGACGGGTTCACAGGGAACATCGTTTGAGCACTTGCTAACCGCCGTCCTCACTCATGCCAACTAGATATGTTCAATTCGAATCGGGCACCTCCATTGACACGATTGTCGATTCTATGAAGGGCTTTATGCTGCTGGACGTCCCTATGGGCGTGTGCAAAGCCATCATTGGCGGTCCTTTGCCTGAAGGTATGAAGTCTCTTGACGGTCTTCCACCTGTCGCTCCATCAACTGCCTCGCCATCCCAGAACCGCCCTGCTCCTCAAGCTGCCGTGTCCAATTCTGTGAGCCCCGCCAGTAAGCACTTGCACTTTTTTTTGGTTTTCTTCTGTGGTTTGCTGCATACATCTAAGAGCATCAGAAATGGTATTTGAGACTTACTATGCACCGTTTGCACTTCTACGATAGTGATCGCGAGGGCAACGGCAACGGCGGCATCGACAGCACAGCGACTTGTGGCGATTGGTCAGTCATCGGGAGCCAACATGGGTAACGACAGAGAGTCTGTGGCGTCGGAAGAGAACATGAGTATCAGTGGTAACCAACGGTATTTGGTGATGCAGAGTCTGGCACGGAGTGGTGGCATCGTACCACCTGCTTCTGCGACTACACAGCAAGCCAAGGAGATGGATCACTCGACCGTTGTCCGGCTACAGTACAACGCGACTCCCGAGGACATTGACGATCAGTTGGAGGAAGAGTTCAAGGAAGAGTGCTCCAAGTATGGTCCTGTCATCCTGGTCAAACTTTTGCCGCTTTCCGATGGCTTCCTTCGCATTTTTATCCAATTTGCTTCTCCCATTGGTACGTGCTCCTTTCTGCCTTCATGGGTGTAACTTGCAGCAGGATGTTTTTGGACCGATGCTTACAATTGAAAAACAAACTAACCATGTAATGCTTTTCTCGTGGTCAACAGATGCGAGATCGGCGGCGGCACAGTTGAACGGCAGACAGTTTGATGGCAAGACTATTCAGGCGACTCTTTTTGACCAGCAGGAGTACATTGCCGGAAGACTTGTGTAAGGCTAACAGAGCAACTGTGCTTGGTGTCACACCTTTTCTTTCCTTCCTCTCTATGACAAAATAAAAAAGCCCGTCCTCTCCTTTCTAAGTATATTGGTCAATTCTTAAGGGCAGGGTAAAAAAAAAGTCAGGAAAAAACCAATGGAAAGGAAAAAACAAGGGCAGGGAGAATCAATGGATGGGAAAAATCAAAAGATTGATTACAGAACAAGATTCTAGGAAAAGACAAGATTCTAGGTAAAGAACAAGATTCTAGGTAAAGGACAAGATTCTAGGTAAAGAGCAAGATTCTGGGAAAAGAACAAGGGATAAAAAGAACAAGGGGATGCTGGGAAAAGATCAAGGGGCTCTGGGAAAAGATCAAGGGATGCTGAGAAAAGATCAAAGGATGCAGGAAAAATATCATAGGATACTGGAAAAATATCATAGGATACTGGAAAAAGATCAAGGGATTTGGCGAGGAGAGGTCGAAAAGGATGGGAAAAGACCATGGAATATTGAGAAGTGTTCAAGGGGTGCTGGAACGATGAAAGGACCAGAAATGGGTAAAGGAATACAGGAAAAGATAGCTTCAAAGCAATAGACCAAGAGAAGACACCAAAGCGACAACATCAAGGGACAACGTCAAGGGACAACGTCAAGGGACAACGTCGAGGGACAACGTCAAGAGGCAATATCAAAAATAGCATCAAGGGACTACAATTGAGGGATGAAGAATAGGGAAGAGGAAAAGGACCAAGGGATGCATGAAAAGGATCAAGGGATGCAGAGATCACGAAAATGAGTGACAGAGATCAAGAAAATGAGTGACAAAGATGATGAAAGCCAGTGACAAACCGCAGATTGTTTAGCTGATGATCGAGATCGAGATCTGGATGTCGCAGCTCGAAATTTCTCTCTAGTCCCCTTTCGTCCTTGAATCCTAAATCCTGGGCCTGTCTTCGCTCTATTTTCCCTTACTCTGGGCTCCTTTTTTCCATTACCGTTCCTCACACTCCTCTTCGCGATTTTCGACCTTCCATCGAACACACAACACATTTACAAAAAAGAATGATGGTCCTTTACTGCTCTTCATCGAAGTACTCTCTATGTTACAGGATCATAGTATGCACTCATTTTGTGCATATATGCCTCACCCTTATTCCTTACCCCTATTCACGTGTAGATCACACACACATAAATACCCTCTCTGTCTGTACAATAAACACTATCAGTTTCTAGCCTTTCCTCTTGTCCCTACAACTATCTTGTCCTTCCTCTCGTCCTTGTCCCTCTCTGTTCGTTGTTCATACACTCTTGCTCTGCTCCTATTACACCCTTTTTCTTATTCATCTGTCTTTTTAAACTCTTTCCTCACATTCTTCTACATCTCTACACACTCACCAATCAAAAAAAAATGCTGCGTCGTCTTCAATATGAACGCAAGAAACATGAAGGTGGTACCCCGCGCAGTCCAGCAATCCAGTCTACCCCCCGCAAGTCGTTTCTGACATTGCTCCGTCCCCTCTTGCGCTGGAAGAGGGCTTTCAAAGCCAACAGTCGTTTCACCCCTCTGTACGGCGAAAACCGGCCCATCGAGATGCGTCCACAGGCGTACGTCGAGACCCCGCAGCACCGGCGGATCGAGTGGGTCGACGCCTGTGGTGGGCCCCACAGACCTCTGGGCAAGCTCCCTGCGGGCCTACGCGTCGGCGTCATTGGTGGCGGGCCCGCCGGGGTTACCACAGCCTTTGAAGCCGTCAAGGCCGGCGCCCAAGTGACCCTAATCGAAGCGCGCCACGAGGTGGGCGGTCGTGCCCGATCGGTCGAGCTTAGCGACAAGAACGTGGCCGAGCAAGGTTGCATGCGCTTCCCACCCTCGGCGGGCGCCCTGTTCGTCCTGGCCAAGGCATTCGGTTTTGCGTTCATTGAGCGATTTCCAAACCCTGGAACCGTGCCCACTCTGGTGTCCTACGGAGGCGAATGCCATTTATGGACGGATGCTGAGGCCGACTTGCCAGGATTTGAAAACGTCAAGGCTGGTTGGGATGCCTTCGTCGAGGGAGGGTGTCAGATCAATGGCAGGTCCTTCGAGTCCTGTGCCGAAGCTGTGGTCTGGTTGGAGTCACCTCAGGTAGAAGTTCGCATGAAAGCAGTCAGCACTTGGCAGGCCTACATCACCGAGTTTCAGCATGATACTTTCCGCGAGGGGTTGGAAAAAATCTTTGGATTGACCAACATGACCCCACCTGCAGGCAAGCATTGGACCAAAGACGACTTCAACCGCTTTGGTAAGCTGGGCATCGGCTCGGGAGGCTTTGGTGCGTTCTACAATGTGTGCTTCCTCACCGTGCTTCGGTACGTGCCAAACAGCTGCGAGACCGATCTAGCGTCCTTTGCTGGATATGTCGACGGCAAACTCCAGGTGATGGGTATTCGGTCTCTATGGCAGAGCATCTGGGAATCGGCGACCAAGCAGGGCCTCAAGTCTTTCCTAAGCACCAAAGCAACAAGTGTGACGAAACGCACAGCGTCCGATGGGAGGACGGTCTTTGTTGTTCGGACAGAATCCCCACAAGGACCCTCGGAACTCGAGTTCGACGAGCTATTTATCAATCTCACCGTCAACGTTGCCAACAGGGATTTGGACTTGGGACGCAAAGGACCCGATCAGCTGTTCCCTGATGCCACCTGCGAGGCCATCAAGAATCTGCACATGACTCTCTCGACCAAGATTACCTTCCAGGTGCCGCGGTCTCCCCTTTTTAATGATCCCGCATTCCCTCGGGCCTTGATAACAGATGGCGATCTCCCGCAAGCCTACTGTTTCGACTATGGTGACCCTAAAACAGTCGTTGTCATGCTCGCCTACGCCTGGGAGGAAGACTCTCGACGCCTGGAGAGTGAGAAGGATCCCGCCAAGCTGTTTCGCCGGTTGAAGAGCCTAGTAGAGCAAGCTGCGGCCAAGTCTCCGTACCCTCAGTGGGCGAAAATACTGCGACCAGTTGGAGACATTGTGTTAACACATTGGCAAGAGGATCCTTATTCTCTGGGTGCCTTTGCCTTTGCAGAACCGGGTCAGGATCGACATTGTGCAGCGCTGTTTTACGATTTTGAGAAGAAACAAGGACCTTACTTGATCGGCGATAGCTACTCGCATGGGAATCCGTGGGTCGAGGGGGCGCTGGAGAGTGCGTACAACTGCTTTTCGGCCGTGGTTAAGCAACGCGGTACATTGTACCATCCTGATAAAGCGCCAGTCAACCTCATTCAGTCTGGAATATACTTTTATGATTAAAGTGGCATAATGTCCAACTCTTATGTACAATTATCACATTAGTGGATGGTCTATCGGCCGAAATAAATTATCTTCTTGAATTGCGCAACAATAAGAATAGAAGAGGGATGTTAAGTTGAAAAAAGGAGAAATGCATGAGCATGACGAGAGGTATAACAAATCTGGATACAATGAGAGAAAGATTAAAGGATATAATGCAAGAGGGGATTGACTAAAAGAACCAACGGGAAGCGCGACAGGCTCTCTTGGATAGTAGCCAATCCACAGATCGACGTATACACGGACGCTTCCACGTCCGGATGGGGAGTGGTAATCAACAACCGAGCATACAGTGGCACCTGGCCGACAACTCACCACCCCCGACACATCAACTACAAGGAGTTGTTGATGATCTTCTACGCCCTCCAGAGACCAGAGGTCAAGGGTCGCACAGTCAACATCATATCGGACAACATCACGACAATCGCATACATCAGACACTTCGGGGGGACGAGGTCGCCGGAGCTGATGAAGCTGGCGACATTGATATGGACTGGTGCCTCAAGACCGGGACCAGGATTCAAACAACATACGTCCCATCAGTTTTCAACCCAGCAGATGCCCCCTCCCCCCTCCCCGTCAACTGACGGGTCAACTCGAATGGACAATCAGCCCGTCCTTTTTCGACCGCATGGACCAAAAATGGGGCCCCCATACCGTCGATCTCTTCGCATCTCCCGACAACCACCACCAGGTACAATCGGTCACGATGTTCTCCAGCATCAATGGCAACCCCTAGCCGTCTCTCCAAGTGCAAAGGATATATAATAAGATATAAAAAATATCCAAAGCCCAAAAAATGCACTGTAGACTTCCATAGCTGATATGTTTCTCCAAAGTCCGGAAGAGAACTTACCTTTTGGTTGCTGACGCCTGGGAGCTAAGGGGCGAGTGAGTGAGTTCGACAACGAGGAGGAGGAGAATGTGGCGGCGGAAGGTGAGATCTTGAAGTTCGTCCGTAGATAATTTGATCGACGATTCTCGAGTATCCATCCCGACTTCGTGCATGATAGGAGCGGCTTGCTTGAAAATGTCGATGTTTAGGATGTCGGAGGGCGGGGCGAGAAAGTAACGAGGACGGGTGAAGAACCGAGTGTAGGGATGGCCACCCACCAAAGGAAGGTGGCGATTGAGTGGAAAATGAAGGGTGGTGGGAGGAAGGAGGGTGAGTAAGGAACTGAAGGAAAAGACAACGCGATCCTTGGCGTTTCCTATCGTCCTTTTTATTTGATTGCTTCAAGGGTAATCCATGAATACACGTCATTTGGCCTCTGGTAAAAAAAAAAAACAGGCAACGCGCACCGAAATGCTTGTTTAAAATAAGTCTTGCAAACCAAGGTAACACCTACAGCTTGACCCGAGAGGGAATAGGAAAAGCCTTGGTTGAAGGACAGATGTAAATAGAACAAACGACATTGGGCGCTGATGATCTGGTCCGCCTCTGAGGGAATGAGCCACTCTGAACACCAACGCTAATGGGACCGAATAAAAAAAGTGTCGAGCATTTGATTAGATAATAGAGTCATAAGGACGAAAAAATAAGGTGGAGATAAGACGTACGATTGAACCTTTGCAGGATGCGGCCTTGGTACTCTAGGAAACACCAGTCTTGGATGACATGGCTGTGTACGAGGGATCCTTGTCTCGAAGGAAACCGCTCGTATACGGGCTAACGATCAAGTCGTACCTATGGAGAAAAGTATGACGATGAAAAACGTCAATTGTCAATGGTGCGTCGTATTCAGAGCTCAAGAGAGAAACCCCCCCAAAAAAAACATGATCAAAATAAAACATACTTGCTGACGATCATCAGGTACTCGACGCCAGACATGGTGTCGCCGCCATGGTTCATATCCGTTCATCTACGTGAGGATTGGGTTGTTGGCGAGGAACTGGAAGCACGACAGACAGACCATGTTAAACACCTAATGGTTGTCGTTGGTAGGATTAGAAAGATACACCTTTAAGTAAAATACGCCGTGTTGGATGAGTTGACCACTTGGAACAAGTTGTCAGGATCATAGAGACCAGGAGGTTGGATAACACTCAGAGCCGCGAATTTGTGTATAAACCAGAAAGTTGCGTTAATAAGCAGGCCACCGTACCTCTACGACTGTATAGCTAAGGTTCTCGATCGTCCCTAGGCTCTAGGCTGCGCAATGTGGCTTTAATGCGCTCTCTGTCAGCCATATTTTGTTCGTTGGCTTTCTATTCTGCGTACATCCAGCAGTCCGCATGCCAGCATAATTGGCCTTGTTCCTCTGACCCTTTTTTTTCCTTTACCCAGAATAGAGTGACTCCACCCGACCCCACATTGTCTTAACACTGATCGCTCCTTCTCTTGCATCTTCTTCTCTATCTTCCCATCTTCTCCTTCTCATACCCCATCACCCTCTGACACACCCTCACCCGCAGAACATAACTACTCCATCCCTCTCACACCCGACTCATTCATCACCTCTTCCTCTGATTCACTCTCATTCTCATTCAACATGACCGTCCCAGCAACCACCGCCGCCATCTCCACCTCAAAGCGCCTCTTCGACTTTTGGTTCAAGGGTAAATACACTTCTCCATTCCTAACGCAGCGAAACGTAACACAGATCATATCCTACCTTGCTTGACTTCAACTGGACTCTCAATTGACCCTTGCTACCCTCACCTCTCCCTATTGCCTAGGCTATCTTCCCGATCAGCCGTTGAAGCGCGAGAACTTTATGTTTTGGTACAAAAGCACCCCCGAACTCGACGACCAGCTGAGGTACATTCCACCATGTCTACTCGTTGTCCTCTCCTTTCGTGTTCTCACCTTAGCTCCCCTGTATACTCTCGCATGTATGCTGCACGACCCTTCTCCTAACAAACAACCAACTAACCCATAAAATAGAGTGGAATTCAAGGACGACGCAGAGAGAGCACTTGTTGACAAAGAGTTCCGGGACAGCATGACATCCACAGGCGAAGGAACTGTCGCATTGGCGCTCTTACTCGACCAGGTCCCTCGCAACATCTTTCGTGGATCCCCTCGTCCCTTCACGGAATTTGACCCCTTGGCGAGACAGATAGTCAAGGAGGCATTGGCTAAAAAGTCCTGTCATACCGTTCATCCTTTCTTCCGCCACTTTCTCTACATGGTACGTATGACCTTTTCTTGTTCTTTTTGTTTGAATTTGTCACTTTGTTCAAATTGAGTTGTCAACTAATTCAACCCTCGCTCCCCTGAATAGCCATTGATGCACTCGGAGAGTGTCGAAGACCAGGCGGCATGTGTGCGCGAGTTCATCCAGGAATACAATGAGGTCGAGCCAGCCTTCAAGGACATGTTCAAGAACTGTCATACCTTTGCAGAAGCCCACGAGGCTGTTATCCAAAAGTTTGGTCGCTTCCCTCATCGTAATGAGATCTTGGGTCGTACCCCTACCGAGGCCGAGAAGATCCATCTCGAGACCGGTGGTGATCGTTGGTAGCTTTTATCTTTTATCTTTTCTCTTTTTTTTTTTTTTTTTTTTTTTTTTTTGTTTTGTTGCCATGCGCGTTTTGAATGAATTTTGCGATTTGATGTAGAGACACTTTATAGATTCTGATAGATGTTGGCTAGCTGCCCTGGTAGCAATCACTCACACAAACAACATCGTGGTCATTGTTTCCAATGCAAAAGTTCTCGTTTGTCCTTCTTCCTCTTCTCCCCCGACTTTCTCATTTTACTACTAAATATCCAAAAGAGAAATTGCTAAAAAGAAAAAAGAAAAAAGAAAAAAGAAAAAAGAAAAAAAAAGAAACACTACTATGTTGCATGATGTAAACGTCTCACAGACGACGTGCCTTCTTTGCGCGTTGCTGGTTGTCAATATACTTGTTCCACTTCATCACCCCATCATCCAACCACTCGCCGTTGTAAATACAAAGCACCTTCATCCGCTCGTGGTACTCCAAGTTCGGCAAAAGCTTGGGTGTGATCAAAAAGTATTGTGCCGTGTTGGGCTTGCATGCCTTTTCGACCAACTGCGAGTGCACCAACCGCTCATTACGCTAATTAGACGTACCATACAGTAACAAACCAGTCTGTCAGTACACACCTTTTATATACATTCAGCCATTGGTTCAGTGGAAAAATGAAGAGACAGAAAGGGTTACTTACGGGATCCATGCCCTGGTTGATCTCATCGACCACACGGAACGACACCTTGGACAGCGACTGCATCGCCATCAAGTACATGATCGTCGACACCGAACGCTCCTATAAACACAGAGGTCAAGATATTGTTAGAATATACCTGTTACATACTGACACTCTCCTGAACAATGGTTCTATGTGCTCCAAGAGAAATAGATACTTACTCCTCCAGATTGACGCTGTCCAGTGAGTTTTTGGAGCTTTTCCGAATCTCTATAATACACAAAGATATATCAATGCTTCCAGCGTTAGTTTCACTCCTTCCACAACTTTGATACACAAAGCGCAAAATGCAAAGAAAAAAAGGCGTACCTGAACTTGACGAGGATGTCAATGCTCCACTTGTCATAGTCCTCATGCTCGCCCAGTTTGATCTCACCAGCACATCCAATCTTGGCAAAAGAAGTCGAGAAGCTCTCGCTGATATCATTGACCAACTGCGAGATCTTGGCGTACCAAGGCCCACGAATAGTCGCAATGTCGCCCTCAATCTTCTTCAGCCGCTTCTCCTTGGATTCCACGGTCGCTTTGGCCACCTTGATCTCCTCCAATCGCCGCTCGTACTTTTCAATCACGGATGGGTGGGTCTGGTAGTGAAGTGCCACCTTGGCCTGCTCGCCCGCAAGCATGTCCTCCAGTGCCGCCAGCGAAATTCCGGTTCCTATCTGCGTAAAGAAAACGGGAAAGAGGAGTCGATTTAAGTACGATGGTACAAAGGACCAACATGCCAAGATGCACTATTAATTTTCCGAATCTGCACAACTTACTTCTTTGAATTCGTCATGTTCCTCGGGCTGCAAAGTGGCGTATTCGGTCTTGGCCTTTTCCAGCAGATCCCTAGCTTGATCCTTGACCTTCTCGTACGCGTCGTTTGCTGAAATAAAAGAAAATAATAAATGTCAGTCTCAATGTTGTCTTGCATTTCGCAAATTCAACAGCACGTCATTACTCCGAAAAATAAAAGGTAGGACTCTTACCCTGAGTGTACTCGGCCTCGGCGCGCTCGAGTTCCTCTTGCGCGCTCGCCCACTCATCGTCCATGGCCTTGGAAACCGCATGAGCCTGGAGTCGGGCCAAAGTCGAGAGGGTGACTTTTGTGACAAGACGCTGGTTCTCCTTCATCAACTCCACATACTCCAACGTCAGCTTGCAGCGTTTCGTCGCCAACCTTTTCAGCTGCTCCTGAATTCGCTCCTCCTGGTCTTCTGTGCTCGGCTCATCCAGTTTCCGTTGCAGTTCCTCCTTGGCTTTGTTAAGCTCAATCCTGTTTTTGTGGATCTTCCTGAGAGTGTTGTTCAGCTCCTCCTTCCTCCGTTTCAGCGCAGATTCCTTGTCTGTGAACTCTGTATAAACCCTCCGGACTCGGCTCTCCTCTGCATGCAATTCCTTGATGTTGCCCTCACGCTCGTTCAATTGACCTCGCAACTCATCCACGCTCTTGCTAAGACGTTCCCTCTCGGTCGGGTCGACAGATGCCGTCAAGATCTGGGCCTGGCGGATCTGGGACGATGTCTCAATCGCCTCCTTTGTATGTCTGGAAATGTTAATACTGAACACGTTCGTCAGTGTGGCGTATTTCCTGAATCTTCCGCTGTCTCGGATCGCTTTGCTGTCCAGGTCATTTTTGTCGGAGAGCGGGATCTGATGAATATTCGCTTTGGAGCACAGGACGGCCAACACTGTCGGTGGGCCTTCCACGGCGTCGAGAATGTAAGAATGGAATCCCCAGTCCCGCAGTTCCTCATGGGACATTGGAGATTTGTACTGGTCCATGTTGAGAGACCTCTCGTCCGGTGCCATAACATTGACTCTTTTTTGCATCCTGTCCAAGTACTCGGCCGTGAAGATGTTGTAGTCCTCTCTGGTCTGGCAAACAAAGGTCTAATGAAGCAAAAAAAAAAAAGTTACTGGTTAATAAAACAGGCTAAAGATCCATAGAGTGTTCACTTTTTGAGAATCGTAAATATGAGAATAGTTACCTTGAGGAAGTTGCGAATGTTGGACTCGATGGCATCGGCAAACTTTTTGTCTTTGACGTTGATCTCGAGACAGATTGGGTCGAAGACGCGATTCTTGAACAAGTGACGGTTCTGGCGAAGCCATATCACTGCTTCGTAGACGTCGTTATCCGCATTCCTCAAGGCCTGAAGCTTGCGGTTTTTAACATCCTCGAGTTCGTCCATTCTAACATTTTTTAAGGTATTCATGTGTTAGTTTCAATATATGCTCCGCTAGTGCTAGTATCACAAGAAAATAACGGAAAAGTGAGACGTGTTGTACATACTTTTTCCTCTTTTGAGTGAGATCGGCATTGAGCCTTGCGCAATGGTCCACAATATCGGCTTGCTGCTGCTGCAACGTTGAGATGGCGTCCTTGGACTCCCGGCTCTCTTCTACCAAGGCACGCTATTTGGATAATATCGAGTTAAAAGGACAATTAGCACGAGTCGATTGAGATTTCAATCAACTAGAGAGCTGACAACTGTTCCCATCGCTCACGCTGATAACTTACAATTTCATGGTCCAATTCACCCTTCTCGGCTTTGACGTCGTCCTCGGATGGCGCACCATCGACAATTGTCTGACAGGCAACCAGTTTGCGCCTGGTGTTGGCAATCAACGCCTCTCTTTGCTGACCCTTGGCCCTCAATCTGTCCTGATCACTGCGTAATTCTTCTCCTTGCCCTTCCTAAATGTTCAAACGTCGTAGGATGGGCGTCATGGTTGTTAACACACGTTCGAATGTCGTACAACATCGAGTCACCAATTCGTCAGACCAAATTGAATGAGTAACTGTCCGATTGGCAACTTACAGTCGCTTCTATTTCATTGCCCTTGGCTTTGAGAGTTCGAACTGCCCGTTGGTATAATTGATCGAGTTTGTTCTTTTGTTCCTGGAGTTCTTTCTCATGCTCTTCAGTCTGACTAGAAGGTATAGGTAGAGGAATGCATTAATATCTGGCACACATATAATCAATGTAACAATACTGTTGAAGAGACTGCTCTAGTACTTACATCTTCTTCTGCTGCATGGGACCGCTTGCGGCCTCCATTTCCTTGAAACGTTGGAAAAGATGACGACGCGCTCCCTTCAACCTGTCGTATTCTTCCTTGGCAAGCCCGTACCTGGCGTACAGAATCCAAATATCGATAAAGCGGACCTAATCAACAAGACGATTGTGCCTGGTGTTAGTTTCATGTCGCTACTTGTTCTCAGTATATACCGCATCATTGACATCCCCAGGCAAGCCATACTCTTCGCAAGACGGCAGCGCGCTGTTGGAACCGAATAACATCCTTCTCGATTTGGGCGTTTTGTTTCTCGTTTGCTGCAATGGCGTCGAGGTCTCCTTTTACAGACTACAATGCGTGTTGGGAACAAGAATAGTCAGTATTTGAATATGCCTCCAAAAACAAAAAAATACCTCCTTGGACAACGTCAGGAATTCCTCGAGCTTACAGCAGCGGCGATCTTGTATTCGTTCCAGAGCTCGACCATCTTTTGGTGTGCGTTGAGCATTTCCTCGCCTCCGACTGCACGCTGAGTCTCCTTCAACAACTCCTGCGGCGACATCTGTTTATTGTGACAAAAGAAATAATAAGAGGGTTAATATTTCGACGCCGTAAAAGGGGCTGAGTGTTTTTAACAAGAGAGACAGCACTGGCTGAGGCGATAGGTACCTGCGCGAACTCTGACACTCTGTCTTGTGGGAGGAATTGACTAATAGGAGATATAAATATTATCGATGTTCAGATACGTTTATCATGTAGGCTGATCATCTCCAAGAGACCAGTTCATAAAAGTGAGCGTTGGTTACCAGAGGTTGTCGACTTGGATGTTGAAGGACTGGACCTTGGCGGCAACCTCCTTCTGAGTCTTGTTTTCGCCTAAGGGACACAAACACCAATAAAAAAATGCAAGTCAGTATGCGATACAGCACACTTGTCATCGGGTGCAACTAAAGAGCTGCTTACCGTTGATCTTCCAGATACTATGGTTGTTATTCTTGTTGATGTTTCTCTTGATGGCGACATTGGATCCATTCTTGTTGCAGAGGACGATCTCGATCCAGCCCTTGTCCGAGCCATGCTTGACAAACTCTGAAATATCCTTTGCCCTCCCAAGCAACTATGTAAAACAAATGAGAGAAATGTAAGGTTAAGCTGGAGCTATTTGTAAGGAAAGGTGTGCATGGCTGCATAATCGAAAACACATTCTCGGATGCACGTAATAGCTAACTTACGTTAGTGTTCCAGCCAAGTCCGAGAGCGAGAGCACAGACGATAGTACTCTTTCCTGTGCCGTTGGGTCCGATAATCATGTTGAGATTGGGTCCAGGCGAGAATGTGCAGGATTCGTATGTCACAAAGCTCTTCATCGACACCCTCAGAATCGAGCCATGCTGATATCTATTGCAAAACAATGGACATAAACGTACGAGTTGTCAGCCTGCAGGTCTACCACTGTCGATAGCTGTTTTTCTTTCCTTCAGTGCTAGCGAGCCTACGTACTCGGTCTTGTCAGGGATGCCATGGAGCGCGGAATGTATTTTGTTGCGAGGCACGACCTGGCTACTCTGGCTGTGGCTTTGTGACGCTTCCCGTTCGTCATTTCCGTCGTCGTGTTGTCTCCTGCGTTTTGAGGATGATCCTTCGGCCTTGGCCCTTGCGTCCATTGTGTTTGTTGACTGGTGTGTGCAGATGAGCCGAAGGAAAGGACAAAGGGTCTATTGTCTCCAAGTCCGTGTGTTCCTGAAGTTCAAAATAAACGTCCTCGAAATTGGCGGCAATGACAACCCATACCTTTTTTGTTTTTTTTTGTTTTTTCTGCTATTCAGGGAAAAAATGCCCGTCCGTGACGACACATCAATTTTATCCAATCAAAAGTGGACCTGTCCAGGTGTTCCTCGTACGTGCACATGGTCTTCCTCACTTGAAAGCACTTCACCGTACAACGCACATGAAAAGCGATGGCTGCTACTTCTCTTAACAACACCTCAACTCAACAGACAGGGAATCATCACACAAGAACGGGGACATGTCAACTCCGAACCCAGCTTCGCCATCACGACAGCCCCAGAACGGACCTCCACCAACACGGAAACACAACAAGAAAAAGTCAAGGTCATCATGGAAGGCTGGCTTCAAGTCCACCCCATCCTCCCCCTCGCAGTCTAACCTCGACGGGCGCTCAACAGCTCCTGCTGCCCCATTGACCGAGCTGTCTTATGCCACCAATACCAACACCAATATCAACACCAAGGCCAACAGCAGTACTGCCAGCACAAACAACTACATCACGCTTGAACATACCCCTCTCACAACAAGCGTACTCAGTAACGACATCAACAACAGCAACAACATCCAAAGTAGAGCAAATCGCAACCCACAATTAATCACGGATAATCCGGAGGGAAAGGAGAACCGATCACCACCTCAAACTCAACTACTTACCAACCTCAAAGTCGACACCTCTACCAAAGAGAGCTATACTAGTAGCAACATCACGACGACAACGACAACAACAACGACAGCAACAGCCGGCAAGGGACCGTCAACACCCAGGAAGAATGAGTTTCTTCAGAATCTGGACATCCAACTTATCAAGCTGCAGCGGGAAGAAGAACGCGGTCAGGGGTCACCTTCAAGTTCCAAGGATACAAAGCAGACCAATGGAACGCCAAGTGTCACAAAGCCAGGGAGCTCTATCAAGGTCTTTGATCACGAACTCTCTCAACTTCTCAAGACCCCTGCCCCATCGGTAGCACCAGTTGGCGGAGAAGGCTCCCAAGGTACATAAATGCCGCCATTGAATTAATTGGGCGTTTTAGGGGCGGTCAAAGCAGTTGTCAGCAGTGGGCTAACGTCGTAGTATCGATATCTCGGAACTATAGTACTCATTGATGATCTCAAGCTGAGGACTCTCATTGGATCGATCTCACCGCCAGACCATCCCACCGTTTCTCTCTGGGACTACCTCAAGGAGGAGCTCACCGCCGCCGACTTTGAATCGACCCAGGAGCTCAAACGGGAACGAGTCGCCAACTTTCTCAGCGTCCCCATTGCCTTTGAAAAGGTAAGTGTTCGCTCTGATGGATTCCACAGTTCTCAATGAAAGCAGCTGCATGATTCAAGTGGATCAACGACTGACTGAGCCATTTTTCTCAAAATGTATGCGTGTAGATGCTTGTGTTTGGATATTTCGTCTGCCTGGACTCGTTCTTATACACGTTTACCATCCTACCAGCAAGGTTCATGCTGGCCCTGGTGGCCCTCTTCCGCTATGTGTTTTCCAGAACATGGTTTTCCAAAAGCAAGGAGCGGACGTAAGACTTGTCAGCTCACAGCGGATTCACCGAAGTATCATTGCATACAAGGAAACAATCTCACACTTTACCTTGTTGTTATTAGACGCCTCAAGTCGTCGCAAAAGTGCGATCTTATCAAGGTCGCACTAGTCGTTATTGCGTGCACGATTCTCCAGTCTGTCGACGCTTCCAGGACATATCATTTCATTCGCGGACAAAATGCTATGAAGCTCTATGCCATCTTCAACTGCCTCGAGGTGGGTTTCACCATGCGGATGCGGATGCGGATACTGTTTTTTTGCTCAATGTTCTCCTACCAAAAAGAAGATGGTACTTATCGCCGTTTTTTCTTCAATGCGATAGATCTTTGATAGGCTGTGTTGCTCGTTTGGTCAGGATATTCTGGATTCGCTGTTTTCAAAGTCAACACTTGGGAGCCACCCACCCATGTCCAGCCTTACGGCGTCGAGACACGCACGACCCATAACATTTGTTCTCCTGGCTATCTTGTACATCTGTAAGCGCCCTTTGCTGGTAACCATTCCGTGCTCCTCGGCGTGGCGGAATGAGCAATGCGGAGATAATTCTAAGAGAATAATATGGTACCATGTATCTCAGAAGAAGTACATCATGCTAATTTATTTCATCCCTCCTTCGATACATTATATCCATTTCTTTTTTTTTCTAGTGGCGCACACGATGGTGCTCTTTTTCCAGATGGTGACACTGAATGTAGCCGTGAACTCGTACTCGAACGCGCTGTTGACCTTGCTCATTAGCAACCAGTTTGTGGAGATCAAGGGCAGTGTCTTTAAGAAGTTTGAGAAAGAGAATCTCTTTCAGCTCAGCTGCAGTGGTAAGCTTCTGTCTCACGGTCCGACTCCTTACACTACCTTGTCAATGGCAAATGGTTGTTCTAACCGATAATTCACACCACGAATGATAGATATCGTGGAGCGTTTCCAGTTGTCGGTGTTTGTGACGATTATCACGATCAGGAACCTTGTGGAACTCTCGGCAGCACCCCCATCACCTTTCTCAGTATACCCACAGTCATTTGTCCCTTTGTTTTCATCCATGACTGCCGTGGCTCGCCTGCTGACGCCATGTTTCCTGGTCCTTGGTTGCGAGACTCTGGTGGATTGGCTGAAGCATGCCTTTATTACCAAATTCAACCAGATCCGGCCTAGTGTCTATGGGCGCTTTGTCGATATCCTCAGCAGGGACTTGGTTGTTGGAAGCCCTGCTCGTCTCGCCGGCCGGAACAACGTATGTTTACCCATTGATGTCGTTGTTGTTGGATGTTGTTCTATTCACTCGTTCATGCGCTTTAGTATTTGATCTTGGTGTACTTTTTGTTGTTATGATCCTCGTTATGCGTTCCAAATACACCTTTATCGCATGGAAGCCCTTACCCGAGGGAAGAAACCTCCTTCCTTCATTCCAAAGAAAAGAAACACAAGATGACCTGCTCATTCAACAATCCCCTTTCATTCTCTCTCTCTTCTATTACTACTCATAACAATAACACAGCAGCAACAGATGTACGTGGATCAATCGCCTATGGTATCCAGGAGAATTGGATTGGCAGCGTTGCCATTGGCATGCCTCGTGATCTGTGTGACTATCCAGACCCTGCAGATGGTCATGTCGACATCACCTTCGGATCTTGGACGGGACGGATCTCCACCCATAATGGCCGAGACCTTTGCGGCATCCGCTACCGTGTTGACGTTTGGTCAGATATCGTTCGAGTGGATCATGCCTCCGATTGACTTTTCCTCAGGGGCGGCAGTAGTGTCTGCAGGGATCATTGAGGCGTTGGTCTCGCTCTTCAAGGTTGCCTGGCAGTTTTTGGGGCAGTGTTTAGTAGTTGTTGGACAGGTGGCGTTGAGATGGGCACATCAAATAGGATTCAGTCAGGAGCTGGGCCGCAAGTTGATGGAGTATGCGGTGATCAGTCTGGCGTGTCTGGCGACGTTTGCATGCTTGGTGGCATTGAAGATGTTGATTGGGATCAACCTGTTGGGGTTTGCGCACCATCGGTATATGACGATGGAGTCTCGGGAAAGAGTCGAGAGACAGGCGGACAGGGCGATGAGAGAGTCGAATGCGGCGCTGGAGGAGAAGGCGGTGAGTGCGGCGGTATCGGGGATGCTTGATGGACGGACAGCGGGAGGACAGGCGAATAGCGATGCGTTTGGGGTGAATGGGGAGAAGCGGGTCAACCATGGGTTGGATACGATTGACCGGTACACGCTATACAAGTCGCGTATTCCTTAGGTTTGTTCAGCCTTTTACATTGAAGAAGCATTTTTTAATGCGAGAGACAAGCCTGAGTGTTATCAATAGTTAATTGTATAGGGTTAATTACCCACAGCAGCAATAAATAATACAACGTGAGCATTCTCTATCTGTCTGTCGATTCTTTGCTCTCGTTGTTGTTGTTGTTGTTGTGTTGTTGCCCACTGTCGACATACCTGCCTGCCTACTCTTCCCCTTTCATTGACCACCTATTTTTGAGACAAAGAGACAGAGCTTCTTCTTCTTCTTCTTATTTGCCACCACTATTTTCACCTTTCATCATCATCATCCTTCTTCATCATCTCATCTCATCTCTCCTTCGCTCTTCACTCTTCACTCTTCACTCTTCACTCTTCAATCTTCACTTGTCATACCCTCCCGCATTCCACAACACATTCATCCCATTCATACTTTCCCTTTCACTTACACCCTCTTGTCTGTCATCTGATCAACCCTTCATTACCACCTTCTTCACTTTCAAATCCCTCTGCTGCTCTCTAATACTCAACAACAGAGATCATACAGAGAGGACAACAAAGAAGAGCATAGCCAACAATGTCGCCAGGACAACCAGGACGCCACGACGACCGCAAGGGTTCTACTAGCTCCTCCACTGGTCGACTCGACTCGCCCTTCACCGACACCAACAACTCCTCTACAACACAAAGCCCCATGACCGAACAACATCGTCGCCCCTCCGGCAGCTCTGGCTACTTTTCACAATCCCACTACAACACCAACAACAATGCCAACGGTAGTACTAGTAGTACCCACAGTCCTTATGTGCCACGATCGCCCTTCAACAATAACAGCAATAGTGAAGAACGAGAGCGACCTAGGCCCATCAATGGTCGGAGCTATCACCTCGACACACCACAACCATCTTCAACATCCTACTCGTCCCGTCGTGGCAAGGGCAGCAAGGACGGGTCAGAGTCGTCGTCCTCAGGCAACAACGGCCTCTTGGCCTTCTTCCGCACCTCCTCCTCTTCCTCAAGACCCCCCTCGCCAGACCTCCTCGACACCTTCTACAGTAACAGCCACACCAGAAAGACCTCCTTCTCCAGCAATACCAATAGCAACAGCAATATCGGCAACAGTAGCCATGGCATTGGCCACCGGAACGTCGTCCTCTCCAGCTCTGCCGGTTCCCTCTTCTCCAACAGCAGTAGCGTGCTAAACAGCAACAATACCACAAACAGCAGCAACAATTATAACTACAGCAATGGCAATGGGTCGTACAATGGCGGCGGCAGTCTAACCAATATCCACCAGCAGCAGCAACAGCAGCAGCATAATAACCACAACAGTCTGAGCCATCCTTTTGACGCGGATGCAGACAGGAGGCGCTCCATCGAATCTTATTCTCGATCCCCTTCCCCTGACCAACTCCAACAACAGCAACAACTCTACCTCCAGCAACATCACCTCCAGCAGAGCAGCAGTGGAGGCAACAACAGGCGGCAACTCTTCCCCGCGACTCCTCCTGCCCCTCACATTCGACCCCATCAGCGCACAGATTCCATCAAGAACGCCATGGAGGCCCAACATCGCAGGACAAAGTCGACCGACTCTGGAGAGATTTACGGAAAGAGACAAGGGCAGGACCAAGACCAACCCAACCACGCCGTCAGCCCTGCCAAGGAGACCAAAAAGATCCTCTTTGGTCTCTTCAAAAAGAAGGCCCTTCTCCACCACGGCTCCTCCTCTTCGTCTTCGTCGTCCTCACAACAGCAGCAGCAGCAGCAGCAACAGCAACAACAACAACAACAACAACACCTGCTCCTTCAGCAACAGCAGCAACAGATGTTTCCCCACAACCAGTATCAAACCCATGGTGGTAGTAAGTTGAGACCTCGTTTGCCTTACCTCAGCACATCCAGCGAGTAATATGAGTACCAATTGAATGTCTTGAGGTTTAACTAACCACGTCAATCGCTTGACTTTCAAACGGTGCTTGTTCTATCTTACCAATTAGGGTCGCGCAAGTACTCTGCCGACGACCAGTATTTGACCTCGCCGCCAGCTGCCTCGACCCTTACTGCATTCTCGATGGCTCTCTTCCCCGACATTGACTCTCCTTCGAACTACTATGACCGGAGACACGGTAGCGACACTGCAGAAACACAGCGAGCATTGCAGTATATGACTGGAGGAAAGAAAGGATCACGAGGAGTAAGTAACGACCATGTTCCTCTTGGCTGTCCACCCGCACGCTGTGCGCTATGTCACAAAATGACAGCTTTTCATTTTTCTTTTTGAGTTACTGTGGATATCTGGCAAAAAGGCTGGAATTACAGACAGTGTGGAAAATTGCCATATTACGATCATGGATTCCGCCTCTAACATTTAAACCCTCTTCGTCTCTTCCCTGTCACTTTCCTTTGTTTCCCCTCCTCTTACTCTCCTCCTTTCCCACTCGCCTGCCATCGTTCAATTCCTTCACCTTTGCGCCACTCCCACTTGGCATTGCAGGAACAACTTTTCCCAGGTTTTGTTGGTATATATCACTCCACTGGTTTATTCATGTCACCTCAGCACCACACAGTCGCATAACTCAAGCCAGTGCCTTGACTACGATTCTCATACATTTTCACCTCTTTTCTCGTGCCCAAAACTATAATAGTCGACTTGAACGACATGTCGGGAATCAAGCAGGACCCAAAACACAACAATTGGCTCCCGTTGACACCAGCAGCAGGGGCAGAGGCATGGCATGCTCCAGAGAGTTGGGGCGTCCTGCCACCTTCGTCGACTGTATCAGGAGCACAGCTCTCACTCGCCCTCTCACCAGAAGACCTCACGTCGGAGGAGATGGATCCAACCGACTTTGAAAACTGGGAGTATGGCAAGAAAAAGCCCTCGACTATCCGCATTTTCCGACCCGATACCACTTATACCACCGTCAACTGTGTCTTCAGCATCACCGCCAGCGAGTTGAGTGCAATCCTGTGCAAGAAAATCTTCAAACCTGATACCTCAAAGTACCATCTCTATGTCCTACGCAATGGCATCGGTAAGAAGGCCTTTTGTTCGCTTTGCTAATTAATGTTTTGCCATAACAAAACGCGAAAGGCGGAGTCTAAACACGCTTCACATTTCATGTCTTGAATCTTGTCTCTAGTTCGTCCGCTCAGTTCGCAGGAGAGGCCACTCAACATTTTGCGAAGATTAATGTTGCAATTTGGATACACCGACCAGGACAAGCTTGAGGAGCTGTCAGGAAAGGACAACAGCTTTATCTGCCGCATCACTTTTGCCGAGAATGCTGCTCCATTGACCACGGTATGTCGAATTTTTTTCGCTTGCCTGTAGTATTAAGACTCTGCGCACGTAAATATGCGAGACGCACTTTCAACTTTGAAAATACTGACATCGTTTCCACTATTGCACTTTATCATCGCCCCCAAAAGGAGGCTGACCTTCCCGAAAACACCAACTACGCCGACGTCAACTTGGAGAGGCGATGTCTCCCGACTATCCCGATTTTCCTTTACTCGAGAGCCAAAAATATCGTCCGCCTCAACATCTCGTACAACCAACGCATGGACCTGCCGCTCGACTTTGTTCAGAACTGCAGCGTGATGAGGGAGCTCCGGATGGCTTACAACGACTTGGACCGAGTTCCCAGCAATGTTCGCTCCATCGTCTACCTTCAAGTCCTGGATCTTCGCGGGAACAGGATCAAGGATCTCAGCAAGGCCAGGCTGGAGGATGCGCGGGAGCTGGTTACTCTCTTCCTGCAGAGCAACCGTCTCGAGACCATCCCAGATTCGTTCGAGTCCTTTGAGCACCTCCGCATCCTGAACCTCTCTAGCAACAACATGTCCAAGCTCCCTCTTGTCCTCTTCCGTATCCTTTCGCTCGAGGAGCTGGACCTGAGTTTCAACGAGATTTCAGAGATTCCCGAAGAGATTGGTCAGCTTGTCAGGTTACGGAAACTTTTGCTCTTTGGAAACAGGATTGGACCCTACCTACCCAAGTCCATGTCGTCACTTGCTCGCCTCAAGAAACTGGACATTCGACAGAACGGAATCTTGAATCTGGATGCCGTCAACGACTTGCGATCTCTGGAGGAAATCCTTGTCGACTTTAACACCAATGTCACCTTCAACAACTCTTTCCGCTCACTCGCGAGGGCGTCGTTCCTGAAATGCAACATGACTGACATCAGCGTGAGAGGAACATCCGAGACATTGACCTACCTGGACGTCTCCTCCAACAAGCTGTCAAGCTTGTCTCCAGCACTATTTGAGCAACTCAAGGCCCTGGAAACCCTGAAACTGGACCACAACAGCATCAGCTCCATCCCTGCCACCATCAGTCTCCTGAAGCGTCTCAGATCCCTCACCGTATCCAACAACATTCTTTCTAGTCTGCCAGAGTCCATTGGTCAAATGGAGTCGTTGATCGAGCTGGATGTCCACTGCAACAACTTGGGCGAACTGCCGGTTGCCATTTGGAGGTGCTCTCTCATTGCGTTGAACGCCTCATCCAACCTTCTGGAGAACTTCCCCGATCCACCCAAGATGCTCACCCCACCTGTCCTGAACGCCCTCTCGGCATCATCGTCAACAGCAACTCTCTGCGATCCCGAGAACCCGCAGAACATGATCAACTCTGTAAACTCCCCTACGCCTTCACGATCCAAGCCGTTGCCTGCGCCACCCGTGTCTCTTCAGAACACCCCCACCGGTCGCGGGCCTTATGCTCCACCATTGGCGCACTCGTTGCTCACTCTCTGCCTCGGTGACAACCGCCTGCCAGATGAGGTCATGTTCCCTCTGTCTCACTTCTTGAGCATCCAGGTTTTGAACATCAGTCACAATTATATCACAGAGATCCCTCGCGGCAAGATCCCCAACATGGGTCAGATCGTGGAATTCTATGTGAGCGGCAACCAGCTGACCAGCTTGCCAGCAGAGGATATCGAGCGACTCAAGAACCTTCGTGTGCTTCATGTCAACGGCAACAAACTGACGACACTTCCTGCTGAGCTGGGCAAGATCAACCGCCTGAGCGTCCTGGATGTCGGCTGCAACCTGCTGAAGTACAATATCGCCAACTGGCCATATGACTGGAACTGGTAAGACTTTTTCCTCGTATGCTTGGGCTGGACAATCTTGAGACACAATGATGGTATTGACTCCTACCTGCTAATATTCGTAATTTATTATAGGAACTGGAATCTCGAACTCAAGTACCTCAACATGTCGGGCAACAAACGACTGCAGATCAAACGACAAAACGTCGAAGGCGGCCCTACTTCAAGCTCGCGTCCAGGCAACCTCTCGGAATTCGGCGCCCTGACTCGACTTCGTATTCTGGGTCTCATGGATGTGACGATTACGGACAACGTGCCGGAAAACTCTGTGGATCGACGTGTCAGAACATCCATGTCGACGCTGCACAACATGTCGTACGGTATGGCTGATACGTTGGGAGACAGCGACAACCTCTGCATCTGGGATCTCGTTCATCCAAAGTTCCAGACCAAGGAGGACGAGAGCTTGTTCGGACTCTTTGACGGTAGAAGCGACCGGTACAGGACCACCTGTACAATGACCAGTCACCTCAACGATCGTTTCGGCACCTGTCTCAAGATTGAGTTGGAGAACTTGAAGGGCACCGACACTGTTGTGAGCGCACTTCGCAGGACTTTCCTCGGCCTGGATCGGGATATGTGGCATTTAACCCAGGATGACAGTGGCAAGGGAGGAGTGTCTGCATTGGTCGCCTACATCAATGGAACGACATTGTACTCGGCTAACGTTGGAGATGCGATTGCAGTCTTGGTCAAGAAGTCAGATACTTACACCGTGATCTCCCAGAAGCACATTCCATGGAACCCTACGGAAGCATCGAGGATCAAGCGGTCTGGTGGCTTTGTGAGTGAGAATGGTCTGCTGAACGACGAGCTGGACATCTCTCGCTCCTTTGGCCAGTACCACTTAGTGCCGATCGTGAACTCAAACCCCTACATCGAGACAACGATTCTTACCGAGGATGACGACTTTTTGATTATGGCGTCGAATGCCTTCTGGGACGTGATGTCGTACACGACAGCAGTGGACATCGCCAAGGCGGCCAAGCGGGACTATGGCGATCTGATGTACGCATCTCAGAAGCTGAGAGATATTGCCATCTCGTATGGTGCTCGTGACCATATGGTTGTCATGTTGATTGGCGTCGGCGACTTGTTCAACAAGAAGGAGTTATCTGAGGCGTCGGAGTACCAGCAACCAAACTACAAGCGGCCCAAAGCACCAGAGGGTCCAACTGATACTGTACGTGCAACTGATATTATCGTGTTCTTCTTTGGTGTTGTTGAACGTACGCAGTTGATTTTGAGGTACATCCAGCTGACTTTCCTTTATCTCGTAAACAATAGCTCAAGTACCTGAAACCAGAGATTGAGCCGCCTCAGGGAGATGTGGCGATGGTTTTCACGGATATAAAGAATTCGACTAAGCTGTGGGAGAAGATTCCGATTGCGATGGCGATCGCAATCAAGGAGCACTTCAACGTGATGAGACGACAGCTTCGCTCGATTGGAGGATATGAGGTCAAGAACGAAGGAGACGCGTTGATGGCATCGTTCTCGAGCGTGCCGGCGGCAATGTTGTGGTGCTTCAAGGTGCAGGAACTCTTGGTGAATGCCGATTGGCCTCAGGAGATTCTGGACTCTGACGAGTGTCGGCCTATTTTCAACGCTTCGGACCCCATCCAGCCAATGTATCGTGGTCTTTCTGTCCGCATGGGTATCCATTGGGGTCGCCCTGTAAGCGACCGTGATGCAGTGACACGCCGCATGGATTACTATGGTCCTATGGTCAACCGTGCGTCGCGTATTTGCGACTCTGCCGATGGAGGAGAGATTTGTATCAGCAGTGATGTTATCAATGTGATCCAGCATCTGCTTGTCGACCCAGAGTTGGAGCAGTCGGACTCGCCCAATGCAGAGCATGTGCGCGAGCTGAAGAAGATGGGCTTCCGTGTGATTGAGCTTGGAGAGCGCAAGTTGAAGGGACTAGAGACGCTCGAGAACCTGCATCTGATTTACTCTGGCCTCTTGATCGGCCGTCTCACTATGGACCCTATCAAGAGCATGGCGGGTCCCATCCTCGAAACTGTAAGTTTATGGGTCAGGTGTCGTTTGTTGTCTGAATCTCTTGCTTGGTACAGTGTTTGCTAACACTTTTCATTTCTTGGGTGATTCTTATTATTAGCACATGGTGGAGAGCACGGTGGTGCTGGATGCGGCCTCTGTGCGGGCGTTGCAAATCATTTGTCTTCGATTGGAGCGTCTTGCAGCGGGGACGACGGCTCAGCATGGTCGTGCGACGGAGCAGAGCCTTGTCCTTCTCTCGCTCCCCATCAAAGACAACGTCGACCAGAATGACCTTAACCTGATCGCTGAGAGCTATGTCACCCGTATCGAGGTAACTTTTCACGCTTTAATCTTGCGTCGCATGGTAATATTTGTTGATGCGTGTGAGGTTGCTAACGACTTACGCTCCTTGTTTGCCCCTTGTTTGCCCATGGCAACAATAGAATGCGTTCTCACAGCTGTATATGGCCAAGACAGGTCACTTTGTGAATGTGTTCGAGTCGCTTGGAAGGGCGATTGACACGGATCCGTCGTATATCCTGCGTGCGCTGCAGATGTATGTCAGCATCATGGGCGGTCTTGACGTCCCTAATCTCTTGTAGTGGTTCCCTCACTAGTTCTTTTTTGTTCACCTGTATGTTCTTATTTCGTTCGACCTGTGCCTGTCTTTATGCAGATGGTACGCACTCGCATCTACTGTTACTTTTATCTTCTTTCCTTTTATTCTTACTTCATGTACTGTACATCTACGATTCAATAACACCCGATAATAATAAAAAACACGACATCAATGCCTACACATCCTGCTCAGAGTGGGAAGATTGGTCGCTAAGCTATTAAGAGCACAAGCGCTATAAAAATGTGTGAAGAACACTTTTCTTTTTCTTTTCCCTCATCTTCTACACTCAACACTCCATCCTCCAACCAGCTAACACCATCACCAACAAGCCATGTTAGTCACCCTTGTTTTCAATAACGACATGTCTCTCTTCTAATCTCCATGTCAGCTATCGATTTATCCCTCGTTCTCAAGGAGATGGCAGCCGAAACCCCGCCGACTGACACTTCCAACCTCCCCTTAATCATCAGCTACCTCGAGCACCACAAGTTGACACCCCTTACCAACTTTTACGGGTAGATTGGCGTGTGTGGTTTTGGTGTTGAGGTTGAATCCTTGATGACTACAAAGGGCCGAGGATCTCCCAACAACAGGGTCTGCGCGGACTATCCACAAGTCAACTCCTCCACTCTAACTGTGTACTAGACCTTCAGTCGGCTGTATTGGCTGCAGTCCACCAGGTCATACAAAAAAAATACATAATAACACATACGACAGTCTTTTTCTCAGGAACATAAAACGTCCCCGTCAGGGGGGCAGGGGGAGAACGGTCGCAATTGCTTGCATGAAACTGACAGAGAGCAACAGCATGTATTAGACCCATACGATGTTTTCTTCTTTTCTCTCTCCCTCTCTCTCTTCTACACCTGCACTCACTCAACCAACACCACCACAACCACTTGTCCTACCACCCCCCTTATAAGTCATGTCCGACACTCTTGTAGCCAACGGCGACAAGTCCCTCCAGAACACCAAGCCGCCATCGAGGTCTCTCCAATCCTCAAAGTCTTAGCAGACGATAGTCCCAAAGGCCCCCTCATCTTCCAAATGATCAACTCCTCGACCCCTCCGAATGATCAACTCGGATACTGCGAGCACTACAAGTCAACCCCCTACGTCAACCTCTACCGTGTCGGCCAAGCGATCGAGGGCTGGAACAAAGAGTTTACAGGTGTCCTGGCCCTGAATCATGACGCATTGTTTGAAGATATTCTAGGTGTCAATGTGTTCGAGATGGAGAGCCATGTTGATTTGGGATGTCTGGCGGTTTCTAATACTGTTAATTAGGAAGAGGTTTTGGGGTTGAGGTGTTCGGATGGATGGGTACCAGGGTAATGAGTTGACTGAAGGCCAAAAGTTGTTTTTTTTTGGAATGGAATGTGAGCGTTCGTTTGCGTTTTGTTCTTCCTCTCCACCTTTTCTCTTCAAGTGAATGGTAATGTTGAGAAATAAATATATTTAAAAGAACATGATACCATCCATGAATGCTGTGTCGTGAAAATGAATGGATTGAGAGAAAAATAATAATATTTTTTTTTTCCACCGTTCTAGAGTGAGAAAGGAAAAGTAAGTCTTCGTTCACAGATATAGTTTCTCCGTTGAACTTCTTCCACTTATTCAACAGCTCCATTTGTCTTTTCCTTTTTCTTTTTTTCTTTGCAACTCAAGTATGCTTTGTATCCCAATGTGGTTTTTTCTTTACTCGAGATGGAAGGAATGGGGTGTTGGAATGGTGCGTTTACTTTATTTTTGTTAAGGTTTTTCAAAGGCGAATAAAACGATGGTCAAGGCGCTCAAGTCAGAGCGGGACTATTTTTATCTACTTTGGAGTGGTTTGTGAATGTCGGTGTGAGTTGTTGCGGGACACAACCCGAGACGTATGCGGGCTGATGTAAAAATGAGAGGCGAATATGCAGGGGCACTAGTGCTGTTACGTGAGATGGCATTGTATGCTATTCGTGTGCCATGGTGGGTGGTTCTCCACTGAGAGCGAAACGTTCACGGGTCACCTCACCTAGATATTAGATTTTAGTGCAAGGGAGCACCAGGAGGAGGGGAGATCCCCATGGTCCCGCAATTTGCTGATCTTTGAGCCATCTCCCTCTGCTCTAGCTGTGGTTGTTCTAGACGTTCACTCAACTGTAGCAGCAGCAAAAGAGATTGCGTCTGATTTTACCCAACTCAATCTCCATTCCGTGACCTGGTCTGTGAGCATTTGTTTGCAACATTTGTGGTTAAAAATAATAATAAAATATAAAAATAAAACGAGGGGACGGACGGAACCAGGCAGTTAGATGGACAATTGAAGATATCCATGCTTCACACCGTCATAAGGGTCATCATGCCATAGAAACCCTGCTGTTCAGAGCGCTTCTGCTCATGGAGGGCAGAGAGGGATATCTTTCAGGGGTCCAGAGCTCTGGCATCTTGTTTTCTGTCTCCCTGAGTAGCCCTGAATCCCATCTTTACCCCTCTCCCCCCTTTTTAACTTTTGTTGACAAAGATGCATGCAGTCGGATACATAAAAAAAGAGTGAGGGAGAATGAGCGAAAGGGCGGAAGGGGGTGATAGTACCAAAGAACAACACTCTCGCCCTTGCCTTCCTTCATCCCTTTTGACTTCCTTTAAAGCCGGTATGCATATCTCTCTAACAATTCTCTGTCTCCTGCTTTTTTTTCTTCTTACGATGGTAATGGGAACCAGCCAGGAGGCCGCCAATGATGAACAAGTTAGAGAGAGAGACAAAGCTCAGAACAAACATACCCAAATAAAGGATCTATTTTTTTAATCCTTGGTGAAAACGACATACGATGAAAAGACGGGTGAGCATGGAACTGGATTTGTGGTGACGATAGAAGGTCGAGGCCATCGAACGCTGGTTCCTGCGCTTCTTCTGTTCTCTTTTCTTGTCTTCACTTGTCTTTAGTTCTTTCTTCTTCTTTTTAGGTTCGCTTCCTCAGTCCCTTTCCTATTCCCAACTCTCGCCTCTTCTTCTTCGCTCACAGGAGCCAACACAAACACAAACGCACACAGACGAGCACACGAGTTCTTTTAATTCATTTCGCCTTTTGTCGTTGTTTTTTCTCCACGCCTTTATTATTACTCCTCGTCATTTAAAAGGACGCCAGACAGCTATCCCACCTTTTTTCACTCCCATACTCCGGTCCCATTCAAGCCTCATCATGTCTCTCATGAATGGTCTGAGAGAAAAGTGGCGGACAAGGAAGAATCTCCGGAGGCGATCGACCTTGAACACCAACTCGGAATCTGCACCGCAACAGGGGTCTACTCCAGGACTATTATCGCTCCAACACAGCAACAACTCAGGAATTGTTCCTGTAGCACCACTTGGGCGCATACTAGAGTTAGACCTGCCAGTTCATCCCCTCGACCCATCGCCCTCTTCGAGTCCTGTTCCGCCCCTCGACACTCCTACTATCGACTCACCATCACCACTACAGCCACCGCTACTGCCGGACCAGCCTAGAGGGCCACCAGTATTAGGCAGTCAGGAATCTATCATCCAGATACCTCTTACCAACCATACCTTACCACCACTACCGCTCTCCGGAAAGTCTGCACGACGGAAAAGCACAGTTTGGCTCGTTCAGACGCTCGACAAGGTGGTCCTCACCCTTTCACCCTTTTCACCACCAAAGTCGACCAAAGGGACCTCAAAGTTCTTTCGCCTGCGACGGAACAAGAACCGTGAGGATAAACTTGCAGCAGCACCCTCAAAGGATAGCAAGGACAACACATTAACAAATGGCAGCAAACATCGCAAATCCAGCAAAGACATCACTACAATTGCGCCAACTACAACCACAAAAACAACAAACAACAGCCCAAAATCGACCCTCGATACCTCCTCCTCGTCAGATCTGGAAGACCTGGCGGACATTGACCTCCGGTCCTTCTACGACCATCGATCAGAGGACCCTGCGCACCGGATGGTCTTTATCGCAGGCCCTGAACATTTCTACTACCTCGCCCTCCAACTCGAGACCAGCCCCCGTTTAGAATACCAGCTATACGGCAAGGACCTCTTTATTCGTTCTGCAGGACTCGGATACGCCCCTGCACAGTTCAAACTTGGAATTTGTTACGAGTTGGGGTTGGCGCATTTTCCTATGGACCCCTCACATTCCTTTGTATGGTACAAGAGAGCCGCCATGCAGGGGCATGCAGATGCGGAGCTAGCCGTCTCAGGGTGGTATCTTACGGGCCATCCGCAAGGGTTGATCCAGTCTGAGCCCCTTGCCTTCGAATGGGCCTCCAAGGCTGCACGACGTGGTTGGTCCAAGGCCGAGTATACACTGGGACATTATCATGAAGTTGGGATTGGAGTGCCTCAGGATCTGCAGCTCGCCAAACAATGGTACCTCAAGGCTGCTGCACGAGGGAACGAGCGGGCGCTGTTGAGGCTGTTGGTTGGTCATGTCGGGTTGGAGGTCGACTATGCTCATCTCAAGGACGCTCTCTTGGCACAGAATGAGAACAACCCGTACCTGCTCCATCAGCTGGCCCAGTTCCATGAGCTCCGCGAGTATGGTCTCGTCCCGGACGAGGATGCGGCGTTCGAGCTGTACGCTGCCTCAGCGCAAGCCAGCTATGCCCCCGCACAGTACAAACTAGGCGCCTGTTACGAGTTTGGAATCCTAGGCTGTCCACGAGATCCAGTCCAAGCCGTACACTGGTACGGCCAAGGCGCCGAGAACGGACATGTCGAAGCCCTACTAGCCCTAGCCGGATTCTATCTGGACGGGAGTGCGGGATCGGCCGCAGAACAGAGTGACGAGGAGGCGTTCAGATATGTCAAGGCTGCTGCGCAGAGAGGGGTCCCCAAGGCAGAGTATATTACGGGGTTCTTTTTGGAGTACGGGTTGGGGATTGAGCGCAACCCGAGAGAGGCCAAGCAGTGGTACCATCTTGCTTGTGCCAAGGGCGTTGATTCTGCTGAGCGGCGGTTGAAGGATCTTGAGCGATCAGCTGCCACCGTTGTCGCCAACTAACGCGAAATGTGTAAAATAAATGGATTTTTTCATCTGGGACTAACAAAGTTACTGATCAACCAGATCAATGATCATTGATCAATGTCGTGAATGCTTTGCTTCTTTTGTATCAAACGCGCACCTTTTGTCTCCTTCGCGTTCATCACCATTTCTCCATAAGTTGAGCCAAGGCGCAGCACATCTCTTATTGCATCACAGATCATACATGACAGGTGAGTGCATGCCGTACTCGTACAAAGAAAACAACCCCTTTGTCAGGAATGGCACCCTCTATTCCCTCTTGAATAATCAGTCCCTGTCTTTTGGGCTTAGCGTCTTTTGTCGCTCTCTCTCTCTCTCTCTCTCTCTCGTCCTCAGTGTCCACATTTCTGATCTGTGCCACGCATACAACCGTTTCTTGTACACAGGTCTACGCTCCTTTTTACTTTTCCTCTCTTTCTTTCTCATTCCCCAGCGCGTTCCCCACTCTATCACCACTATAACATCATACTCTACCGTTCCCTGTCGCGGGGTCGTTTTCATCATCTCAATCAACACCCCAAATCAGCTGCACCCAGCCTAGCCCTCGCCACATACTTTTAGCGCATACTTCTCCCTCTCTCCCCTTCGACTCTCTTCCAGCAATGAGACACCCCCACCCTCACGCGTACACTCGATGGGGTATCACACTTTCGCCAACCCCACCAATGCTCACAAGTACAATAAGCAAGAGACAGTGCCACCGCCACTGTTGTCCGCCACCGGTCTCTTAGGAATGGATCCATCCTTGTCATCTCCAGGCTGGACAACCAACGCACCTCTGCTATCGCCAACCATGTGTCCCTTCGACCTTCTCTCTTCAGCTACACCAACAGCAATGCACCCAATTCAACTTGCCCTCCCATTTACTTCTCACTCTCACGATATCCCTACCTCGCTTTCAACCAACTCTTCGCCTACAAGAACTGAGGCACTAAATAACCTCTTTCTGGTCGACCAGTCAGAAGACTTCCAGAGAACTGCCGAGCTTCTGGACATTGGCCTCTCCAGCTATATCGATGGTCCCTCACTTCCACCTCCAGCTTTGATGTTCGACACGACGATGTGTGACACAATAGGGTTGGCAACGATTGCGCAGCAGCAGCAGCAACAACAGATCGGAGATTTGGAACCCGACCCACATGGATCGGGTGGAGCAGGAAGCCAACAGCCATCTACGCCTGGTTGGGGATTAGTCGAGACTGCCGGCTTCCTCTTGGACGATGTGCATTCTTCTTCTGCCTCTTCTTCGAGGGTGTCGTTTTCGAGTGACGATCCGTGGATTGAGCAGTTCCTTCAACAGCAGCTTCCACCACTACCACCACCAATCATATCAGCAGAGATTCGACAACAGCAGCCACGGCAGGAACATCATCACCAGAAGCACCAGGTTTCTCAGGAGCAATGGTTTCTTCTTCAGCAGCAACAGCAACAGTTCAACCAGACGACTGTCTCGACCCCAGACTACGTTCAGTCACAGCATTCGACGTGGCCGTGGTTTCCATTCGATCATCAGCAACAAATCTCGTCGCCTCAACACAGTCTGCATCTCGAATACCCTTTTGCCAACCCACACCATACACCACACACCATACCCACTGACTACCTGCAGCACCAGATACCTTCGCCTTCATCCTCCTCGCCTTCTTTCCAGCACCATCAGTACGTAACACCCCCATACGAAACATTTGAACACCAATGCAATCAAAAACATCAGCAACAGCAACCACACCCTCCTCAACAGCAACACCACCACCTACGACGGAACAGTAACAACCATCGCCACCCTCAACATCATCACCACTACCAACATCTTTTTCACCACCACGAGATTCCGGTGATCCAATCCCTCAAGAGACGCCGCCGGTTGACGACCGAAGAGTCTGAGTACTTGATGGTCCAGTTCAACCTCAATGGGCGCCCCACCGCGCAAGAACGCGATTGCTTTGCAAGGCACTTGAAACTGAATCGACGGACGATTCAGGTCTGGTTCCAGAACCGGAGGGCCAAGTTGAAGCGGGATGAGCGCGGTGTATGTGGGCAAAATGGTAGTGCGGGAGGAAGTGGAGGCGGACGGGGTGACGACGATGATGATGAGGGAGAAGAAGATGGGGATTTTGATGATGGGACGGGTGGTGTGCAGGAAGCAAGCAAGGACACGAATGTTGGTCGGGAACTGGGATACCAGCAACAGACGATTCATCAGCAGAACACTGGAGGGGATGGTCTCTTTCAATTACTCCCTCAACAACAACAACAACTGTACCCTCTGTTACCACCCCCTTCTCTCGATATTCTTGATCTCGATGGCGAGGGCAATGGAGAGGGCGACGATCTAGGTCTTGATTTTTTTCACATATGGAACACCAACAATGAAGCCAACTACATTACCGGGAGCAGCAACAATGGCAGTAACAGTAACACAATCAGCAGAGGAGAAATGATGACCGGGATGGGGATGGGACTGGCGCAGGCAGCACGGCTTGAGATGGAGCTGTTTTCGGGACAGCACAGCCAGTACTACCAGTTACAACAGCAGCAACAGCAGCTGCGGATGGCACAGGTGGCGGCGGAGGATCATGATCCGCCGCATCCTTTGCAGAGGTGGGTTGACGGTGCCTCCTTCCGAGATTGTCTTCCGTAGAACACCTATATAGCATTCTCTTTCCTTCCATAGTAGCAGTAGCAGTAGCAGCCAATATAGGTTGTTGTACTTGAGTCGGAAGATAAAACATCACGGATATCCCAATTGAACAACGCTCTCCTTCTTTGCGCCCAAACCCTCCTCCACGATGATCGCAGTCACATCGACACCCTGAACCCGAGTTGTTTGTTCCTGGGAAGAAGGGGGTGTAGGGAAGCACCGACACCCGTCTCTCCTTTGTCCGCATCCCACTCACTCTTCTACCGAGAACACGAAACAGGCGATCCCTCTTCTCCTCCTCCTCCTCAGCATCGTATTCACTCTCTCACCACGATCAAATACCTTTGCTCTTTCATTACGCCACACCTCCACTGTCAACAGCATCGACAACCCCCACCCGATCCTAGATCACATTCTCTCCTTGTCCAACCTAAAAAAAGAGAGTTGAACACATCGTAATGGCAACAAGGTCCATGACAGCCCTCTTGGGATCCCGCTCCTTCCTGACAGCACCCACTCGTCAGGTGAGAACCAACACCCCTTTTCCTTCTTACATATCTTTGCTTGTTCAAAGACGCGCCTTGCTCTCGGGTCAATTGGATTATCCTAACACACAAGACCTTCTCCCTCCTCCGTAAACCTTTCTCCTCCACTCTGAACTAATATATAGGCGTTGTTTGCTTCTCGGTGCACTTCAACAACAACAACGACAGCACAGACAGCATGGACACGGTCCCTCCAATCACGCACATACTCATCAGGAGCACCACAAACAGAGGCAGCCGGATCACGGAGAAGAGTCCGAGCCAAGAACACTGACATGCTCTACTACACGGCCTCGATCCTCATGGGCACCCTCGGCCTCTCCTACGCCGCTGTACCCCTCTACCGCATGTTCTGTTCCGCCACCGGTCTCGGCGGAGCCCCCATGGTCGGCGAAACCAAATTTGCGCCCGAGCGTCTCGTCCCCAAGGATAACCACCGTCGCATCAAAGTCAGGTTCAACGCCGACACTTCGACCTCCCTCCAATGGTCCTTCTTGCCCCAGCAGCGTCAAGTCTCGGTCTTGCCTGGCGAGACTGCATTGGCTTTTTATACTGCCAAAAATAAGTCCAAGGACGATGTCATTGGTATTGCTACCTATAACGTTGCCCCCTCCAAGGTTGCGCCTCATTTCAACAAGATTCAGTGCTTCTGCTTTGAGGAACAAAAGTTGACCGCTGGCGAGTCGGTCGACATGCCCATCTTTTTCTTTATCGACCCCGAGTTTGCGAATGACCCTGATATGGCGGATGTTGACACGGTGACATTGAGTTATACGTTCTTCAAGGCCAGAGGTATGCCTTTTGAGAAGCAGCCCGGTCTTGCTGAGCAGCAGATGCAAGAGGCTACTGCATAAACATCTAGAGCCATTTGTTTATATATTCTGCACCATCATTCAAGAAATACAACAATCATCATAGAACCACTCTTGATTCACTCGGTATTAGTAGTTTTGTTTGCTTTTGCTGTCACGGTTCTAGTAGTTTTGTTTGCTTTTGTTGTCACGGTTCTCTCTTTTCTGTTCTAGAAATTTAACACCATCGCCAATGGCCGTTGCCGGTCAACTAACAAACATGCATTTTCAATCATGCCTTGTGTTCATGTGTTCATGGCACCCCCCTTTGACCTCATCTCAGTGTCCCTTTGTGCTCTCAAATGTTCTGGACCTTTGACACAACTGAAGGCAGACAAAGTCAAGCGAGTCGAAGGCGTCTCTTTATACCCACGGTCAAAGGCCTCTCCACTCCAACCTTCTTTTATTTTGCCCTTCATCTGTCAGGGGGGGCATGTGCAGTACATATATAAAGGATGCGGACGCCCACTCGCCCACGAATTATTTTTCACATCAGTTCCCTTCAATCATTCATACGGCTTTCCCGCACTTCTCACCTCCTCCCCTTCAACTTGTCCACATAAAACACACATACTCCTACATCCAATGTACTTTACAAGATTCGCACTCCTCGCCTCAACACTGGCGCTAGCATTCACTACCGCTCAATCCGTCCCACCCTCGGAAGAAGTCCTAGTCTTCAACCCCAACTCAACCACCACTTGGCAGGCTGGAACCCCCGTCACCGTCGAATGGAAGTTCCTCCTCGCCGATGGACCCTTCACCAACCTCGGCTTCGATATCACACTCCGCCAGGGCGACGTTATTGCCAACACCACAGCAGAGGTCAAGACCTTGGGCCGGTCCGGTCGCGGGTCTTCGTCGTTTGCGTTTGAGCTGCCCGCTGATATCGTCGATGGGTCGGATTATCAGATTGGAGTGGGGCCTTATCGGACAGAGTCGTTTACTATTGTGGGTACTGTTAGCATTTCTCCTCCTCCTCCTGCTTCGACTACTTCTGGGACGCCCACGAACCCGGCAACTTCATCGGGGACTGTGCCATCGCCGACGACGAACAAGCCTGCGAGTGCTGCGCCTGGATTGGTGTCCATGACGCCCTTTGCTCTTGCCGGGTCTACTCTCGCCATGTTTGTCATTGCTCTTGCCTTGTAATCCCAACGGAGAACAATTTACACCGACAAACATCAAAAACAACAATAATGGCTCCCCATCGTTGTCTATGAAAGCAGAATAAAAAAAAAGAGCTCTTTTGAAATTGAACCTGTTATGCGCCTTTCTGCGTGAGAAATGACATATTTCTGTCCTGGTACCCTTTTGCAAAATGTACTTTCTCCCTCTTGCTTGTTCTCTTGTCGACTCTATGGGAAGAAAAAGGGGGAAGGCAGGTGGTACGTAAATAATAGCCGAGAACGTCCCCTCATACGCAACATGCCATGACAAATTGAAGTGAGAAAAATGAATGACATAAATAAGGCAAGGGTGTCGTTTATCTTACTGTTCTGCCATTGATGATTACACCATCTGTGATCGCAGTGTAACGGATGTCGTCTTTTGATTCAAGGGGGGAATGAGTGAGGTCTGGACAATTTATGTCGAAAATTACAATGTATTGTGTATGAAGGCGGCTGTCGATCAATGGCTGCAAAGGAATGATTGAATGAGATACATACTTTTTAGTATCCTGACTCTGGCAGCTGAGTTGCAGTGAGAGTAAAGAGTGCTCCCATGTTGTCAAAGTTACCCACAATCCATAGTGTTCTTTTTCATTGTTGTCTTGCGATGAGTACATATGTTTCGTCTGAGCATTAATTCGATTGGCGGGTGGTGTGCGGGCTGTTGGCTGTAGAGACGGTTGGCCAATCAGACCGCACGAAAGTCTATTGGTGTCATCCATCCCCATCACTTCATTGCTCCATCCACACATCTGTGGCATGCTCACTCAGGCACACCTTTTTCAGGCACATCTTTTAAGACTTCGAACTGAACCTGCTACAGTAGATAGACTATAATAGAATACGGCTTTTTTGCTGCTGGCGCCATCCCTTGCTCTCTTCGGCAATCCGCATGCAGTTCCCCTCCACCTTTCACAAGTATATCAACCTTCTGGCAGTCGACACTCTTTTCACTTTTTTCTTTTCTTTTTTTCCTCTTCAGAAAATAAACATTTTTTCCCCCTCCCATACCCTTCCAAAGGCCAACCACGATCAACACCCTCGTCTATACTACCTTCCTACTCCACCCTCATCGTACTCCACCCTTCCGCCCCTAACAACAACCTCTCACCCTCCATACAATAACCATCATGCGTTTCTCCATCGTTGCCATTGTTGCTACTCTTCTCAGCGTTGCCCTCGCTCAACAGGCTTACCCTACCGTTCCCGTCGCCTCAACAAAGTGGAACGCCGGTGCTGCCGTCAACATCAAGTGGAAACTCAACGCTCCCGCTGCCACCGCCGGTCTCAAGATCGACCTCCTCACCGGTGACAACCCCCAGAGCCAGAAAGTCGTTGCTACCTTGGGAACCGGTGCCCCCGGTGCCACCTCGTTTGCCGCCACCTTGCCCGCTAACTTGAAGTCTGCTTACTACAGTGTCCGTATTGGAGACTCGTACACGTCCTACTTCCTCATCCAGGGTGAGGGTCCCGTCCCCACCGGTCCTCTCCCCACCCCCGTGACCACCACTGTCACCACCACCGTCCCTGTTACCACTACCTCTAAACCTGTCCAGTCTACCTCGACCTTTGCCCCTCTCCCCGTGATTACCACCACCCCTGCTGGCGCCAAGCCCACCGGTAGCGGAGCTGGTTTCTTGAAGGCCGGTGTCGTTGCCCCCGTTGCTGCCGCTGCCGTTGCCGTCGTCATGGCCATTGCCTTTTAAACAATAAATTGAATCCTGTTAGGCAGGTTCTTTGTTCTGGTTTTTTCATGATCGCTTTTTTCTTCTCCATAGTTGAATGCAATATACCACAAGAACGCTGGTCGTTTTCTTTATTTCCTTCTTTCATGTAGAAGCTCATTCTCCTCACTCCTTCATTCATCACTCCTAATAAACCATCTTTTACTTATATTGAGTCTTCTTGGTTGCTGTTGTCTGCTGGTGTTCAAGGAGGGCGTTAACATGAGGGTCGAGAACAAAACACAATTCTTCCGTAAGATGAAAAAGTCTGTCAGCACTAAAAAATAAGGTTGTGTTTATTGCCTTTGGTCGACATGAATATGAGAGCCCTTTTCTTTATGTCCTCTGTACCTTTCCGCTGAAGAGAGACAAAATGAAATGGGAAAAATGTGACAAAAGCGATCGGGAGAAGGAGCGTGTGGGATAACGCGTGAACAACTGGGTTTCCGAACATTGACCTTCTTTGAGCTCGTTCATGATGTAGCCTACTTTTGTAATTACGGATTATTTTTCATTTTTTGGGCGAAAGGATGAATAAAGGAGGAAGGAAGTACCGATGCCTGATGGACAGTAGAGAAGAAGGAGGGAAAAAAATTCGATGTCTCTTTTCTGGTTGTTCCTGGCTCTCTTCGCTTGTTGTTGTCCTTCATTGATCCTTTATTATTGTGTGTTTATTTTAGTGCAACATTGCTTTTGTGACACGAAGCCAGAATAACAAGCAGAGCGAGAGACATGGAGGAAGAGCGACGCTGTTCGCTGTTATTGAGTCTAGCTCGAACAAGACGAAGTTATAATCCAACCAGGGGGTTGGCGATGTTCTGGCCCTCGATCCTACCCACCACATTTCCCTATCCCCCAACCATGTCCTCCACCTGTGTTGCTTACAAAGGCAAATCCTTTATGTTTCTAGCGCCTTCTCTCTTGGCACGCCAACGACATGTGTCAGATCATCCTATGATGTTGTCTACCAGCGTGCACGTGACTCTTGCCTGGTCTTATTTTTTTATTTCCTTTTCCCTTGTCTTTTTCTACGGATGACGCACCAGTCACTTCTACTTCTTACTCTTAAACGCTACATACCTTACGTCTTTTCTTTTCCCTCTCTCTTCTCCTTCCTTTCGTCATCAACCTCCACGCCTCCAACAACCAACACCAAGTCCTTACCAGCAGCCAAGAACCAAGAAACACCAAGGACAACCACAATGGACCAGCCATCAATACACCCGAGGAGGACATTTGCTCCAGACCCACCCTTCGCTCCATCATCGCCATCAACCAGAGACCGTGCCCCAGACTCACCCAATCTCTCCCCAACACTCGCACACACAACTCTTCAGGACCTCGCCAACACCCCCGCCGATATCCGGCCTCCAGCAACCCCACTCTCAGCCTACCTCCTCCCTCACCAGTACCTCGTCTTCATCTTTCCTGTGACGCTACTTTTTGGATCACTCTTTGGATATATTGGCGGTGATCGGCCCTCGTACTTTTCCAACAAGAGGAATATTCTGAACGTAGTCTTCGTCAAGAATGGCTGGGGGTGGACGTCGATCGCTTTTCTGGTCTATATCGCCGTCGTCTTTGGCAAGGCTCTGATCCACCAGCAGGACAACTCTTTCAATACCACTCCCGTCGCACGGCCTCAGGAGGACGAATCGAGCAACAGCAACATCAACGAAACAACAGGATCGTTAAGGACAAGATCTTCAACCCACCTGGATCAAGACCAAGGACCCTCGATGGTCGGAACCGACCTGCCCCCCGTAGGATCAACCGCCAGCGCCAAGGTCCCCTCCAACGTCGTCGTCAAGGCCCTCATCCGCTGGGGTCTCGCAACTCTCTATTGGTGGCTCATCTCCCAATGGTTCTTTGGACCCGGACTCTTCGACCGCGTCTTTGTCATGACAGGAGGAAGTTGCTCGGTCGACGGTCACTGGTCCCAATATCACTGTCGTCGCCAAGGAGGAAACTGGGCCGGTGGTGTCGATATTTCGGGCCACATGTTCCTCCTCACCCACGCCTGGCTCTTCCTCATGGAGGAACTTTCTATTTTCCTCAACGTCCCCGAGGCATGGACCGCGCTCCAGAACCGCAGGACTGCCAAGTATGCTGTCTGGGGGGTCTTGGCCCTCACAGGTCTTTGGTGGTGGATGTTGTTGATGACCAGTGTCTACTACCACCATTTGGCCGAAAAGCTGACAGGATTGTTCTTTGGCGTCCTGTTCTGGCTCGGATCCTATGCTACTCTCTACAAGGTCACTCCCTTCCCCTCTATGCCTGACCAGGCCGTCGTTCTGTAATTCCTTTTCTTTCTTTTTGTATATTTTTGTTTCTTTTGCGCTATTATTTCTTACTACTACTTAGACGCTCAAATAAAACATTCTTTCGCATCAATGCTTATTGTTTTCTAATGTGTCCATGGCAGGCGAAGAAAAAAATCGATGAAGAGTGCGTTACCCACCTTGCGGTCAGTTGATTTCTTTTTTTTTATTTTGGAACAAGCACAGAAATCGACAATGAACGTGCCCCTATGTGTCAAATATCGACCAAGTAGATAGACAATGACACATGCATGTAACATGTGCAGCAGCACTCATGCAGACTGACAGGTGCAGTATGATTTGGCAAAGAGGAAGCAGCAGATGAAAAAAAAACTAAAGTGACACTCGACCTTCCAGTGACGTGATTAGTGCAACGTGTCCGAATGCCAACGTGGTAGGTAGGGTGACTGCCAGTCGGGAACTTAGGACTGTTTTGCGCCCGCTCAAATCAGGGATGTGCTTTATCTATGGGCGCGTAGCATAGCATCCTTAAGGTCGCTATTTCTTATCGGAGACAGGATCTTCCTTCCATCGTTCGCCTCACACTACTGGTTTGCCCTAAAAGACAAAAGGGATCAAGTGCATTGTCCACATATATCAGAAATATATTGCTGTTGTTGTTAGTGTGCGCCCATGTCCATGTTCGTGCCCCATCTGGGCGGTATCGTTTCCATTTCCAGGCCGCAGAACCAGACAGATGCACTGTAGTTCTTTTGTTTCTTTTGTTACCGCATTGTCTGTCCACATTTTTCTTCGTCGCTGATCGCTGATCACTCATCACTGAGACTTATAAAGCTGCGACAATCGCTTTTCCCTCTACGACATTATGATCCTTCCAAAGACATGTTCTCTTTTCACTGCTGCACTCATAGCACTGATCTCCATCTACTCTACATCTGCCGCCCCAACACCCCAGACTCGGACACATGTGGACCTCAGCAAAAAGAATAGAGACCCCACAACCCTGCCCTACAAAGATGTGGCCAGCCGCTACACCTCAATCCCCTACAACGCCACCATCGCCAAAACAACCCTCGACACCGTCATAACACTCTTCAGAGACTATTGTGCCTTTCGCGAGTCGGTCTTGACACCTGATCTAAAGGCGCCGTTCTCGAGTGCGCCGGTGGATGGTTTGAAAGAGTTGGATGTGCTGAGGACAAGGGAGTTTAAGAGTGATTTTGAGTTCCATTCGACGGTGGGTCGGGTTGTGGATTCCCTTCATGATACCCATGCTAGCTATTATGGTACGGAGACGGTGTTGTTACCTGCTTCTGAGCTGCTTTTTCTTGTCTAGCTTTTGGTCTATTATTGTTATTTTGGTACAGATGGTTGAAAGCAATATTTTTTTTGCTTGCACTTTGATATACTATAGAGGACTGCTATGACAAGTACCTCTTCATTCAGAACAGCACCATTTACGCCTCTGTCATCAAAGGCATGCAGGTAAGCTTGCATATTCTCTTACTTTGAAACAATAGCTCGTACCCATTCTCACCAAACACTCACAGACCCGTTTCCTATTCATTTTTTTTTGCGCTACACACCCATCTCCCTTCATCAAGTCGATGCGCGTGTTATACGATCACGTCAAGAAAGGATACGAAGATTGCTTAGTCGAAACAATCGACGACCACCCGGCGCTCGAATACTTGACATCCTGGTCTGACCGCCTCGCTTCCTCAAGGACACCAGGGCTCGACTCAACTAAGCCCTTGCCTCACAGATCTATGATGAAGTCGATCGAACCTATATCTTGTCTGCTGGTCATTTTCGCAGAACGGTATTCCCTCCCTGAGACACCCTTCGTTGACTCCGCTGTGGTAGTAAGAAAAGTCGACGACCGCGGCGGAGGAAGAAGGGGAGGAGTCGGTTCGTGTCGCCGTTCCTTGGAGGGTCATCCCTTTGAGTGATGTGAAGAATATTGCCTTTGACATTGCGACCGCATATATCGCCTATGTTTGCGCCAGTCCCAACCATTTTGCCTCCACCTTCGTCTCTGGAAACGACGACACGCCCAAGAAGCGCGCTTTAAAACGACGTCCTCGCCCAAAGATATTCCAGCCCTCAAAAAGCACTTTCCTCCTCGAAATGGACCCGCCACAGCAAGAAGGACAAAGAACGCTTCCTCTCCAACTACAGCAGACGCACCCCTCACCCCCAATGGCCTCGACGCGCGCCAAGTCGCAGCCGGTGCTACAACAGTCTACTACCAACTCAAAGACAAACCCCATGTCGGTGTCGTCGTCGTCTTTTCCCATGAAGCCATAGTCCAGGAACTCGAGACTGCCCGACAAGCGTTCAAGGACTTTCATGACAACGGGGTCACTCATCTGATTATCGACATCCAGAGCAATGGCGGGGGTATGGTTGATTTCGCATCAACCTTTGTTCGACTCTTCTTCCCCCGCTCTCCTGCCGACAACAACGACAGCAACACTACTTCCAGCAACGACAACAACTTGGAACCACAACCGCCCTACATCCCCTCCGACCTCCGAGTTACTACCCCCATCCAAAACCTCTCTTCCGCCCAAGCCAACTCTACCATCACCCCCGTAAGCCTCTACGACCCCACATCTACTTCGACCTCTCCGAAACAACCCCTACACTGCCAACACCCTCTTCCTCACTCCCCGGACAATAATTAGAAACTCCCGCAACGCGACTTATTTCCACCTCACAACCCAAAGCGCACCAATCCTCCCTCCAGATCCACAGCTGAAGAGTTACAAATGGACAAGCAACCCTCGAAACATGATCTTCCTCTCGAATGGGTACTGTGGGTCGGCCTGCGCATGTCCAGTTCTCTCCTGATTTCCGTCTATAATGTCCCTTCATTGGCCGTTGGGGGTTTGTATAAAATGGACATGTCGTTTTTTACTTTCCCAGGCGGGGCCGTCTCGTCGTTGGATAAACTGAGCGAAGTGTTTCGGTCGAGTGGTATGGTTCCTCCCTTTGAAGACCTGCCATACTTGGAAGGTGGCATTTCTCTCCCCTTCTTGAGATCTACTCTCCCACCATTCCCCAACCCCCGTCTGAACTAAAAGACCAGCTACAAGGTGCCCAAAACTGTGATTACGACGACGATGACGACAGAGACAGCAACGACAAGACCACTGCTCTTCCTGCTCCTAGGGTACCACTAGAATACAATCCTGAAGTCCATCGTGCAGATCTGCGCCTTGACTGGGATGTTGTCAATTCCAGGAACCGTGATGTCCTCTGGTCCCAAGTTGCCTCTGCCGCCTCCTGGTCTTGACTTCCCCATCACTGCGAATCTGTTTTGTTGTACTTTTCTTTTCGTATTTGTTTTTTGACTATTGGTAAACCATCGGTACAAACAAACAGGAGTACTCCATTCAGTCATTCATTCATTCACACAAGACGACATATGATATGCAAGCAAGCCGTAAATAAAAAATATATATTTGAAAGAACATCCTTCTTTCAAGGAGCCACGATATGACGAGCTCAATTATCCGTCCTATTTTTTTTCCCTCTTTGACGCGCCATGGGAGAAGATAATAGCCTAGGAAGCAGAGGTTGTTCCTGTCCGTAGAGTCTCTTTCTATCTTTCTATACTCGTGGTTACTCCGTCGTTATTGCTGCTGTTCGTTGCCGTATTCTTCTTTTCTCCTACCTATGTCGCAGTGATCGTCACCATTTTTTTTGGCCACCAACACTGCATGCACAAGCACATTAACTACAAAGATAAGCCGAGGATCATCAGGAGGAATACAGCTTGCTTGCTTTAGGATGTCGATAAGCTTCGAGGGCGGCGGTCCTTTGGTGGGGTGGGTCATGGATACCGTGATTTGGAACAGGTCTTTGGGGGCTATCAGCAGGTCGACACAGGCATAGTTGCAAAATCTTTGGAATGCATAATATACTCACCGAACGGGGTAATCGCATTGAATGCTTTATATGTTGATTCCGCGGGATTACCAAACGAGCAGACTGCCCAGTCTCGAGATCCTTGAGTTCAAATGAGTAGCCGCTCTCTCGGAAGGGCTAAAGGGTTAAATGAAAGAGAGGCTAAGCGCGTATTTATTGTCTCCAAAAGTGAAAGTCGTCCTCAGAGAAAAAGCGTTGCGGGTTGGGTCCACAACTTACCTTCATCGGCCGTTCTAGGACATATCTTGGCATACCGCCCATCTTTGAGCAGAGTTCTTCAATCGCTTCCAAGTAAACCACCTTGTAGTCTGCAATGCTGGCCCCGTACGTCATCAACTCCTTCAGATTCCATGGAGCCATGTAGTAACGCCATGCTATATCTTTGTCGACGTCCTGATATTGGTAGGTGTCGGAAAATAGGGTCTTTGGTGAAACTGATTAGACGGTCTTGGCTTGATCGAGTACTGGGTAACGAGAGCTGTTGAAAAAATGCCATGAGGCTGAGAAAGGGGTTAAAGACTTGGATGGTGCCGAATCGGACAGTAGAGCGCCTTCCAACGACGTGGCATTTCGTTCTCCTTTCGGTGTGGAAAAGGATAGTCGGAGGGTTGTCGTCATCGCTCTTTGCAAGAGGTCGGATGGCGAAGTACACTAGGAAAGCAGATTCCCTGATCCCAAATGTGCCTGTAGCAACGAAATGGTTTTGTACCTCGTTTCTAGTGCACGGTCGATTGTTCTCAAACGTCCGAGGATTGTGTCGTGAGGAACCTTGTAAGCCTCTCTGACAATGAGATCGTTTGTAATGATGACAGGAAGCTTTCCTTGTTTCTCTTGTTCCCTCGTTCTCTTCGTTCCCTTCATTTTCCCTCTAGTCCGCCCTCGCCTTGATATAGGTAACATCTCCATCAACAAGACAGAGCAGGGTCAGAGGGTTGTCGGTCGTACTGATGATGAGAAACAAACGGAAAGTAAAGTCGAACATAGGGCGTGGGAGCCAAAGGCGCTGCAGGATTAAAAAGACAGTAACGAGACGAGGGAAGAGCGAGCGTGGGAATGACAGCGAGAGGGCAAAGAGCGGCAAACAGCAAAGAGTGTCGTCACGTTTGCCTTGTGCTTTTGCCAAGGTGCCACGCGTCACATTCTCCCTCCATATAAATACTCCTTCATCTTTCTTCTTTTCTTTCTTTCCTCACCGCTCCCTTCCTCCCTTAACCATGCCGACCGGTAAGTTCTCTATTGTCTTGTTTTTCTCTTGTAAACGATCCCCATCCCCACTCTCCCATAACCACCCCCACCCTACCATACCCACCACTCTCCCATACCCATCCTCACTCTCAATACTAAGACGCAGCACCGCCTCTCCTTGTATTTTCAGGTACCCCTCGAGTTGAGGTCAAGCAAGGTGCCGCGTTTCGCCCCCAGGTTGTCTGGTGTTGTGTTTGCCTCCGTTGCCAGGTATAAGCGAGAGACCGCTTTGTCCTTCTGTTGAGACTGCCTTCCATTTTGTTCGTTCGTGACTCCCCCATCGGACTTGTCCCGCAGGTCGCCCAGTTCCGAGGTACCCCCCCTTGTACTTCTAGTCCTTTTGGCTCGTTGGGTCTGGGCATGCCTAGAACCATTCTGTCCTTTGCTTTTTTTTCGTCATTGCTCATTTGCATTTGCCATTCGTTTCGCCATTTGCCTAATAAGAAGGTGGCAGGAAGGAAGGGACAAAGCAAATGGCAGAGGTGAATGGGTGATGAGGAAAAAGGGCAAGGCGGTTGACGTTGATGAATGGTTCTAGGAGTGTAGGAGTGGAGGAGTGTAGCCCTTACGCCAACGAGAAAAGGACAGAGGACAAGGCGAGAGAGGTACCGTAGGGAACTGGAGCCACCGATGGTGGCAAGGATCAGGTAGGAGGTTGATGTCACATGTGACGAACAAATGGTAAAGGTGTGCGCTCCGGAGCAAGACGAAGCCGGCTCTCGTATAAGCCTGGCAACCTGAGGTGGACGCGGCGCCCGGCAGCCAAGGGTGGAACGTGGCACAACCCCCTCTCTCACCCGGTCGGCCCAGTGGCAAGTCGGGAGCGGCAAATCGGGCAAGCGGCAAGTGTCCGTCTCCAGGCCTCCAGCCATCAAGAGCCCCAGGCCTCCAGCCACCAAGAGCCCCAGGCCTCCAGCCACCAAGAGCCCCAGGCCTCCAGCCATCAAGAACCCCAGGCCTCCTGCCACCAAGAGCCCCAGGCCTCCAGCCATCAAGAACCCCAGGCCTCCAGCCATTAAGAGCCCCAGGCCTCCAGCCATCAAGAACCCCAGGCCACCTGCCACCAAGAGCCCCAGGCCTCCAGCCATCAAGAACCCCAGGCCTCCAGCCACCAAGAGCCCCAGGCCTCCAGCCATCAAGAACCCCAGTCCTCCAGCCATCAAGAACCCCAGTCCTCCAGCCACCAAGAGCCCCAGGCCTTCAGCCACCAAAAGCCCCCAAGGTCTCCAGCCATCAAGAGCCCCAGGCCTCCAGCCACCAAGAGCACCAGGCCTCCAGCCATCAAGAGCACCAGGCCTCCAGCCATCAAGAGCCCCAGGGCTTCAGCCATCAAGGGCACCAGGCCTTCAGTCACCAAAAGCCCCCAAGGTCTCCAGCCATCAAGAGCCCCAAGCCGCAAGCCCAGTATTAGTTGGCAACAATGCCATTCTCCAATAAACCCTTTTTTCCCCTGTACTTTTTTCATTGTCTTCTGTTACTGTTTCTGCTTTCAACTCTGCTCTTGATTATGTTCTGTTATTGAATGCCCGAACTTTTACCTTTGGTACTTTTACGCTTATCAACAAGTGGCTGACTGGTAAACAAAGCATAAGGAAGTTGCCTTTCATTGTCTTCGGTACCATGTCCATATGTGTGTGTGTGTGACCCTTTTTTATTTTTTTGAAAACAAAAGAAAAAGAAAGGTACGAGCGATAAGTCTACTCCCGAATGATCAAAATGAGTAATGAGCTGTTGACCCGTTGTTCCACCCTTGCACCTGATTTCAATGAATCGCCATGGATTTTTTGACTTTACAATTTTATTCTTTATTTCACAGCAACACCCTTTTCCTTCAAGGTCTCCAATTCTCTCTTGGCGCCAGTATGTCCTCGGTCAGCAGCCTTAGAGAGCCACTCGGCGGCCTTTGCATAATCCTGGGGAGTACCTTGGCCTCTCTTATAAAGTACGCCGATGTTGAATTGAGCAACTTCGTTCCCTTGCTTGGCGGCCTTGAGGAACCATTCCATCGCTTGCGCAAAGTCCTGGGGAACACCTCGGCCATCATGGTAGTAAACGCCGATGCTGTTTTGAGCGGAAGCATGACCTTGATTGGCGGCCTTAAGGTACCAATCCATCGCCTGTGCGCAGTCTTTGGGAACTCCTTGGCCGCTATCGTAGAGAAGGCCGATGCTGAATTGAGAGTCGGCATCTCCTTGCTGGGCAGCCTTGAGGAACCAGTCCATCGCTTGTTTGTAATCCAGAGGCACACTTCGACCATTCTTATAAAGAAGGCCAATATTGTATTGTGAATCGGTGTGTCCTTTCTCGGCAGCCTTGAGGTACCATTCCATCGCTTGTTTGTAGTCCAGAGGCACACTTTGACCATAATGGTAGTAGACGCCGACGTTGTATTGTGAGGTGGTGTGTCCTTGATTGGCAGCCTTGAGGAACCATTCCATCGCTTGTGCGTAGTCTTGAGGAACACCTACGCCGTCGTCGTAGAGACACCCAACGCCGTACTGTGATCCTGCATCTCCTCCTTCGGCCGCTTTGAGGTACCATTCCATCGCTTGTTTGTAGTCCAGAGGCACACCTCGACCATAATGGTAGTAGACGCCGACGTTGTATTGTGAGGTGGTGTGTCCTTGATTGGCAGCCTTGAGGAACCATTCCATCGCTTGTGCGTAGTCTTGGAGAACACCTCGGCCGCCGTCGTAGAGACACCCAACGCCGTACTGCGATCCTGCATGCCCTCGTTCGGCGGCTTTGAGAAACCATTCCATTGCACGTGCATAGTTCTGACGAACACCGTGACCATGGCCGTAGAGAACTCCGATGCTGTGTTGAGCGACTGTATATCCTTGTTCGGCGGCCTTGAGGTACCAATCCATGGCTATTAAGTGGTTCTGCGGGACACCGAATCCTTCATCGTAGAGGGAGCCCACTCTCTGCTGTCCAACTGCGTCTCCTTGCTCGATGGCTTTGAAGTACCAATCCATGGCGGCCTGATAGTCTTGTGGAGCCCCTTTGCCATCTCTGTACATGTCGCCAAGCGCGACCTGGGCGTCCTTGTCCCCCTCACTAGCATCAATGATCGTCCGTGCCCATTGAAACTCTACGGATACATTAGCTGTTGCGCTTTGGGGTCCACGCTGCTGAGAGTTACTGCTGTTGTCTGAGTGAGGAGGGACGGTAGGATTATTGATGGTTGGCGGTTGATCATCCAGTGCGGAATGTGGACCTCGAGCCGACGGGAACGCAAGGGGTCTGTCGATGTGAGTGTAGTTTTCCATCGCCGTCTCTACAAGACCGTAAACTGGGTTTCGTCGGACAGCGGATGTTGCAGTGGAAGAGGCACCGGACGAGGACGTCGCGTTGGGCGTGGTTGTAGCAGTCTTAGCAACGGGGGTCGACATAGCACTGGGTGTTGAGATGGCATCCTGGGATGCAACCTCAACTTTTATCGCGCTGCCGTCCTGCGGTGGCACTGGATGCAATGATGCCTGCTGGACCTGGGCAGAAACGACCTCCACATTGTTGGTCACTGGAGTATTTATGACCACATCCAAGACGATGTTCGGCAAGGCGGCGATCCTGCGAGGCTCAAGACTATCGGCGATGTTTTTCATTGTCCAATAATAAGAAAACTTAGCATGATTGTCTTCTTCCTTCATTCTACCATCACCCCACGACATGCATTGTCACCAGCAGTAGCCCTCCCATCCTCTACACATACATTGTATGGTCTTTTCCTCTGAGGAACGGAACCACTCTCGCCTTGTGTCGGACTTGGACTGCGTTATCGAATGCCTGAACGATATCGTCCCAGAAAATGAACTCTTTTTGGGTGTGGGGGTCGAGTTGGGTGTCAACGTAATAGATCTCATCAGGGCTGGCAGGAGGAATGGAGTTGGGTGGGATACCCCTGTTGACGGAGCGGAGTGCCTGGATCTGTTCCTGAGGGCTGTCTCCTTGTAGCATTCTGTGGCGAAGGAGGTGATAGATGGATGGGTGGATGTGTGGACGGTTAGGACGAAAAAGAAAAGTGTGTTATGGATGGTGCTGGGGTGGGGGTGAGGGGGTGAGTGAAGAAGTGAGCCGAAAGTACGAGAAGGGAGAAGAAGGTGCATTCGTCCCGCTGTGTTACCATGGGAAAGAAGGGCTGTGACAAGTACAAGTATTGACTGCAAGCTGTAAACAAGAAAACATAGTTGGATGAACATCCTTCTTTCAACGAGCCATGATATGACAAGTGAGAGGGTGACAAAATTAGGTTATTATTAGGGGGGTGTGTGTGTGTGTGTGTTGTAGTAGTTGTAGTAGTTGTAATAGTAGTAGCGCAAGGAAAAGGGAAAGGAAGGGAGACCAACAAGGCAATTAAGAATGAACGAAACAGAAGACAGAAACGCTTTAAGCCATCATCAAGCCGTCAGAGTTGGCGCTCGTATCAGCAAGGAGTCCTCCACCACTCTTCATATCGCTGTTCTCCAAGGGCATGATCCGTCCATCGTGCGTATGAAAGATCTGGTCAAAGCTCGACATCAGCAGCGCAAACACGCCGGCGGGGATGCCTAGCGTCGGTGAGAACACAATGCCGACATTGCGAGCTGTCATCTTGTTCACGTCCGCATTGTCGACAATCTCGATCAAGTGTGCCGTTAAGGCTCGCAGAAGCGTGTAGTTCACCTCTGGGAGGATCGCTACCAGCCTCGTCAACTCGTCCACACGGTCCTGTCTATTCGGGAGTTCTAATTTTTTTTTTTTGGATAGCACAAAAGAGCCACAACGCGTTAGAAGATTGTTGTCGAGATTGAAAAAGTAAAGTGAGCCAGAAAAAAAAAAAAAAAAGTGAAAAGAAGACGTACCAATGACCTGCAAGAAATCCTTGTGCAACTCGCGAGTGAGGACAGAATTGGGCAGCTCTCTTAGGAACAGCTTGAGAAGACCGGCGACGGCATGGATATCATAGTAATCCTCACTGGCCAGCAATGGCACGTCACCGTCATGGTTAAACTTCTCCTTCAGGCTTTTGATCACCGCCGATGATCCGTTCAACCGGTAGATTCCTTCCTCCAACTTGGCCTTGTGTGCATTCAGGTACTCGATGCAGCGATACACAACCGCTGGCAGTTCATACCCAGGCTGAACACGACCCTGCTCCATTGCCAGCTCCAACGTCACTCCAAACACCTGACGGATTGGTGCCAAACCGGGAAAAGATCCTTGGTCCCCAGGTCTACCTCCTGCTTGGTTCGGTGCTTGGGCAGCGCTGTTGTTGGCGTTGCTGCTGCTACCCTTGCCCAAAAAGTTTCTCAGACGAGAAGAGTCCTGAGGTGCTCCCGAGGTCGAGGCATCCTTGTTGCCCTGGGATCCTCCAGGACCTGACTGGCCAGCGGGCTCTTCCTTGGCCGCCTTCTTGGGCCAGTGGAACGTCATCCGTGACCGTTGCTTCTTCTCCGCAATCTCCTGAGGCGAAAGGTGCGGCGTCTGCGACTGGCCCTCCGCGCTCGCCTTGAATTGACCCTATGTCACCAAGAAAAAATGGCAATTGCTCGTGTCAGCTTGCGTGTTGCCATACTCAACGAGTTAATCTCATTACATTAGTTGATGTGTCATTGTGTACCTCTTCTTGGGTCTGGTTCAAGGAGTGTGTGGACTGATTCCTTGGCAATCCTGGGGCCTGCGTATCCTGCTGCTGCTGTTGTTGTTGCTGCTGATTCTGGTACTGTTGTTGCTGTTGGTACTGCTGCTGGTTCTGGTATTGCTGCTGCTGCTGCTGCGGTGGTGTGTTCCATGGAGGCTGTGGTCCTCCCTGTTCAGGGTATTGGCTGTAGTTCTGCCGGTTGTTGTTGGCGTATTGACCCTCGGCCGACTGCCTTTCTGCCGAAAGGCGATCGTCAATGGACATTCCGGGAGTGGTAGGCGATAATGGCATGCCACCTCTCAAATGGTTCTGTTGATTTGGGCCCGATGGAGGGATTGAACGCTGCTGGCGTTCATATGCTTCCTGGTTCAATAGCAACTTTTCATTGCCCTTCACCGAGGCAAGATCCTTGATGGGGGTGGCTGCCACCTTTTGGATCTCGGGCATACGACGTCCTGGTCGCTCCTTCTCAGAGGTAGGAGCAGCCTCCGAGCCATCGTTGGACTCCTTACCAACATACAGAAGCAAAGCATCCACCCACCCGTCACGCTCCTCGTCAGTCTCAGCGCAGAGGACATGTCGCGTTACGCTACTAGGGTTGCGCTTGGCGTCTGCAACCGACTGACCCTTCTTGGGCTCCAAGATGAGGAAAGCGTGGCGGTAAGAGTTGAGGTCAACTGGTCCCTCCTTGCTCTCGCCGGAATCCTGCTTGTTGTCAGGCGACTGCTGGCGACCAATCTGGGCATATGTCAGCGTGATAGATCCCAAATGATGGCCATCCTTCTACTCATCGACAACAACAAGTAACGATAATGTAAGTATGACCGCTTATAAGCCCCTGTAGTAGCAAAGCAGATATAAATGTATACAGAGGGCAACTCACGGTGTCAAAGTACTCCAGGACGGGTCCTCGGAGGACAAAGAAGCGGGTTTTCCAGCCTCCAAAGTTCTTGCCACGCTTAGTCAGGTACCCTTCCTTCCAGCCAGACTCGTTCGCCTCCTTGCGGCCACTACGCTCAACAACGTTGGTGCTAAGGAACTCGCACATGTCGCGAGTGTCCTTGATCCGGAGCGACGTCAATTGTTGCAAGTACTGCTCCAAAGCAACCTTTCTGGCATCCACCTTGGAGGGCGCATGGTTACTGAACAAGCTCTTGTCAGGCAGCTTGGGCAAGTTGTTGATAATGTTTCTGCTTTGCGTCACTCGCAGCTATTGGACAAAGTAAAGAAATTTCGAAGGTTAATTACTTTGATATGCACGACAGCCAATATCATACTGTAGGCGTAATGCAATAAATAGAAAAAGTGTTACCTTGGAGTCCAGGTTGACAAACTCCACGTACTGCTTCTCGACACGCCAAACCTCGTCGCTCTCCTTGTGGGGGTAGGTTCCTTCCTTGGTCTGGACTTCATGCCCTACGGACACCAAGAATGTTAGGAGCTCTTTGCCCTTGTCGTTGGTTCTGATGTTGCTGCCAACGACCATAACAGAAACAAACTCAAGGTTGTCGCCAAACATATGGAAGTTTTGCTGGTGAATGGTGGGTCCGCTACGTGAAGAGCTCGTTGGCAGAACGTTGGTCAAGGTGTTGTTGACAGACGAGTTGCCAGAAGGCGTAGGCGAGCCAGACCGAGCTGTAGCATTGTCCAGCATAGGCTGGGAGTCGTATCGTTTGGGTGGAAGCGGCACAGCGTATTCCTTGGAACCATCGTCATCTTCATGTTGGTGCGAGGTCGAGCGGGCGGCAATCTTGGGGTAGCCTTCCAAAACAGGAAGGGACGACTGGCGGCGTCTTTCGCGGGGAACATTTGAACCTCCAATGGGTTCCTCGTGATGAGCATAACCACCGTTCTCGGGGGACACAAGAGTGTCGACGCTGGCACTGGGTCCCTGCCATTGATCCTGAGGGTGGACGCGGGGTGGACCTTGAAGTAACAAACAAAATAGAAACAAAAAAAAGAGGGTATAATGGTGAGTACATGAAATGTATGCACGTCGGCAAATTAACATGCAGAATGACGGGATTTTAGCGCATGGGAGCAGTGTGCGGAGATTAGTATTTTTTTTTAAATATACCTTGGCTCTGGCTCTGGTGTTGGCTCTGGTTTTGGCTCTGGCTCCTTAGCTGGTTCTGAATCTCAATCTGGGCCTGAATGTTCTCCATTGCCACTGCCTGTCCAAGTGCCAGGGCATGGTCTTGGTTGTCTCCCGAGACGCCGTTTGCGCCAGGTGGTCCCCGACGGTTGGGGTTGGTCAGCTTACTCATGTACACTCTGTACTTTTCGGCATCCTGATCAATAATGGCAGCGATAGGGGATGCAGGCAGAGAGTTGCCGTTTGTGCCTCCGGGGGAGGAGGGGTCCACATCTTGGGCAGCCATGACATGGGCATTCAAGTTAGAAAGGTTGGGGATCTGACCAGAGACATTCCTGCGCATAGGGTGAACAGGTCCCTGCTGGAAGGTCTGGTTCATATGCCCGGGGGAGCTAGGTGTGGCGGGAATGTAGGTCGAAGTGGGCTGGTATTGTTGATCTTGTGGGTTCAAAGGCGAGTCGTAGGGATTGACCTGTCTTGCCCGCTGGGCCGAGTTGTATCCGCCCTCGGAGGTCTCCAAGTCGTGATGTGGGGGGTAAGCAGGCGAAAGCGGGGTAGGCTGCTCCGATCCATCGCCTCTCAATCTTGTAGGGCTCATCAAAGGGCCGCCCGCTGGACCTTTACGTCTGGATCCTGCCTGTGCCTGATGGTACTCGTCCTCGTTATCAGAGGCCTCATTGTCGTCTTTACGCTCACGGCGAGGTGACCGTGGTGGCAAGTGTGGCATCAGGTGAGATGGAATGGCGATGCTTCCCGAGATGTTGCGTGCAGGTGCAGGTCCTATTTAGCAAAAGTGTTTGTCATTGGTTAGTCACCATAAGATATCGGAGGAATTCACGAACGAATAGATGGAGTGAAACGGACAATGCGCTGGCGTAGTACCATCGAGGGGGTAAGTAGGTTCAGAGCGGTTGGGCAAGGAACGAGGATCGCGCTCGTGATGCGAAGAAGGAGCCAGGGTCTGCTGAGAAGCAGGTTGATGGTATTGCGTGCGGGTGGCAGTGGAGACGATCTGGCCTTCGGGGTCGTATGGATCTTGCGAGTGGTCCTCCTCGGGTGGGGTGCGAGTGTTATCGTAGGTATGGTTGCTGGACTGGTCGTAGCCGTTGGACTGAACGGGGGTCACGTCCTGGTCGGGTTCGGTCTTTGCGCCCTCAAAGTCGCTTTCGTAGGTTGAGGAAGGAGTGAGAGGAAGGCCGCTGTTGTTGTTGTTGTTGTTGTTAGAGTGAGGTTTGTGTGAGTGTCCGTGCTGTCTGGGTGATTGTTGGTCATGTTGGAGGTGGCGGTGTTGTTGTGGCTGCTGCTGGAATTGGTGTTGTTGTTGCTGGTGTTGCTGTTGCTGCTGGTTCTGGTTCTGGTGATGATGACGTTGTTCATGGGAGGAAGTGGTTGACGAGAAGGACGTGTCTCCGTTAAAGCCCGAGGCCGGCTCAAGCTCACGTTCGGTGTTTCCGTTGGTATCACTGTCGTGTGCCCTTCTCTCCATTGAGCGTTTCGAGTTCGAGGGGTAATGCTGCAGCTGCTGTTGTTGGTGACCGTTAGGTGGGAGATAGCCGTTGGGCTCATGAGTGTGATCGGATGAGGACGAAGGAGGAGAGGCGTTGTTACTGTGGTTGTTGTTGTTGAGGACAGCAGAGGCGGATTGGCGAAGGGAGTCTCGTTCGGTAGAGACCTTTGAGACATCTCGTTGGAGGTTCTGGATGATGACACGCTGCTTCTCAATGATCTTCCAGAGTTGGTCGTTCTGGGAACGGAGGGAGTTGCGCTCGGCGAGGATCTGTTGAATGGTAGCCTCGTTGTTCAGGTCCAGTGGTGCCTGTCCTTGCTGCTGTTGCTGTTGTTGCTGCTGTTGCTGATGGTGCTGGGGCATACCCTGGTCCGGATGAATGTTTTGGGGCATTGTATCCTCTAATTATACTAATGCATTTGAGCACATGGTATGGTAAGTGAGGAGGAAGGGTTAGGATAGGGTGTCAAGTTCAAGGGGGACGTTGTTATCTTAGCTATGCAAGTTGGAAGAAAGGCAAGAGAGCGAGAGTCGAGTAGGAAAAAAAGGGGGGACAATTGGGCAATGCTGCTTGTCAAAAGAGATTAGACGGTTGGACAGCCTTCCCCTCTTTCAGGAAGACTTTGAATTGGTGTGTTGCTGCTTGCTAAGAGAGAATCGACTGCTGGAAGCATTGATGCTGGTAACAGATAGAGCCATTTAGGTATGTGTTGACGACGTCCATAAATGGGACTGGGGTCAGACCCCGCATGGGTGTCTTGGACACAACAGCAGGAGCAGCAGCAGCATCGAGGGAAAATAAGAGGAGAGGGGTAAGACACCACCAACCAGCACCACGGTACATAATCGTGCCGTGTGTCTGTGGTATTGTGGGGGAGGTACCTGGAGTATGTTGACTTACAGGCAGACTGGCGACCTGTTCGGGGCGAGGAGGAGATGGTAGGGAGGATTACGTTTTGGCGGCGAATGGGGTTGTTTAGTTAGAGACTAGAGAGTGATGGAAGTGGCAAGTGTGAATGAAGGGAAGGGAGGGATGAGAGTGGTCGCGCAGCAATGTGCGGAGGAAGTGGGAATGGGAAAGGAGGGGAGAAGGGGGAGAGAGGGGAGTAGAAAAGGGAGGGAGGATGAAGATGATGACGGATGAAAGGGAGAGGGGGGAGAGAGAGAGAGAGAGTGAGAGAGAGAGAGAGAGTGAGAGAGAGTGAGAGAGTGAGGGGGATGATGACGAGAAGAGAGAAGAAAGGGAAAAGATGAAAGGAGGACAGAAAGGAAAGAAGGGCTAGAAAGTGAGGGAGGAAGGGAGCGACAGCATACCAGCCAGCGAGCCTGGTAAATTGCGAGGAGAGGGGGTCCTTCTTTTTCATGTGGACGACAAACAAAAGCCATTATAATCAACAGGTATATGGACCATTATTACCAACAGCTAAATAATAATGGTGGATGGATGGTCGTCAGACTGGGCCCTGTCTCCCCTGCTGCACCTGTTTGCTTGTTGTTGTCTATCATTGCTTGTTTGCTTGCACGCTGCAAGTCTCGCATATGAATCCAACAGGGCTTTTAGACCCTTGTGCCCCACTCTGTTTTCCTTTGTTATCTGCATGGACCCATGTCTAACCTATCGCTAGTGTACCCATGCATTTACAGAAAAACAACGGTCGAGTCGACGGTGATTGTTGCTCTCTCTCTGTCTCTCTGTCTCTCTGTCTCTCTCTCTCTCTCTCTCTCTCTCTCTCTCTCTCTCTCTCTCTCTCTCTCTCTCTCTCTCTCTCTCTCTCTCTCTCTCTCTCTTTCTCTCTTTCTCTTTTCCCTTTCTTTTCTATTCCTCGATCGTGTGTCCATGTCGATTGGATTGCCTTTGTTCTCTGCGCAAGGGCGGTGTTTGGATACAGAGTAATGTATTATTGATCCATTTCCCATTGACATTCATCAAGTGGTCCACTTCCACTCCACGTCTGTTCCCTGTGGACTGTACTTGTACTGTACTGTGGACATGTATGTTTAGCGCACACTCACACACAATACTCAATTCACTTGTGATGAATGCAGAATTAGAGTTTGCTTTGCTCTCGTAATGAGACCTGGCCACACAAACACCGAGCAAGGCCCTTGAATACCTACTGACTGCCCCAACAACAACTGCTGCAACAACAACAACAACAGAAAAGACATTCATCTTCCTCTTTTGCTCCAACAACATGTACGTGGTCCTTTCTTTCTGCATGGATCACGGTTGCTTGGAATGGCATCAGACACTCATGGACCCAACATCTGATCGAATGCTATCACCGATCCTGTTTTTGAACGATAGAAAGGAGGGGGTAAAGGGGAGAACGAAGCGAAGAAATAGAATATCCGATTGAAGGGGAACAACGGACGTCGTCTGTTGTCTTGTGGGAAATTACACATGCGGGAGAGCCCTTCTTTCTTCTTTTCACCTTTGGCTGCCTCTTCTCTTTTCCCATTCGCCTGTTCTCTTTTTCCTTTTTCATCTCTCTATTCCTCTCTATTATTTTCCTCTCAATGTTCCTCTCTATTATTTTCCTCTCAATGTTCCTCTCTATTATTTTCCTCTCAATGTTCCTCTCTATTTTCCTCTCATTTCCTCCCTCTCCTTTCCCCGCCGTCTGTCGTTTGTTCCCTTTCCACTTTCCTCCTTCCCTCTTTCCTTCTTTCCTCTTTCCTTCTTTTCCTTGCCAATGCTCTCAACGACCAAACAATTGCGCATTCAAATCAAAAATCAAATATATTCTCTCTCCATCGAACTCCTTACCGTTACAAACACAAACACAAACACAAACAAACAAGAAACAAACACTCGGACCATCCATTCAAAACGGCATAACACTTGCTGTCTTTCCCTCTCATCTCATCTCTCTTGGACACTTGGGCTTGTATACAATCGCCTTTTCCATGTATGCCTTATACTCGAATGACGAGATGTTACTCTAATGCAAAAAAAATAATGGGATTGTTTATAGCTTCAGCTACTACTGAAAGGGAGAGATCTTGCTTGATCTTCTATGAGCTGACGGGGGAAGGAGCAGTCTTTCCGAGGATTCTCCAGTTGTCTTCTGGGTCGGTAATGTATCTCTGGAATACAAGGTACTCCAACACTGGCACCGTCTTTTTCAAGTCTCCTGCAATCAACTTGTTCTTCTTGTCAAACACTCCCATGCTCTAATTATCATCATTTGTGATTGTAAGAGAAAAAAGGAAAACGTTCATAATTCATGCATATGTTAGTGGCAAACGAACGCAGGTACCGCACATTCACATATGACAACATCGTTCAAATAGCAAACAAAAGCATGAACGCAAAGTGACAAGCAACATGGCACATAAAGTGTCGACAAACAAGAGATAATGCAATATAAAGAAAATCATATGCGGTGTAACAAGGATAACAAACAACGTGTTATCCATAGATAAACAAGCAAAGGGGGCAAAAGATACACGAGAAAGACAATTGAGTAAGTCCAAATCACCCAACACGCGACATCTCAACAACGCCACCAAAAACGAAATCAGTTGAGGCGACGTGTAGAAAAAGCAAGGAAGATAGATATGAAACGAGGCGACCAGATCACTGATACGCCACCAAAGAGAAATAAAGTGAATCGAACTGTAGACGAAAACAAAAAATGAGCAAAAAAAATAAAAAAAACGTACCTGGTTGGAGTGAAGGCGCACGATCATTTGAATGAGAACGTGTCCTCCGATCTGGCCCTGTCGGATAGATACAATCTGGGGCTTCTCAACAAGTCCGTGGTACTTCCACTCATAGCGTCCGACACGGTCCTTGAGCTGGCCCTTCAGTTTAGCGTACATCGACGGCGTGCAAATCTCCTCCAGGTACTTGCGGTCGCCCTTGGCAAATGCCTCGTTCATCCCGATATATGCCTCCTCTGACTCGCTCATAAACCGTCCTGTGATACCAAAATCCTTCAGCTTCCAGCACATTCCCAGCGTGCTAATGTGCATTGCAATGAGAGTCATGGAGATCCTGTCTGTAAGTTGCACTGTCCAAGCACAAAGACTGAAGATCCACTTCCATGTTCACATAAGCAAAAAGAAAGTTTTACCTGGCCGCGGTCATGCCGGTGTTGCGCATACGGAGCTTGGCGTATTTGATCCAGGTCTTGTAGTCGTTGAACAGCGAAGGGCGGTTCTCCTTCTCAGGGATCACATATGGGTCTATTCCATTGAACCACCTGAGATTAGCATCCTGTTCCTCTTGTAGTCCCGGTATTCAACATTGACTTGACTTTCGAGTGAAGGCATCCCTTGTTCCCGTGGTCTCCGTATTGAACTTATGTGAAACGGTATCCATAAATGATATCCGCGAACATACGTACCCATGATGCCAACCTCCTTGAGAGTCATTTGCTGGGTCATTTGGCGAGGCACGCTGGAATATGAAGCAGACTGGGCAAGAACACCAGTCATGCCGCGCATACGGGCCATGTTGGCCGATCCGACCATGGCAGTCAATCCGGTCTGGTTCGACAACGCGCGAACCGACTGAACGGCCTGTGCGGCAGTGTTGTTGGACAGACGAGAGCTCAAACGGAACATTGTGTTTTGGCGATGTGTGGCGAAGGTGATGGTCCTGGTGAATCTGCCTCTCTTGTTCCTGTGTTGTTGTTTGCGTTAGGTGGGATGCAAATGATCGTTTGATGGATGGACTGATGCAAACAAAAAGTAAGAATACGAGGCGGACAATTCGCTTCCTTTTGTTCTCTCTCCCCCGAGAGATCTCGGACTCCTTCTGTGGGTCAAATGCCCTCGTGACTGCGATCCTCCCATTTGGTGCCTGAATAGAGACTTGCTCTGCTTCTCTTCTAGCCTGTGTTGTCAACAAAATAAAAAGCCACCCAAAAAAAAAAGAAAAAGGAGTTACAAGCACCTTGCTGTATTCTGCTGATTGTCCTTGCGCTCCATCCTTGCCACCAAATCGCATCCCTCACTTCACATCAGCCCTCGACAACCACAACTGCTCCTTTCGACAAACCCGACTCTACAACATACCATCAGAATAAGCACATGGCTGTCGCAAAGCGCAATCGCTCAGAGACCAAGGTCGACCCTTCGGTATTGCACGTCCCTTTTTGTTGGAGTGAGCTGGCAGTACGCTATGACTATGGTGCTAAGGAAACAGACCTCTAACTTATCACACCCTCATTCATTGGGAACTATAGGCAAAGAACATCAAGGACGCTGTTGAGCAGATCCGTCTGTTGGAGCGTCAGGTCGCAGAGAGCAAGACCCACTTCAACAACATTGTTACCTTGATTCAGTTCTGCGAGGTGTGTATCCCCTATCAGCAACTCCGATACTATCATGTTTGAATTTGCAGACAAGAAACAAATAACTAACATATGATTGGCAATGGATAATAGGACGACTCGTCAAAGGTCATTCATGCTGCTATGCATGCGTTGTTCAGAGTGTTTTCGCCAATGCTGTCGAGAGGCGAGTTGCAAAAGCCCAAGAAGGCTACCGCAGAGGACAAGAAGGCGACCGTGACCTTGTGGCTCAGGGAGAACTATGTCAAGTACCTCAACAGGATGTGCGCCATCTTGGACGTCCCCGAGGCTGGACTCCAGGTCCCTGCCTTGAAGATCTTGCTCGACATTGTCAAACTGGAATCGGCTCACCTCTCCACTCTTTCGGGATCACACCACTTTGCCAACGACCTCTACTTGAACATTGTCGACGCCCTCTTGAACTGCAGCAACATGAGTGCACCCTTGCTGAACGAGTTCACACAAAAGTACTTTGGATTCTATGACGACCTCCGCTTTTACTTTTTGAAGAATGCCGCTCAGATCATCAATGCCGCCCTCGGAACTAAACCCAAGAAGGACAACAAGGCACCCCAAAACAAGGTACATCTTTCAAGCAGAGAGATACAGAGACGAAGAGAGAAGAAAGAACAGAAAGTAGAGAGGAAGCGTCGAGAACGAAAGAAAAAGTGTGTAGAGGGAGAGGCAGGGTCACTTGTCGCTTTCATCTCACCCACTGTACATGTGAAAAGACTCAAAGATGCTAACATCGATCAGTTTTTTAAACTATAATGTTATATAGAAGCAAAAGACGACAGGACAGGCACCACCTGCCAAGTTGGCGTTGATTCTGGAGAACGCGTTCGCTATCATGGAGACGTTGAAGTCGATGCCCACCGAGGCCAAGGAGCTGGACGAGTTCTGGACAGGGAACCCTGACCCCAGTAAGTCATCTGGAGTTGATGCGCACAGGAATGATGGAAGAAGATCACGTAACACGCAGATCGATCTAACTCGGAATTATATGTTCGCTCATTAGACAACGAGAAGAAGGAATACACTGGCGAGAGCTTTGGATTCTCAGAGGACGAGGACGACGCAGTGGAGGACTTGACCAAGAACACATCGGCAGCTCACATCAAGAGACATCCCTTGCTCACCCTCTTCAACCACAAACGCGTCTTCTCTGACTGCTGGACCGCGCTTCTCAGACTCCCATTCACAACTGTGATCTACAAGAAGACCCTTCTCATTGTTCACAAGCGCATCATCCCCCACTTGCCACAACCCACCGTCCTCATGGATTTCTTGACCGACTCTTACAATGCCGGAGGAGCTATCAGCTTACTTGCCCTGAAGGGACTGTTCGTTCTCATCACCGAACACAACCTGTACGTATGCGTATTGTGCACTTCACGAGATGATTGCAACAGAAGGAACATTTCAGTTAACGCGAACAGCTCTTGCCTTTTCTTTCGAAAATAGTGATTACCCGGATTTCTTCCAAAAGTTGTACATGCTTTTTGACCGGAATCTTATGCACGTCAAGTACCGTGCTCGTTTCTTCAGTCAAGTCGACATTTTCTTGTCATCTCCGTAAGTTCAACCGTTTCTTTGGACGTGAAATCTCTTGAGAGGGACTGAAGCTACTTATCGCGTATGTTTATTAACATTTTGCTTTTATGTTGTTTGACAATAGTCTTTTGCCTGCACAGTTGGTCGCTGCGTTTATTAAGCGCATGTCGCGTCTTGGTCTCTCTAGTCCTCCAGCCTCGATTGTCATCATCATTCCCTTTATCTATAACCTGTTGAAGCGCCACCCAACCTGCATGCAGTTGATTCACGGAAAGGCCAACAGCGAGAAGAATGACAGCTATAACGCCTTGGAGGATGATCCTATGAAGAGCAACGCCTTGCAGAGCTCTCTCTGGGAACTTCAAGTATGTTCCTCCCTGTTCTCATTGAAATCTTAAGGGAAGAAAGACTGAAAGGTGTTGAAGACAAGTAACTTACACGGATTCTTTTTGTTATTGCATGATAGACACTTCAAAACCACGTTGCACCCAATGTGGCGACACTAGCCAAGATTTTCAACGAGCAGTTCACCAAGCCTTCGTACAACCTTGAGGACTTTTTGGATCACACATATGCGACCATGTTCCAGAACGAGATTACCAAGAAGCGGAAGGACGAGGCTGCGATCGCAGTAGATGCCCCCAAGGGTCTCTTTGTAGCAGCGGTTGAAGAGACCGCCGAGGAGGAGGGAGAACAGGACGCTGTTGTTCCTGGATGGGAGAGTTGGTCTTTTTAGATTTAGAGCATCAATACATTTCATATCGCATTTGCATTTTCATTGAATAAGCCACGCGTTAATCAGCAGTCACTTGTTATGAATTTTTTTTTCTTTTTTTTTTTTTTTTCCTTTTTGCCAAAGGTCTCTTCGGTGGCAACAGAGCAAAGTCATCGTTCTCGTCTTCTGTACCTTTTCTACCTCCACCTCAACCTCCCCCTTCACCCACACACTCATCACACAATGGCACCCAAAACTAGAGGTACTTCATCCTCAAATACTCACAATCAGAACATGGACACGCAAGGAGAGGAATGACAACACTTGACTTCGAATTCAAAACACTCACCATCCCCTTGCACATATATGTGACCATGATACATAGCTTCCGCGGCACCTGCTGACAAGCCTGCAGCCAAGGCTGTTGCTGCTCCCAAGCCTACCGCTGTGAAGCGCAAGGCTACTGCCCCTGCTGCCAAGGAGACCCCCGCCAAGAAGGTCGCCGTGACTCCCGCCAAGAAGGAGGCCAAGACTGCCTCTGCCCCCAAGAAGGCTGCCGAGAAGAAGGTCGCTGAGAAGAAGGAGGCCAAGGCTGCTGTTGTTGAGGAGAAGAAGGTTGTTGAGAAGAAGCCCGTCGAGAAGAAGGTCGTCGAGAAGAAGGTCGCCGAGAAGAAGGTTGTTGAGAAGAAGGTCGTCGAGAAGAAGGTCGTCGAGAAGAAGGTCGTCGAGAAGAAACCCGTCGAGAAGAAGGTTGTCGAGAAGAAGGTTGTCGAAAAGAAGGTTGTCGAGAAGAAGACTGCCACTGCACCAGCACCAAAGAAGGCACCCGTCAAGGAGCAGGAGCAGGAGAACGACAACAATGAGGACGATGTCGAGGAGGACGAGCAATTGATGGACGACAGAGCTCTTCTCAAGGATATCGACTCTAGCGCCGACGAGGACAGCTCGGACGAGGAGAATGAGGAGGACCGGGCAGCCATGAAGGAGGATACCTTTGCCGCCATGAAGGACGAGATCTCATTAAACCCCAAGGCTGCCGCCAGCCTCAGGAAAAAGCTCGGAAGCCTCGGCCAGCCCAAGGTAATTATCTCTTATAAGGATTCAGGAACACTCTTCGCTGTTCACATGCGGGTTTGCATTGTGTCGTCGATTGGAAGCCTTTATATTTCTTCTTTGTCTGTTCACATGCGCATTTACATTGTGTAGACAAATGAAGACTTTTTCAGGAGATGAACATTTGGAAATAGAGACTAATCATACAACGTTTTCACCCTGAAATCAATAGGACAAGAGTGCTACGGGAGTAGTGTATTTGGGTCGCATTCCTCACGGATTCTACGAGGATCAGATGAACGCTTACTTTTCACAGTTTGGCAAGGTCCTCCGTCTTCGCTTGTCGCGCAACAAGAAGACTGGCAAGTCCAAGCACTATGCTTTCATCGAGTTTGCGTCGCAGGAGGTCGCTGATATTGTTGCCGATACCATGGACAACTACCTCTTGTTTGGACACCAGCTCAAGTGCAAGGCACTCCAGCCCACTCAGATCCACCCCGCGATGTTCTTGGGTGCCAACAAGAAGTTCAAGGCGATCCCATGGCAAAAGATTTCGAAGGAGAAGCACAATGCCGAAAAGTCTGCTGCACAGATGAAGCAGGTGACCAAGAAGCTGTTGAAGAACGAGTCTGCAAAGAGGACCAAGCTTGCAGAGTTGGGTATCGATTACGAGTTCCCAGGATACAAGGCCAACATCCAGGAGAAGCCCAAGCATACCAAGTTCTAAACCTCACCTATTTCTTTCCTTTTCTTCTCTCTTGTGCTTCAACACGGCATCCTTGTATGTTTTGTACTCTTTTTGTTTTCCCTTCTACTTCTCATCATATCAATAAACTTGCATTTTTCATAATAATGGTAATTGAAAGCATCATCGCCCTGCCTCCTTGTTCGTGTATTATTTCCTTGGCTTGTAGACAGACTGCAACTATTATTATTTTCAGAAGTGTTGGAGGGTAACTTGTCGATGAGAAAGGTTGGTGGCGTCTATTGCCACAAGCGAAATTCTTGACTGCCTGCTCCTTTGTCAACTAATGTACGTTCTTGTTGAGCACTCGTGGGTGATGAAAAGGACACTTACATTCTCCCGAGACGAAGATCAAACGAGGTACATGATAAGGTTACATTGACTTCTTGTTGTTTCCCTCAACCCCCTCACAGCCTTCCTCCCTCAATCGACCTCGATACTAAAAGACGATTCCCTCGCATCTATCTCTCACCACGACCATCACCAGGACTCATAGAAGGGGATCTCTTCATTCATGCCGGCTCGACCGTATCTTTGGCTGCCAGCGACAACAACAAGATACACAATGCACGGGCCCGGGGACTCCAAGGAGTCGTACCTGCTGTTGTTAATGATATTCTTTTGCGCCTGTCAGTCACTCTTGTCCTTGGGGGCTCCCTTTGCGGCCACAGGAGTGCTGTCGTCCAGTCATCAAGTCGAGAGCAAGTGGGATCAGCAATGATAGATGGACGCCTTTTTGCTCACCACTTTCCACCACCGACTGCCTTGCTTCTTGTGGGTTGTTTTGGTTACCGACGGTCAAATCACACTTTTATCTCCGACTCGTGGGCGGAGCTGCAGGGTATTTATTCATGGACTCGATGGCAACTATGAGAGGTTCAATGATAGAGGCCGACGTGACACGGTAGTGGTCTGAGTCTAACGGTATATGCGCACCTGTGCCTTCAACAGCGCTCAATTGGCCTTACCATTAGTTCGCGCCTGGCCTTCTCACCAATACCGCCTCACTAGTGTGATTCTGGATACAAACAAGTGTCACCGTTGGTCGCAGAACCAAGGAGAAGACAGGACCCTAACTGGATGGGTAAGATCAAGCTGGCATCGAGTGTCCGAGTCAAAATATCGTTCGGTTGAATCTCAGTGCACATCCTCGAACATTTCTTCCTAGAGTAAGGATGCCAACAAGACTGCCCTCCAGGACACACTCTCGCCCAAGTTGCTGGATCGCAAATTTCTTACTCATGTTTGAACAACTATATAGTCTACCTCGAGGTCAACGCATGGGAGGCTCACTTACTTTGAGTCGTGCACTTGACAGCAAGGGAATATGTAGTACTCTGAGGCATGGACGCAGTAAGGCCCTCGACAATCGAGCACTACGATATGTGCTCTGTGTGTGTTGGAGGGCGGCGGCCGATAAAAATTGTTTACTCACTATTTTATCTGTGTAGAATCGTAGCTTCCAACAAGAGTTATTGCTCCAAGGCCAGGGTCACGGAGACAATGTTTCATGTTTCCGAAAAGTGCAGCTGTGCATTCTCAAAGCCACCCACGTTCCTGAAATTATTTAAAGGATGGCTTCCCGCCATTTCAGAGCACCATCGTTGTTGTCTCTTTGCTCTTCATCCTCGGATCTGCTTCTCTTCTCTTCTTCTCTATCGTTGTTAATTCAAAATAGTATTCTACACCAGCTATTCCCGTCATCTCTTCCTTCTTTCTCTCTTCTCTTTTTTCTAACTTCTCCGTCACCAATTCACTTTTCCTTTACTATTTCACCTTCCCTCATTATGTTTTGATCATACTAGCTAAAAGTCTTTATTTCACTCGTCCTTCTCCGTCATTTAGTCTTTCCGCAGGAGCACCATAGCGGCCCCGCTGAACTCTCTGGACCCACTGGTCCTCTATCTCCTGCCACGCCGAGGAAAACAGGGAGTTCACTGTCCTAACTAAGGTCCTAGTCCTAACCAGTACTCTCTCTTCTACATGGTGACATGACCAGGCCCTCTTCCTCCTCTCCCCACAGCGCATAATGCACGGACCCATCAAGGTCCCCTCACATATCTACACCGCCCATCGCAAGACCAATAACACCATCTTGGACCAGAAGCACGCCAGACAAAAGTCGATTGATGGTCGCTGAGGCATCGCTCCACCCTCCAAGTCAGCCAAAAAAAAAAAAGTCCGAAGAGGTTATTGTGGATACCGCGGAACTGACTCGGAGAGACTGCATGGCGGCCTAGGTGCAGGCAGAGAAGGAGGCGCGCCAACGCTGCTAGGATAATCTGCCCTACTACTTTGGGTGGTAGCCAACCCGATGGTCCACGAACGCTGCTTCAGGTCCTTGGCTAGTTTGGCACGCGACGGCAATCTCCTGCAGACTTAATCGCCACCACCTCAAACACCCTATCAGTCATCGCAGTAGGGTAGACTTGACCCATATCACCAATCACCAACAAAAGCACCACTCCTTCCCGACCTCCGTCCCACCAACCCAACATCACAACCCCACTTGTTCCCCATCACCAGCAAGGACTCCCTACTCCTTCTCAGGCACCCTCGCTCAATCCAGGTTCTGTGCAACTCCCTTCTAGGACTAAGTCTCTGTCACCATCTCCAAGATGCACTGGGGTCCAGCAGCAGCGGACAGCCGCAGCAGGAAAACAGTCAAGCCGCCTCTAACCGTCAAGTTTCCAACCCACTTGGCAACAACATTTCAACTAGCAACCAAGTCGAGGAACGTTTGTCAGGAGTACAAGGGCCATCGTCATCAGCAACATACCGAACGGAGAGAAGCGAAGGGTTTAAAAAGTCTTCTGCTCGTCGTATCAACGCCATCAGTCACTCTTTACTTTCAACAAACTCAGCCTCTGTCTCTACGACAGTACAGTCATCTGTAACACCCCCATCTCACCATGGCATATTGCCTGAAGGCTTCACTTTACCATCAGCCCGCCAGCTCCTCGTCATGGCCCCTCCACATCCCTTTGTCAAGTCCTCTCCATGTCTCCTCGTCAAGGTCAACTGTCGTCTCTCGCCCTGTCTCGACTTGCTCATCAACAACGACCCTCACTCTCGTCAATCTCAGTAAGTCAAGGGCCACTCGCAATCTGAGCAGATGACATCTCAGAATCAAGGTCGCTCACCCTCGCCAGATCCAACCTGGCCTTCACCCCCATCCCTCAGCCAGAAAAACACTGTTCCAGCGAAACAGGCGCAGTAAATTCACCATCACCAACCACGCCTTCCATTCTCAGCCTAGACATCTACAGTTCTGCTACTTACTATCCGTCAGCAGCCAGGTCAGATCTCTGTTAAACCAAATGCCAAGAGTCTGCTATTTGCTGACCTAGAGGCCACCAACCCAGCCTTGAGTGCCGCCTCAGACCGTGCCCATACGAGACAGCTAACGCGCCGCAGACAGAACCAAAACAACCGGGTCTCAGCCTACATCACCACCAGGAACAACAGCAGTTCTGCCATGAACAACACAACAACAACCTCCGCTTTCAGCACCGCCTTTACCCCGAGTTTCACCGCCTCGACCAAGAGGCCCGCATCTCCCGGACCAGAGCAAGGGTCGCCAAACAGGTCGGAGATCAATCGTCAAGTCCAGTCCATGCCGTCCATCGAGAACTGTATCCATGTCCGACGGGGAGCACAGGCCCAAGATCCCATTCAGCGCCGTCAGGGAGACAACAGACATCATGAACGGGGACCCCGGCTTTGAATGTGTGACCTTGATCTGAGTCACAGCGTTTTTTTCTCAACACGACTTTTTATCATTATTTTCCCCCGTCTCGTTGTTACCAATTTTTCTTTCAGCTGTTGTAAATATGTACCTCTCTTCCAAAGATGAGTGCGTAAACATCTATGAAAAGTACAACGCCGATATGTGATAAAGGTAAGAGTAATATGTGTGTCATTGATCAGTGAGGCCGCTGTGTTGACTCGGGGAATTTTCTTTATTTCGTTGCAAAAAGGGGCCAGGGGGCGGATATGAGTGATCGTCGAACCCTTGTTGAGAATAAGGAGTTTTATTGGTTGCTTGTTGGATGGGAGGCAATGCACAGGTGAGACAGAAAGTCGACCGAATGTCTTCTATCGTTCCTCTAGCATGGAAGGAGCGTGTCTTGAAAAAGGCTAAGAGGCAATGGTCTAGAATGCATTACCTGTTCCATCTGGCTGCAGCATGTGCTTTGCCCAAATTACGGTGAGGTACGATGGATGCATGTGTTCCCATCGCTTGCGTCTTTTGTGTCCTCTCTTTCATTTCCGTCATGTGTCCTTCCCGACTCCTCCACTCCACCACCCACTGACTAACCAAGAACCATGGAAGAACACGACGAGCGAACGAGCCTTGTCCGCTCCAACGGCACTTCTAACAGAGTCGGTTCTCCTTCCCACAACAACAACAACAACAACAACGGGTACACCACTTTAAATAGTAACCATCACCAACAAAACAACAACAGCAACCCAGGTCGACGAGATCCGCACACGTTTCTCAAACAGGTCCAACGAAGTCTTGGACTCTTTCAAACCTGGGCAGCCAAGGTCCTACGCGAGAATCAAGAGTCGCCCGTTGTCAACTGGGTGCAAAACGCACGGGTTGCCAAGACGTTTATGATGATCATCAACGTCGTTCTTGCTGTAAGGTTTCTGCTTTGGCTTTGTCTCTCGTTTTTCTCACCCACACCTTTTTTTTGCTGTAATACTCTTACCCATCCAACTCACGCTCCCTCTCTTCTTCTCATGGCCACCATCTCTCTCTCTTGTACTCTTAACCATACTAGGTCTTTGCCTTTCTCTTGATGGGCGTAGAGATGATGGAGATGGCGCTACGTGAACCTATTCTGGACTACTTGCTTCCAGAGAGTGAGATGACGCTCTTGGCTGCAGGCTTGACGATTGTGGTAGGAGCCTTTGGATTCGCGGTCGCGTATAACCTCTTGGTGGAGGATACTGCGAACGACCGATACGACAGGGAGAATGACGAGGGACGCCAAGGCAACGGCTCTGGTGGGGATGGACGAGATTCAGGACCACGGACCTCAACTCAATCTCACTCCACTGATAACATGCTTGGACAGAACAACAACCCGCCTTTGGTTGTACAGCAGCAGGCCAGGGGTCCAAGGCTCATGTTCACGAAGACTTCGACTTATCTGCTGAACGGTAATACCATCTTGCTTGTCGTAGTCCTTGTTGTCTTTACGATATCTATTGTGCAACGGTCTGTCCACCTCTCCCAGGTAACCCAAACACTATTTCCTTCTATGTTTTTATTTTGATCAGCTGCTTCTTTTCTGATAACAATAATGACCCTGCCGACCCGTTTTCCGTTATTGCCTCTTTCTGGCTCAACAATAGATGGACAAGGAGTTGAACAGTGCATGGACGGACGCGATCCGTCATCGCACACAACAAATAAGCGATTTTGAGCTCCGTCATCATTGCTGTGGATTCGTCTCTATCTCCGACAGACCCTTTCCACCCAAGGACAAACCCGACACGCCGCCCGGCGAACTCAAAACTTGCAGTGAGAATGGTTCTTACGGATTCAAAGTACCTTGCAAGGCTGAGCTCTCCAAGGACTTTGCGCGATGGCAAACAAGGATCCAACAACTCTTGCTTGTTCAAGTGACCATGCTGGTAAGTTTTTGAAAGAATACACACATTGTGCCAAGGAGGATACACAAGGAGTAATCTAGATTAGTGGTTCGAGTTTATTGACTCTTTCTTTGTTCATTTCTGTGCTACAACAGGTGCCGCTGTTGTTGTTGGTCATGACCCTTTCTGCAATCGGATTCTCGAAACGCACGGAACGCAAGCAAGAAAGACCCGACGACGCAGAGGCACAGGCAGAGGCAACAGGAGTCGTGCCAGTGTTGGATGGAAGAGGAGTGGGTGTGCAGTTCGAACGCCCACTGTTGGGAGACGTGGAGCCCTCGACACCATTCCTGGTGAATATCGAGGGTGAGCCAGTGAGACAGACTAACGATCGACCCGTTGTGCAGCCAAGTCTGATTTGAAGAGCGAGGTGGTAGCAAGTAGCCCATTCTTCTTTACGAGCGTCATGTCTAGGTGTAAAAGAGTTTCTACAAAAACGAACAGCATGTGGGTTTTGTGTTTGTAGCCCTAGTTTGTACAGCAGGGTGTAACGAGTTTCGTTTTATTTCCCTTTGGAGTGCGTCTGCCTGTTGAGCACGGTAGAGAGAGAGATTTTAAGTTTTGATCGAACAATGGCCAAATGGAGTTGCGTGCTTGGACACTCACTCACGCAAACACAAACACACAAAGGCAAGATAAGACAAAGAACAGCTTGGTCGAGTAAGGAAGACCTTTTCATTCCCTCTCTAGAGTTTTGAGAAAGGAAGAAAGACACACAGACCACGGAGGCTGTTGGACCCATTCCTGGTGGCGCTCATCTGAGTTGTCCATTCATACCCTTTGGGACACCTTTGAAACCGACTTCCCCACTTTTCGCACTCCTCCCAACGCTGTTGCTGGCGCCAGTGAAGCACTCGAGTCACTCAAGCAGGGCAAACAATCAGTCGCCCTTTACACGCACGAGTTTCGCCGCCTACTCCGCCTTGACAAGGGTACCGCTCTGCACTGGTTTGAAAAGGGCCTAGAGCCTGAGGCCAGCAAAGAGGTCAAGCTTCGACAACCCCCACCTTGATGTAGTACGACGAGTTCCTCGGCTGGCAACCCTACCGAGTTTATCCAGCTTGACCCTTCCCTAACTAGTGGTCGTACAATGTTCCAAGGGTCACCGGCAGACATGACGGACGGCGAAAGAGAAAAATGACTCCTGCATACTCCAGAAACGTCCCTTCGTTATGGAATTTTGGCCTCAAGTGCTGTTCCGCCAGTGCACTACTCCATGTCCATGGTGTTGATCCAGACGATCGACGACCTGTGCGGGACAAATTGCCTACTGTATGGACCAATGATGACATCACCAGAGTGGAGCAATATGCTGAAGGCCACCAATGTAAGCCAAGTACCGGTGCCAATATCCCTTAAAACAGGAAAGGCCAATGGTTGCTCATGTGAATCCTCCATCCGGCTTCTGCCATACATATTTCTTTAGGACAAGCACCGCGTTTGCTTGGGAATGGATCAGGCATTCTGCAAGTAGTCGAGCCAGATCCGAGGCTTCCGAGAACCGTTTTTGACATACTTTGGTGCCTAGATGCCCATAAGACTTCAACCGATCCAGGACTAATCCTCCGTAGCTGCGTGTCATAAATATTAGGTGGTTTCAATCCTTGAAATTTGCAAAAAAATAAATAAGCGATTCGATGGCGCATCTTGGCTATAAGCCATAAAATGTCAAGGTTTGAAACCCCTTAATGCTTGCGATAGTTCAACGTCAGCCCTACCAGACTCCCCGGTCAACTTCAAGACGTCCGAATAGATGTTCTGCCATCACGGGTACGCCAAGCACAGCAATATTTTCTCCACCTGCCATGGATAGCACGATGGGACAAGCCATGTTCATGAGGTAGTCCGCGGTGTGGATGTTGCCTGTGTGAGAGATCACGCTGGACCTGAGTGACTGGACAGCCTCAGTGTTAGTGTCGGATTGAGGGGCCGTGGGATCCTCTTGCTCCTGATGCTGTTGGTGATCATCGAGGTGCCCGTCAAGTTCTGAACCTATTATAAAGGATTTGCCGCAGAGGGGACATAGATGTAGGACCGCTTCCGATGTCGCGTGTTTGCTGCGAAGGCGACCTTCGCATCGGATTCTGGATTGGAATTCCGCGCCACAAGAATCAACTGGACATGCAAGCTTGTCTACCCTGCGTGCCCCGCCATCGTGACGGTCGAGAATGTGGCTGTCTAGAGAGTGCTCGTTCATGTATCTCTTGCGACAAACCGGGCACAGGAAGGTATCTTCTTCGTCCATTTGAGTTGAGAATCGGCGCGTCCTGGATGGCAACAAGTTCAGTTACAAGACGTTAGCATACCAGAATGGACTTTACGGATTAACAAGACAGATTGACAACACGACGGATCGACAAATCGGTGGACTCTACATGCTCGAAAAAAAAGTGGCAAAAACATAAGGAGACGAACGGTAACGTACTTGTCAGCGGTGTGTCTAAGCGCGAATCATCCGACTGGTAGCTAGGAAGCGGTGTCAATGACCGAGAAGGCACATGAGCATGGACTATGAGCGGAGCAAAGGACAGAGAAAAAAAAGTGGGCGGAGTGAATGCACTCATGATGGAGAGATCAATCACCAAAACGCGGGTCATTAACTTGAGGTGGAGGTCGCTGGACGATGATGTGGGCGGCGTCTCTGCAAGATGTCAGCAATGTCGTCGGTCGGATCGAGCTCGGTCGCTGAATCAATCGCGCTCAGGAGAACAGGCTAGTTGGCCGAAATGATGGGGAGCGAGACGCGCTTAAGAGACAGCTCATCAGCAGCGATGTCGTCGAGAGCGTGGTGTTTTCTCGGCCTTTATAATTTTCTCGAGGCCATCCTCAGTCTCAGTGGGGTCAAATCTCGACCGAAAACGTGATGGAGGTAGCATCTTTGTCAGCAAGGCAGAACAGGGTCAGGGTGTTGGTGGTTATGTTGTTGCGGAGCATTGAGCGGAGTGAGAGGCGAAGAGGAGATTGTGAAAGCAGAAGAGAGGGAGAAAAGGAGGAAGAAGAGAAAAATAAAGTAGAATTGGCAAGGAAGTGAAGAGGGAGGGGAGCGTGGAAACAGTGGACGCGCGAGTTGGCAAGAAAATGACTGTTTAGAAATTTTTATCGCATTTTTTATGGCTGCCGATCTCTATCTCCCAGACTGTGAATGCTATCGAGTGGTTGTTCTATCTGTTTCCTAAGTTTAAAGTAAACACCATCAACAGTTATGGCTAACATGAAACAATTTTTAACTGAAAATGCTGTGTATTACAATACTCTACTTGGGATCCCTTCTCATGTAGGGCCAGAAGTAGGTCCCCCACTCCTTCTCGGATCCATCCTCCTGCCTCCACTTGACTCCCTGTGCGTAATCATCCAACCTCAACTCTAGTCGTCCAACCTCCACAAACCCCGCCTTTGCATACGCCTGCAACGCCCCCATGGAAGAACTGACCCAGCAATAGACTTGATCCTCATCCACAATGTCCGTGGCCCATCTCATCAAGGCAGATCCAACCCCTTGACCCTGATACGCAGGCGCAACATTCCATCCGTTGATGATCCGACATTGACACCCAACGGGCATCAACAATTCACAGAAATGATTCATGGCCTGATTGCCGGTGTCTGCTAGTTCCTTGATAGTCAGCTTTTCCCTCTCAGATGCTTGAATCGGTGCTGGAGGTGGAGTCAACTTGACGGCAGAGGATGACTTGGGAAGGGAATCCCTGACGGCAATACGGGCGGCTTCTTCGTCAGGGGTGGCATCAGGGTTGGGGTACCCTCGTTTGGCCAACATGATGAATCCAATCACCTCACCTTCACCCACGAGTCCCTTTCGAGCCACTCGAATGTCGATCCGGGGGTTGGTAAAGAGAGAGGGCAGATGCTCTCTAGATCCTTCACGGTGCCAATCCTTGCCCTTCCAAACGGCCTGCAACAAAGTGTGCGTATCATCCCAGAAGGCGTCGCCAGAGATGTCGGCCATCGCGTCCGCGTCTTCGACCGTCGCTGGGACAATCTTGAAAGGCGCCTTTGTCCGTGGGGGGAATTCTACTGTTGCAGGCATGGTCATGTTAAGTTCAAGAGGTCGTGTGCGTTGCGTGATTGATGGTAGTGATGGCGGTGGTGGTAGTGGTGGTGGGATGGCTAAAGGTAGGAAAGAGAGAAGGAAACTGAAAAAAAAGAGATTATTTAACGTGGGGAAAAGATGGTCACTGACGGATTCGATGCGAAAAAGAGGGTTGGGCACGCTGTCCCATCGGAGCCAATGGAGCGCTTTTCTCCTCAGATGGACGGCTCACCACTTCCACTCGCAGCGAATTATTTGGCTTTCTTGCTGCCCCACTCAGGCCTAGATCTATCCCGATCTGTTGTTTAGAGTACAGGCTGAATGGAGGAAAGTGTAAAACACACGACGCGTAAGCTTTATTTATAACAGCTCCCTCTTTGTCTGGGATGATCGTAGTGCAGGCCATTCGGATAATTGGCCTACAAAAGTGCTGAGCTGGTCTATCTAGTCTTACTGTTGTGGTGTTGTGAAGCCACATCCCTGGATTGTGTACGGTCACGGATCGTCTGGATATTTATTTTGTTTTACCCCTATAAAAGAAGGGAGCAAGGGCTTCTTTGCCCTTTCCCCTTACGATCCCTTCTAGAAGTTCTAGTACACTTTGTTGATCTCACGGAACCCTTTTTACTCTGCCCGATATCCCCTTTGCAGTTGCTTTCAGCAGGTCGCCGGCCCCTTAATATCGATTGCCTGTGCGGATATTACTGTTACTGGATACCCAGACCCCAGTTGTACTGCAGATCTTCCCGTATATTCTTTTGCAACAACACCTTACCTATTCCTCGTACTATTCAAGCCACTCTCAACTGATCGATCCTCAGGACCAAACCCGGCAAGCTTTTCCGTTCTTTGACAGGCTCCCTAATGGTCACTTGTCGATATCGTTTCCTGGCCTTTCCTATTCTCGTCGTTCCATTGGCTTTTGCTATCCCGCGAGGTATATAAGATGTCTTGTCTCTTTTGAGTGGACTTGTATGATCTTGGCAGCCCATCCTGAGGCCTTCATTAGTGCTTGGGAAACCCTTCCTCTTTTTTTTATCGCCTGCCCTCGAGTCTCTTCTGAACTCTCAGTTAGGCAACCTTGTTCCCTTTCCCAGATAGTATCTCCTTCCTGCCTTGCTCTACTGACTAGATCCTATTCCCCCCCCCCCCCTTGTTGTTGTTATAGTACAGTAGGTGAGTTTGTACACCTGTCCCCAGTTAGTTTTGTTGTTCTCCTATTTGGATGCATTTGGACCTGCCTGCTTCCTTGTAGATTATTTTGGTCTCCAATTAAGTCCTGTTCCTGCATATCCATTGGTTCTCTTGTTCAGT